GTCTACAGACCCTGCCCCGGCTTGGACCGCGGGGCCACCTCGGCTCGTCTCAAAGCCGCATTAGCCCAAGCTTTGGTTCCGTACTACCCATTTGCCGGGAGGGTAAGGCCTAGCCCCGGTGGATCGGGCCTTGAGGTCGTGTGCCGAGCCCAGGGTGCGGTGTTCATTGAGGCCTTTTCTGATCGCTACACAAACAGCGACTTCGATAGAGCGCCCAAAACGGTGACCTGCTGGAGAAAACTCTTGTCCCTGTACACAACTGATGTTCTCAAAGGATCACCGCCGCTCGTGGTTCAGCTAACGTGGCTCGGTGACGGAGCCGCTGCCGTTGGTGTAGGGATCAACCATTGTGTCTCTGACGGTATCGGCAGCGCCGAATTTCTCAATTATTTCTCCGAGTTAGCTTCTGGGAAATGCCCCGCACTCGGGCCGACACCTGTTTGGAACCGTCATATTCTCAACCCATCGTACGGAAGTCCCAATCGGGCCTGCCCAGCGATCCTCACCGAGTTCAACCGGGTACCCGATCTTTGCGACTTCATGACGCTGGTTTCCAGCGATCTCAAACCAACCTCCATTATATTCGACAGAAGACGCCTGAACGAGCTCAAGAACGTCGCTTGGTCGTTGAGTCCACTCAGCGAGTCGTCCTACACGTCCTTCGAGGTCCTGGCTGCTCACGTGTGGCGAAGCTGGGCCAGAGCGTTGGCGTTTCCGTCGAACCAGATACTAAAGTTGCTCTTCAGCATCAACGTGCGGAACCGGGTGAAGCCGGGCATACCCGACGGCTACTACGGGAACGCGTTCTTGTTAGGATGTGCACAGAGCAGCGCGAAGGAGCTGGCACAGAAGGGTCTTGGGTACGCGTCGGGTCTGGTAAGGAGTGCAAAGGAGAGGGTGGACAACGAGTACGTGAGGAAGGTGGTAGAGCGGGTGTCCGAGTCGAGGGCGAGTCCTGACTCGGTGGGGGTGCTGATAGTGTCTCAATGGTCAAGGCTGGGTTTGGAAAGGGTTGACTTGGGGCTGGGAAGGCCAATCCACGTGGGACCCATATGCTGCGATCGGTATTGTCTGTTTTTGCCGGTGGATAATGAGAGGGATGCTGTGAAGGTGATGGTGGCTATCCCCGCCTCTGCCGTTGACCAGTACCAATATTTCCTTAGCGCTTCCCATTTATGAGTCTGTCCTCTTGTTGACTTTTTTTTCTGCTCAGCTGTGAATTTTAGTTTTCTTTTCTCTTTTTCTTTTTTGATACAATGAATTTTAGTTTTCTACGTACCCCTGATGAGTCCGGGATATTTGACAGTTCCATCTCAACACTGAATGACAGATATATTTTTCTCTCCTACGCCAAAGCGACTTGCTTGAATGTACGTAATTAAACTCCACCGTTCTCCCTTATCATTCTCATTTTTCTGTCTCTTTCTTCAGTCCTCTGGTGCATTCTTGGCAAAAGCATGGATCCGGCCTAAATATATATTAGAATGAATATAATCAAAGAAAGCCTGTTTTGTTTTTAACTAAGCGCATGACAGTTAATGTTCAGGGGGACAATTGTGAACGATGAGGAGTCGGGAGGGAAATTGATGAGAGCATCCATCTGCTCGAAAAGGCTACGTACGCACGCGCGCGCACCATCAATACGTACGAGACCATATATAGTGCAACCGGTAAATGTCATCGAATTCCCCCTCAAGAACACCTACGCCCAACAAACGTCACAAACAAGTAAATGAACGAGGGGTGGAACTAATTGCGAATAGAAATTCAAAACTGGTCAATGTCAGAGAACTGAATAAATTTTGATGAACTATGGTTGATTTAAGGTTATTTAAGTTGGAACAATAAGTATGGGCGAATTACGTAGATAAGAAAAGCAACAAATATTATTCCTTTGGGACATTTTTATTCTGTGTCTCATTCTGTCTTGAGATTTTTTAAACTCAATCTAATACCAAATTATAAACCGCAGATGGTTTTAGACAAACTACCAACATAATATTGAAGCTTAGTCATTATCAGCTGAGTTTTATAGAAACTATAGCTTGAAACTTTTCTGATGCAAAAAATTCTTGTTGAATTTACCTGATTAAACTTCAGAAATATTTACACAACAGATTTTGTAAGCTGGGCTCCAGGTTCAGCAGGGTTTAATTATATTAGACAACTTTTTCTCAGTGAACTAATTTTTATTTGCATTTTACTTCAGGGATCATTCAATTTCCTTGGTTAAAATGTATCAAATTGGAGTAAAATTTCAAATTCATCATGACGATGTCTAATAATAAATATGAACTAAAAGCTTGTGACTAGGAAGGATACATATATGTGTGCGCGCGCGCGCTCAATTGCACAACCTTCTTTCTCACACACACATGTTGCTCTATAAAGTTATATATGCTCATTTTCCTTTGTGTGTGAGAGAGAATTTAAATTGTAAAGGCATGTTGTAGATCTACACAAGAAGAGCGTGATGCGTGCAACATGGGATTTGAAAAGGAGGAGTACAAGCCACTTCTATTGAAAATTATTTTGAAATAATTATTGTAAGGAACGACAATTTTCTTTGCCCTATTATGATGTATTATTCTATGGTTTGATTGATTACAAGTCAATGCGATGCACAAAACCTTGCCGGGTACTACACTGGCCGTCCAATTATTGATCTTTCATTTCATTTTCATAAAATCTTACAATATATTGAAATCACTAGTGAGAAAAATTTTATCTCAAATTATGTGAAAAAAAGCTTTTTTATCAACCAAATACCTTCTTAATTGAGCTGATCTTTGACGGTTGGCTTCGGTTTAGAAGCGTTGGTAGTATTGCGCGTGGCAATATGAAGAATGAGAATGTACTTTCGCTGTTAATGAAATGGATTTATTTTTTTTGAAATTGTAAAGTTTCAAGGCTATAGATAAAAAAGAAATATCTCCTAATTAGACCAGATATGGCTCACATCCACCGAACCAGCTAATAGAAACTGCAACTGGGTATTAGTTAAAATATATCGACATAATTATTTTCTTAGAAAGATGATAGAGGTGTGATCTCCTCCGATTTCGTTGGTCCCAAGTCCAATAGATTTTGCATGCTTCGACTTATCTGGTTTTTTTTTTTTCCCCCTTTGTTGGACACATATCTCATCCTACAAGAGGCAATCATGGAGACACAAATTTTGGCTGGTCATATTGTAAGAAATCAGCCATTTTTATTGGACTTAACCCCGTTGATAACTTGTTATTTGTTTTCAAATGGGAAGGATCTTTGCATAATGAATAAAGTATGGCCAGCAAAGATTTGATTTTTTCTTTTGTTACAGGGTTTGAGCTTAACCCAAGTCAAGGACATGGTGTTTGAATGGCTTTTCTTAAGTGATACCAATGTTGGGTAGGACAAACCTATGTTATATCCTCAGGATTATTTTAGGTACTTCCATTTTAGAATGCCTCCTCAAGCACCGTGATGGGAAATTGAATTCCCTCCTTTTTAGGTGAGGGGGTGTAGTTTCTACCGCTGAACCTACGGACGATGGGTGAAGATTTGATTAATTAGTAAGGAGTTGACTTACAACTCATAAAGTCATAAGTTTAAGTCAAAGCTCAGCATCTAACTCATTTAAACTTAAGAAAAAAAACAAAACAAAATAATGCACGCTATGCACTGGCGTGTAGTTGCAGTTCAAGCGGAGATGGGCTCGGCTAAAGCTAGCCCATGTTTGAGTAGCCGCATGGCCAGCTAAAACTAAACGATATGTATCAGGAAGGGGGGGGGGGATCACCGAGACAGGAGCTTGGAGGTAAGATGCAAGTACATGCACATTATCCACTTAAATTGACATGATCTTAATAACCCTTATATTTAGATCTATTACACTATAAATAGATATTATATTTAGGATGGTATATAGTAGTTTATAAATACCATAACTGGGTTTATAAACTCTTCCAAGTTTGTCTGTAAGAAATTTTGAGCTTTACGTGCCCGTTAGGGTGGTATGCTTAGAGTTTATCACTCAATTGCAATGGAAGTGGTCGCGGTATAAGTAGCAGCGTAAGGAGCAAGAGGAGCCTTTGCAATGGCCAGGTCATCTTTCATCGCAAAAGGGCTATGGCTCCAAATAGCGTCTCATATAGCCTTGCCTCTGCCTCGTATGCCAGCAGCCAGCGAATTCATCGTGTCCTCCCTCTGTTCTTGTAACACTTCTACGAAGTTCTTGCTTCCATTGCCATGACCGCAGACTTCATTAGCTTGCAGCCTATGAATAAATACTTTGCAATTTGTTTAGATGGCATTTGTGTACATATATCTTAAGCTAATTTCTCGCTCAGGCCTATTAGCTCAGTTGGTTAGGGCGTCATGCTAGGTCGGAGGTTCGAGACCTACATCCATAAGAATTATTTGTTTTTTGGGAAACCACAATTTTTTTGGGCGTAAACAAAAGAACCATTGTGAATTTGGAGCTGATACTCTGTTACTCCTCGTCTCCTTGTCCAGGCCCAAAACAAAAACTAAGTGTCATTTTCAAAAGGAGGGATACCAGTGCAGGCTTGCCTTACAACCAACTTCTGAAGAATGTTCTTTCAGAGGTGGAGGAGACAAGCGTGCATATAAAACTGCCAGGTGAGGTGGCCTTTGCTGCATGCTTTAATCTCTGTGTCAAACGGACACCAAATAAAAAAATGAACACTGATAGGTTGTTACTCGCAGCTCATGTTGGATCGCGACAGAGAACAAGTCAGTTTTGGTTATAGGTATGCACAAGTCATGATCGTTGAGGCAAGCCTCAATGTTCATAAAACGACAAATGGTGAAAAATGGTTCATAATTTATATCGTAGGTGTTGCAGTGATGTTAAGAGTGTTGGAGTTTTTGAGTATGTCAGGCACCCAGTTGCACTGAAAAAGGAAATAAATATTTGGAGATCTCATCATCCAAACCTCAAGGCCATCAAACAAAATGTTCAAATACGGACATAAAAAACATCTCAAATATGGAAAAGCTGAAAATCAAGTTTGACAAACCATCAATGATTAATTATTATGTATTTTGGAATAAAATAATATAAATAACTGCAGAAGCCCGGAAAGCCCTCCATATGGCAGAAGCACGGAAGTTCTTATTTTCTTCTCCAAGATGCTTCCTCTTGTCGTTAGCGTCCACAGCTAAAACAGAAAGAGCCAATATACTGTGCCTGTAATTTAATAGCTCCGCTCGTTGACTATTCCAATAATTAAAAAAGAAATTTAGAAGATCTGAGTAATTCAATTCTTTGCAGGAAGCCAACCTTTTCAACCATACATAAGCTTACAGAAACATGCTCAAACTGTGACCGAGAATTATAATGGATGAATCATCTCTGCCAGCGACGATGATCTTCTCCGGCTTTTTACCAACTGGGTCATTGCTAGACTCGTTGGTTCACATATCGAATGAAGTTGCCTCCATGGAAAAGTTCCCTTTTGTTCAACTCAGGAATGTCTCATCCATGATCAGGAGGGTGAAGCTTCTTTCTTCTCTTTTCGAGGAGATTCAGGAAACAGATTCCCCATTTCCTCCTTCTTCAATCCTGTGTTTCACAGAGCTCTTCTCTGTGATCAGCAGAGCGAAGCACTTGATCCAAGAGTGCCAGGAAAGCAGCTCACTCTGGAGTCTCATACAGTTAGAGTTTATTTCCAATCAATTCTATGTGCTTGTAAAGGAGATGGGAAGGGCTCTAGACATCCTTCCTCTGAGCTTGCTTAACATCACAACAGATATAAGAGAGCAAGTGGAGCTTCTGCACAAGCAAGCAAAAGCGGTTGAGCTGTTCATTGATCCTCGTGAGCTGCAACGAAGAGAGCAGCTTCTGCATGTAATGACCCACAACACACTACAGAACAAGAAAAACAAGGGATTTCCTGAGTTTGGGAAAGTGAAACAAATGTTAAGCAGCATTGGTTTGAGAACTCCATCAGACTATGATAGAGAAATTTCAAAGCTAGAGACTGAAACTCAGAATCAGGCAGGTACAGGAGGGTTAATCGTCATGTCTAATATACACAATCTCATATCTCTGGTTACTTATTCAAAATCCATGATATTCAGAGACGGCGAAAACGAGATAGATGAAGATTGTAAACCAGCAGTGTCCGCATTCACACATAAGAGCTCCGATCATTCTTTTTCTTCACTTTCTTCTCAGATGATACCGTCAGCGCCTAATGTTCCTGACGAATTTCGATGCCCAATTACACTTGATTTAATGAGAGATCCAGTGATTGTATCATCTGGGCATACGTATGATCGAATTTCAATTGCACAGTGGATAAACTCGGGACATCACACTTGCCCGAAAAGTGGGCAAACACTAATCCACACTGCTCTCGTACCCAACTATGCACTGAAGAGTCTTGTGCAGCAATGGTGCCACGAGAATAACGTCCCAGTGAATGAGCCGACATCATCTTCTTCCTCAACTTCGGAGGATCCCAGGAGCAAGGACAACTCAAACGAAAATACCGTCGATCATATCTCGGCTAAAAAAGCAGCCATAGATGCTGTCAAAATGACAGCAGAGTTTCTAGTGGGAAAATTAGCAACTGGGTCAGCTGAAATCCAAAGGCAGGCTGCTTATGAGCTAAGATTACTAGCAAAAACTGGGATGGATAATCGAAGAATTATCGCCGAGGCAGGGGCAATTCCATTTCTAGTGACATTGCTGGGATCTCATGATCCAAGAATCCAGGAGCATGTCGTCACGGCCTTGTTTAATCTCTCCATATTCGACAATAACAAGGTTTTGATAGTGGCCGCCGGAGCAGTGGATCACATAGTAGAAGTGCTCGGATCAGGAAAAACCATGGAGGCAAGAGAAAATGCAGCAGCAGCGATCTTTAGTTTGACTATGGTTGATGACTGCAAGGTAGAAATCGGAGCCCGTCCAAAGGCCATACCCGCATTAGTAGGACTGTTAAGAGAGGGCACACCTATTGGGAAAAGAGATGCTGCTACTGCCATTTTCAATCTTGCAGTTTACAATCCTAACAAGGCCAAAATCGTTAATGCTGGGGCCGTTCCTTTGCTTATCGAGCTGCTTATGGATGACAAGGCTGGGATCACAGATGATTCTTTGGCTGTGCTTGCTTTGCTTCTGGGTTGTTCTGAAGGTTTGGAGAAGATAAGGAATAGTAAAGTGTTGGTGCCTCTTTTGATTGATCTTTTGAGGTTTGGGTCACCCAAAGGGAAGGAGAATTCTATAACACTTCTGCTCGGGTTGTGCAAGGAGGAAGGTGAAGTGGTGGCAAGCAGACTATTGGCAAATCCGCGAAGCATTCCTTCTCTTCAAAGCTTGGCAGCCGACGGTTCTTTAAGGGCACGAAGGAAGGCCGATGCTTTGCTTAGACTGCTTAATAGGTTCTGCTCTCAACCTCATCATTCTCTTTGAAGACGAAGCAGTGTATGAATTGGTATTTACATATACATGCAGAACCGTATATTTTGTGAAGTTATATACATGAGAAAGGCCTTCATTTTTTTTTTTTGGCAGTTGCTTTGTCCAATAGCTGCTGCTTAGGAAATAATCCCGCCTGGAGTTAATTATGAATTTATGCTAGAAGAATTCAAAGAATGGACAGTTTGATTTGAACTTTCCTGCACACGACTTTCAACTTTCGAGATAAATATGAGCTAAATATTCTGTCAAAACCCCCAACCCAAGCCTTGTCAGTTATAATTAAATATTTTTATGTTCTTATATACGCAAAACCTACTTTAACAGCTCTTTCAATCTTCGATGTTTTGTTTAGATGAGGAGAGAAAATATAGAGAAGAAGAGGTGAAAAATGTTCTGTTAAAAATAGAAAAGGAAACTAATTTAACAATGATAATAATACCTATTTGAAAAATATGCAAATCTAATACATCTAATAGCTACTTGAAAAATATTTACCGTGCCTTTTTCTTGTCCAGTTTTCTTTCATATTTTACCCCCTAATTTTCTTTTTCCCTTATCGTTTTCCCCATACAAACATAGGGTAAAAGGATAACCTTCCCGGAGGTACAAGAACATATTTCAGATTCAGTATACCTTTGGTTTTGGAAACCATGATCTTTCAAGCTTATTGAAGCAGAATAAGGGTCCTCTTTGAAGTAGAAAGCAGCAAGAGCAGAAGCAGAACAAACAGAACGTCCAAAAATAACGGAGAAGGAAGATAATATAAGTGATGCGTGCTTATAGTTTTAACTGATTTTTAATCAGCTCTCTATAATTTTTTTTTATTTTATTATGTTCTTATAATTTCACATATTTTTAATCAGGTCCTTATGATTTTTTTTTTTATAAGGTCCTTATTATTTTACCTTATTTTCAATTAGATCCTTGTAATTTTTATTCTTTATTCTATAAATAATAAATTATTATAATAATCTTATGTTAATATTCTCTTAAATTTTTAGTTAAACATATGTATTATTTATTTTTCAATTCTAATTTTTACAATTATAAAATTTTCTAAAATTATAATATAATTATAAATAATTTATAGTTAAATATAATTATTTATTCTCATTATTATTGATTACTAAATGATTATGTTAATTATTTTGTCGATTATTAATTTAAAAATGAAATTAATTTTAAAGAATAAAGTTAATAAATAATTTTTTTTAAACTGAAAAAGACCTAATTAAAAAATAGTTGAAATTATAAGGACCTAATAAAAAGGGGAAAAAATGAACGGACTTAATTAAAAAATAAGTAAAACTATAAAGACCTAATAAAAAGGAAAAAAATGAAGGGACCTAATTAAAAATACATGAAAGTAAAAAGATCTAATAAAAAAAAATTATAAGGACCTGATTAAAAATCACATGGAACTATAAGGACCTGAAAATTAATTATCCCTTTAATGAATATATCTATATATCTCATTACCCAAACTCCACCTGTTACAAAATGTTAGCATCAATATATATATATATATATATATATAGAGAGAGAGAGAGAGAGAGAGAGAGAGAGAGAGAGAGGGGCCGCTATTACGTTACTCTATTATCACATTGTAATCGACTATAACTGAGGAAAGGCTCAATTTCTGTTCAACCCGTCCCTTCCATACCCGCCGTGAACCATGATTCACATAACGTGGTATCTTATCCCGTCAGCAGCCTATGATTCTACCAATGCCAGCTGGATATGCGTGCCCACTATCTTGTAATCCCAATGCCAGCTTCCGCTGTCCATCATACTCTCTTCAATAGGGTCTAACTGAGTCGCGAGACCTGAATCAAAGGGGGGAAATGGAAGTGAACTCGTCACTGCTTTGTGTCCATAAAGAAGAGAAGCGAAAGAAAAAGAAGCAAGATTATGATCACTTATTGTATGATCTATTCTAACCCAAATGTCTTTAACTAGACATCAAAGAAACCAGGATATACTTGAGTTACAAGAAGGTTTATACTCGCATAATGATGAAGACAAGAGAATAGCACACATTTCTCCACAAACATATCAACTGGACATACCGTCAAACAGAAGTTTCAAGGTTTAAAATACCTTTACTTCCTGAAGTGATCTTTAGTATGTAGCCATCTGGAACTTCAAATACATGATTTCCCTGTATCAGCAAGGTGAAAGCAAAAGAAGCCTGTTAGTAGCACCAAAATGGGGGTTTCTTTATATGGGTTAGGCAAATAAAAGAGGGATTTCTTTCTGGTACAAATAAAGAGAGGGGTTTTATCACGGAAGAGAAGTGCCGTTTGAAATAAACCTGTAGGACAACATCTGTGGCTTCAAATTCAGCATTTCCATGCAGTATTATCTTCAATGTCTCAGACCGCTGCACATCATGTTTCCAGTAGACGTTACCTCCATACGTCCAATCAATTCCTTTGTTGAACACCTTGACATTCTGTAATTTACACCTGCCACATCTAGCAGAATAAACGTCCACATCAATTTTATGCTTTCCATTTGAAATTATTTTAATCCCTCAAGCTAGGTTCAAGGAGCAGGGGAGGGGTGCAGAACCAGAGTAATAATGATACAGGTAACACAGTACCTCTGCCCATAATGTAGTATGGAATCACCACTCTTATTAGCCTTGATTGAACCAATGACATTTTCGGCTATTATGTTCATGCTTCCATTAAGCTGAATTTAAAGGGACAAATATCAGTCCACCATCTTGTCAACACCAAGTCAAAAAAGTTAACACAAGCTACCTGAACATTCCTCCACAAGAACTCCGCAACCTCTATTTGTAATTCAGAGCCCTCAGATATGGAACCACCATAAAACTGGTCATAATAAAGAATAAAATGATAAATGGAATTTGTTTCTTTAAAGATGATCAACAGAAACCACTTTCATAAAACTCAAACGGCATGTATTAAGCAAAAACTTGTACCATATCTCAAACATTAGTCTTAAAAAAATTCATTAGTGATGTCAATTTACAAATCATTTCACGTGAAAGAACAGCATTCACTGGTGAATGACAAGTGAAAGTTTTGACCTTTTGTCTGGTGACCTCCCAAAGAGGACCAAGAGCTGGGTGCAGAAAAATGAGAAATGGTGGTCCTGAATCAACATACTTCTCATTAGCTTCAATCTGCAGCACAGAAGAAAAGTAATGTAACAAATTAGTGTAGCTACAGATGGTGAACAACCACCTGTTGATAGCTTAAATGCATGATCAGTTGTTTTCATGGACATCGGGCAAAAAAAAAAATAAAGAAAGAAAGAAAGAACCAAAATAGCAATGAGAACCAACCAAACTAAACAGAACCGATTTTCAGGCTAAACACGGAATATCGAGATATATACCTCAGGAAGCTTTATATCACATCGGGAAAGTAGATCAGAGGCATTTCGCAGGATATCTAAAAGTGAGCCATCAGGAGTCTGCATTTAAACGCAACGCATATTAGACAATAAAGAGAAACTATGATTGACTAGTCTGAAGTATAGTGAATTACATAATTTGAACTATCATCAGGAATTTCAAACATTTTTCTGATAATTCAAATTACAAGATGCTTTCTGACTTCCATCCTCGCTCTAGAACATTGCGAAAGAATTCTCCTTATCTATTTATAGCACCAAAACTTGTGTTGTTAATAATTTAAAATAAGTTTTCACTCACAATGATTTTAATTTTGATAATAAGTTTCTCAAGAAATAAAATTTCGAGAAAGGAGTTAAGCAGATCCATTATAGTACCTCGAGCAAAAGTCATGGTAAACCTCAAATAAGAAGCTATAAGGACATGTTTCTTGATATTTTAAATATAAGTACACTGGTAGGAACTTCAGTTCTGTTGGGAGATCAGATCAACACGATTTATGCTCACAGACAGAAATGGGAAGTCCTTCCTAGCTATGATAAAATAGGGAGACAAAAGATAATCAGAAAATCCAAACCTGGTGTAGAGATTTGTCTCCATTTTTTCTTTTCTTTTTGGCAGATGATGTGACCCTTCTTCGTTCATTATATACAATAAATGTGTCGAGCTTATCTGCACAAAAAGAATTATGTCAAGAAGTTGTTGCTTTTAAGTTTAGTTGAGCATGATGAAAGAGAAGAGGATATGATTCATCGTTTGTCAAAGTCAAATGGAGAAAACAAATGATATACCTTCGACACCATTATAATGCCTGGATGAATACGTGTTGTAAAAGTTGTCTGCTATATTTTGCATTGTGCACTCTAGTCTGCCACCAGATACACTAGTACATGACAATTAAAGTGGATCATTACATAGTATATGATTATATGCTGTGCAGTAATCAGCAATATAGGCAGAATGCTAACATTAATCTATAAAAAAAATTTTGACTTCAAAGTAAATATGAGATAAGAGAATTTTGACCGATTCATCTACCCTCACCAACAGCAACAATTGAACCCGGGAATGAACAGATGGAAGAAGGAACTTAGGATTAGATTATCTTCCAAACTAGACGGCTCATGAACCCACATTGAAATTGTCATTTATTCAGAACAACTTGCTTTAAACTTTGCGAAGACTCGGTACTTAGTCTCAAGTTCAAGCCTATTGACTCAGAATTAGGCCTTGTTCTAATCCTACAAAATTAGGCCAGGTATACCCACTGGCTACAAATAGCTCTAAAGGAATCACAACCAATGCAAGAGGCCAGTTGTTAACCAGAAACAGTCTTATGTGCAGGTGAACTTTTGTGTCTAAGAGTGCGCATTAGCTAAGTGATTCCAGAGAAAACATCAATGCATTGGCTTATGTCAATTTGACCAACTTTATAAAGATATATTTAATAACATAGACATATTTTAGGTAACACCTACCTGTGCTGTCTTCCAAAATGGTCTACATATGCTATTTTCTTTTTTGTATTGAGCACCATTCCAGGAAAACTATTTTCATTATTACTTGATCCGACTTGTTCAGCAGAAGGTAAATCCACATATAAAATGTTCGTATTGGCTGGGAAATCTGCCTGCAAGCTTAAACACAGCAAATAAAGTTGATATTTGGGTTGAAAATTCTGAATAAGAAAGGTAACATAGTATATTTGGAAAAAAAAATGTCTGAAAGAATATGTTCAAACACACGCCATTAAAAAAGTTGGGTGACATTAATCGTGGAAAAGATCATAAATTTCAATCTCTAGCAAGTGCAAAACAAACTTAAACAATGTCCCAGCTTGGCTGGTCATATTTCTTCATAAATTACACCAGTTGAACTGTAGCTTCTTTGTGTATAGGCTAATACAAATTGGTAAACTTTCCCTTTTTAACAAATGATGTTGTCTCAAAAGTACACGTGTAAGCAATTTAGTTTGCCTCTATTTCTACCATAAAGAGATTGTAATAAACAGCTTCTCTGTAAGGCATTGCATTTCAACTGGATTTAGTCAAATTATAAGTTACTGAGTGGCATAAATCAATCATACCCTTGGCTGATCCAACCCAAAAAGAAAAAACTCACAAACATAAGAATCATAACAATAAGCAGACTTCATGCAAACAATACATTTCACATGCGGCAAGAATTAATGGCAGAACTGCTAGTATGAGTGCTTCCAAGACTCTTGAATTTCTCTCAAATTTCAACAGTGTGTGTGTTCATAAGTTGTGCACACACAAGTATGTGTTTGGATAGCAATAGTAGGAGGAAAAAACTAACTTTCCTCCATTTACATCAAGCATAGCGAAAATTCAGAATTTTATATGAACTTGCTACAATAATCTCCTGAGTCTGCCTGATTAAGGGAAAGTTGTGTACCTTTGAGGATGATGGGATCCATCAGCAATTCCAAACTTGTCAAATTCAGTGTATTCAATGCAGGACACACCATATTCCCAATTCCCATCAAGGTTTTTCTTCTCCATCAACACATTAATTCCTTCTGTAGCACCTGCGTTCCGCATACATGATGCAAACCCCAGTTTCTGTAAAATTGCAGTAAAAAAGTGTCGGCAAGCTTATTGAACTTCTTTCCAACTGACATTAAACGAAATAGAAATACAAGTCTTCCTTATTTCATATATGTCTTGACATTTGCAGATGAGCAATCAATTATTGCACATTTAAAAATGAGTGACAGATTGTTTTGAAATTTTGACTTTGGGATTGAATTGATCAACAAAATAAATAATGGTATCTTGCAGTCCAAAATACTCCCAATCTAAGACCATTTCATATGCTTGCACTTTGCAGAAATACTAATTATGCATGATTAGAGGCAAGGGCCAGTCAGGTGCTTGTACCAGGAGAAGTTTTAGGATGAATAAAGCATGGGTGGCAAAATCTTTCTACAGACGCAAAAGCAATGTATTTTTTAAGAAAATGTCATTAAATCTGATTTGGATGCATATGAGAAAATACTAATAAACTTCTAGCAATTTCTCAATTTTGTTACATTTCAACTTCGTTATTTCTTCATATCTTGAGGTTATCCTTTAACACTAAAACTAAACATCTCAATGAAAAGGGACTAATAAAGGAGAGGTAAAAGAATGAGGCATTGATGAAGACCTAAACAAGCATGGGAAACCCTCCCCTAGAAACCGTCTTGTAAGGGAGAACAATCTAAGTACCACAGACACTATTGATGGCTACACAGTTTAGGACTCCATCATAAAACCACATGATATCTTCAAAACAGATTTTACCTTCCTATGCTGTAAGCCAATCCCGGCTAAGGCCAAGAGAGTTAAATCTGTGGCTGCCACAACATTGCTGCAAGATCACCAGTATCTGACATGTCACGACGTATTCCACATTTCCTCTGGGGGCTAATAAGGAAAGAAAAATGAAAGAACTTAATATAAAGGCAGACCTGACTTGTCGCACAGTAGCACCTTTTCTTCCATGGAGATAAAACCATTTGAAGATGCCTTTATCATAAGCAAGTTTCCAGATGACACCATGACCACTGGGCTTGCTCAAAGGCCTGAATGGTTTGGTGAGCAACCACTGCCCATCTTCTGCACCCACAACAGGAACAAGAGGCTGGCAGTTCACAAGATGGACAATAAGAGACCACTTTCAAAATAAGAAAGTTTCTTTTGCGTGACGTATATTTAAAGTTTAGCAATGTTTAATGTGCAACCTGTTCAAAAAGTTGGAAAGCTGAACGACCTCTTCCAAACCAAGAAAGATTTTCACAGAGAGACATGATGTGCTCATGGTTGTTCTTTGCTGAACTTGTCATTATTGCAACAGGTGTGATACATTGTTTCCCATATAACTTGAAGTACAAGAATTCTCGAGCCTTACAATTTAAAGAGAAATTAGATTGTCTCAGCATCCGTAATGAACAAATAATGCTTGTCTTGTTTATGTTGTCCAGCAAATATAAGTATGATCCTTGATTCAGCAATTGGAGGACTAATACCTGAAGATCTCTAATAAGACCTTCCAACAAGGTCCTTCCACAATATGGTAGCATTGCTGCTGGAAGAGATTCACCTGTATCAGGATCAACTAAACCAAGCCTATCTGCAGAGCCTCCCAAAGGATAAATTTCTCCTAGGTATGGCAATCCCTAGAAGATTAACATCTCATTATTTAACTATCCATATAACATACACAGTCAAAAGCAAATTGTAATCACGTAGTATGACTATACTAACCTCTATGCCCCATATGGCTGCTTGAGATGCATATTCCGTATTTTCAGAAAGGTCAGTTCCTCTAGGTGCGTGAATTTCCAAAAACTGGCATTCTCCTATTTCATTAATGTGCCGAGACCAGTCTATATTCTGCTTCTCACACATTTTTTGGACGAGAAGCTCCAGCACCTTTATTTGATATCTGCAGCATATAATTTGAGTTAAAAGATGGTATATAACGTATATTGGTTTCTCATCCACATGCAATCCCAGGAGTGTAATTTATAGAACTCCAGGATTGTTAACAAGTGATAATATCAACCGTGAAAAGACCTTGATCAAACGTTGCCATGGTTATGGATAATAGGCACTATTATCTTGTTCTCGCGGGTAAATTCTGTATAGGTACTATCAGGGCAATTATTCTTGGAAAGAAAAACCCACCAGATGCACGAACTTTCAAAATTAGGCATCGCCGCATCAGACATGCATCAGTGCAATTGCTAGGGTTCAAATGGCATAATTTGAATGAATTAATGAATTAATTAATTAATGAAAGGTGGAAGTGCAGAATTCACCCAATAATTCCTCCAATGCAGTGATAGAAACGCTCAATTTCTCCTAAATACTCCAATAACTTCTTCAAGTCACGCATATCTTCATCCTCGAGAGCCACGGGCATCTTTCCAAAGGCGGCACTGCTATTACCATCATTGACGTCCAGGTTTTCGATCATTCCCGCCAAAGCATAGAGTGCGCGCTTAACCGAGCTCGTAGTTGACTCCTTTTCAGTTCCACCCAGCTGAAATCCCAGACTAAGAACGTGCTCTTGACCGGCCGCAACTAAACATTTAAGCAAGAACAAGTCTTTGGAGCTCAAATTGAGGGAAGCTAAGACCCCGGAAAAGCTAGCGTTTTGGCGGGAACGAAAAAATTGCCTCACTCTAGAATCATGATCGATCACTCTAAGCTTTTCCTTCAAAGTGCTGCAGCTGGTGAGCTTCGAGCAAAGAGATTGTAGCCTGGCAATTTCATGATTGAAGTTCGAAACCGTAGCCGACGGCGATAGCTGCTCTGCCTCGGTCGGGACGCGGGCGACATGGCAACATGACAACAGCGATGACGATGATAACGGAGATAGTCCAGAAGAAGAGGAGGAGGACGGTAGAGATAGAAAGAACGGAGAATTTATAAATAGGGAGTGAGCATGATTATGAGAAGATATGGAAATGAAGGAGGAAGCAAAGCGGTTGCTGTTGTGAATAAAAGGAGTTGAGCGAGCCATAATTTGTCAAGCAGAGAAAGCAAAAGAGAAGATACGTTCGACTTGGAACCTGAATGGAGGTTCTCCCAGGATAAGCAATGACAAAAAAGAGACAGAAAATGGAAAAGAAGGGGACGAAGGAGAAGGGGGCCTTTTTTTTTGGGGGGGCGGGGTGGTGAGGGGATCGGTAGAAGATGCCGGAGGCATATGCCAAAGGCTCAGTTTCGCTTCTGAGGCACGGCGAGAGAGACACACAGAGGGAAGAGATGGTGCCTAACCATAGGGTGCGAGTCACAAAAAATGTGGGACAGACGCACGTTGTCACGATGAGCACCCAATGCAAATCCCGTTGTCACGGCTTGACAATATATTATCCAATTTCCCGTTCGGGCCCTGGGATTGGTGGCTTGAATTTCTCACTTCTATGCTGGCCGAGTACCGTTCCTCATTTTCGTCGTTTCTGGGAATTGTGGCAAAAATTATGCCAGGGATTCTTTTTACGTAAATTCTTAAACCAGCTTTTCATTGTATGTGTATTTTTTTCAAAAATATAAAGTTCTTAATTGTCTTTCTTATCCGACTAAAGCTAGAAATCTGAATTTTAAATTAATTGCTTTTTTATATTATTATTATTATTATTATGTCAAAAGGTCTCTAGTGCAATTTTCAATTTTTTTTTTAAATTACTTCAATTTGCCTCGCCTCGACTAGAACTTCGCATTCTTGACCAGGCTTGACTGGCTTCCTAATAGACGGATTGAAGAGAAGCAACGTATTATGATGGGCATGTTGCATACACAGTTCAATCAGCGTTATGCGCATGAAGCTTGAACTTGGCTATCGGCCTTGTACGTCGCAGAGACTCTCCAGTGAGTCCAGGATGACGCCTTGCTTAATTTGTCACCTTTGTCTTGACTGGCAAAAAAGGCATCTTTATCTTGAACTAACGCGCACTCGTCTATCAATCTTACTATCTATCTTGAGACATCGAACATCTTGCACAAGAAAGATGCTCTATCATGTTTAAGAACTGTCAAAAATTGAACTCTTATACCTAAACCAGTTAGAAACTCCCCGCCAGCTCAGTTGTTTTGCGCTTGATCTCCCATGACTTCTATTGGTTCTGCAAACTACAATTCCTTTCTTAGTCGCATCTTGAGGCCTTATTTGACATACTGGAAGGATTTTCGAAGAATTAAGAATGACAGTGGTTTCTGAACATGCTTTAGGGGCATAAGAAAATGTAAATGGAATGCTTGTGTAATGTCTATTTGATATTTGATTGGTATGATTAAGTTTAGAAATGAATGAAATTAAAGTAAATAACTGCAACAACCCCAAAAAAATTTACTACCTCTTATCCTAACAATAAGAACTTGTTTATAAGGTCTTGTTATTAGAACCGGAGGTAGTATTAAATTAATCATTTTAAAAAAAAAAAAGCTCTGCCTCTCGATCCTCATCCCTTTTCGACGGCCACCCCCCCTTCTCCAATAGTCGGCTACAACTACAGTCCGACAACATTGGGCAACAATGGTTGGCGGACGGAGATGCAACAATGGAGGATGAACAGGAATGTGACAACGACGGACAGTGGAGAACGGTAACCTTCGACGACATTGGTGTCGCCATTGCGAGCTGTCATCCAAAAGAAAAAACTCCGTCCAGAGTTCTATGGGATGGCTTTTGTCTGGGGCAAAAAAAAATTTGCTTGTGCTTTGAAGGCATTTTGGTTGGAAAAAAAAAATCACGGCAAGGATCCCCTAAAGAAGACAAATTCCTGAGTTCAATGAAAAATCACCGTTTCCGGGCAACATCACTCTACGCACCAGGTAACCTCGTCACTGCCCCGCATTTCCTATCCAATTTCTTTTAATAAGTGTTTAACTAAAAACCAAACCATAATTTTAAAAATAATTTTATGACATACAAAATAAATATATAAAAAAATTTATTTTGATTTAAAAAAATATTTCTTTTAAAGACATTTTTGAAATACAAACACTCCCCTGATCATTTCTATTGTTCAAATTCCTTGTCACCAAACGGGACTCTTTGAATTTCAACTATCAAATTATAAGAATTTGGAGCGTTTCAGTAAACCCCATGTCTACTGCCATTTGATCCGAAGCATTAAAAAAAAAAAAACGCAGTGATACTATGTTCACATTGACAACGAATTAAGCTTTTAATTCATCCGTGAATTTGTAACACTTCTGACCCCCAAAAAAAAAATTTAGGGAACTCCAGGGAATACAAAACCACAAAACCAATCCGTTTTTTGTAGGAAAAAGTAAAAATCAATCCGTTTTGCCATTTTGAAGACATAAATATCAAGGGTCCTGATCAGGGATGACCTCAGTCGGGGGCAATAGGCGATTTAATGTTGCGACAAATCAATGTTCGAGAATTTCTCACGTACAGTGTAACCCCAAAGCAATTTGTTCCAGAAAGGGGGAACAAAGCAACAATGTTTACACCAACAACCGAATCCTGAAAATCGCACCCAATCCGTTATAAATCGATGGCATTTCTTTATTTTCTTTCCAAATTTAACATTAGAAAAAGATAATAAAAATACGGTACTATGCTGCCCATGCTTCCGCAGACAGCCGAGCAGTATTATTCTTTGGAACGCGGGGAAAATCACAGTTGCCTAAAAATTGTGTCAATTTCAAATTGCCGCATCATGTAAGAACCAGATAAGGCCTCTCGCCTCTATGAAGGAGCTGAGAAGCTGAATCTAAACCCAGTCTTTGCACGATCGTGCTCATGCTGCCTGAGTATGTAACAGAAGTTACCCTGAAGCAATGAGAAGCTTGTCAGTGAAGAAATGAAATTCTAGAAAGTTAGGATTTACAAAAAGCAACAAACTAGGCATCGGTGGAGAAGAGAAAAGGTGACTTCTCAAGAAACAATGGCACCACTACCATCAATTAGTCTTACAGCTCGTTGTTTCACTGAATTACATTACTACTTTAATTCAGAAAGTAGTTTCTATGCTTTTGATTAGTTTAACCAGTTACTTATTTCATTACAGAGAAAGTAAAACAGAAGCTAACCTCTAGGCGGAAAAGTGAAGTAGGAATAACAATTCCACATCCCACTGATGATCGAAATGATTCCAAGAACTTCCTAGGAGAGAAATGCCTGTATTCGTTCTCAGTTAATTTAGCAATATTCCCAGCACCAGCAAAAACATGGCCATGGATTCCACGTTCTCTCAACCATCCAATTGGAAGATCAAAAGAGAGGTCAGCAAAAGCAGTAACAGCAAGATCTCCTCCAATGAAGTCCATTCTATAGGCATCGGCTTTATCATCGTTAACTCCATCTCTATTTTGCCTTTGCGGTTCAGTGGGGCCTAATCCCCGAGTTTTGAATCCCCATAATGTTGTTGGCCCTCCTAAGGTGCCAACGGGAGAGAATTCACCACCAAGGAAAAACCTTTCTGGCAGGGGGGAGGGCTTTTTCAGAGATCCACATCCCCATGGAAAAACTACTCCAGCAGAAATCCCAAGGTTCAGAGCAGCATTGTAAAACCCCAAAGGAAGAGCATAGCGAACATCAAACTCCTGCACTAGAAGAGTAGAAGAGTTAACCAAACAAACTGGCATAAGAAAGGAAAAAGGAAAAAAAATTAAGGCCACATGGGGATTATTAAAGCACATGCTTGCTAAACATATCTACTACCAAGGAACATTCTGTAGTTGTTCTATACTCAGAATAAAGTATTTTCTGTGGAGGTTGTGTAAAACTCATCCCTTCTATATCCACAGCAACATTATTGAAATTAAACGATGCCAACGTACAAAGGAAGATAAGAATATGACAACAGATTTCGGTTCCTGGGGACTTAATTCTGAAATTTTTCTTCCTGCCCAAGGAGATGTAATTCTCCCATAATTTTACAAAACTCTCGAGTATTAATCTTAATTTCTTACTCCTTGGCTCCATTGATTTATTTTAAGGTTCCTGTCTGTATCAATTTGGAAAGTCTATCATAACCAAAACGCAACAATTCTTACTCTATTTTTTTTATAGAGTCTGTAAGATTGTATATGACAGATACAATTGCTTTGCAAAGAAAGAATTAGTCACACCTGGCGCAGAAATCGCAGGCTTCGGGGATCTGGTGTGAGGCCCCCAACTTGAGTGGTGGAAAGAAATGCATACCCTTTTGTAGGTCGAATTGGTGAGTTCCTCCTGTCAATCTTAAATGTATACTTTAAAGATGAGAGTAAACCATGCCCCAGCTGCCTCCTTACGGACCTAGATGACATTTGTGATGGATCTGTTAAGGTACGCCATCCAAGATTGTATGTTAAGTCATGATACTTTGTCGAGAATAAGCCAAGGGACATGCCCAACTGTCGCTCTTTGTATGAAGAATATTCCAGCCAATCTTGGGAAAGTAAAGATGCTCGAACCACAATCGGGGTGTCCAATCCTTTAACTCGAGGTGCAAAGACCCCAACACTCACTTCCGACTTTTTATTGGAACCATATGCCAGAGAACCATCCCATAGGTCGCCATAACCCAACAAGTTTTTGTACTTAAGAGCACCTTCAACAATCCATGAACTAGCCTACAAAAGAATCACAGATTTTCCAAAAGGGAAAAGATAAAAAACAATTAGACGGACTTGCTCATCATGGGTAACCTGAAATTCAAAGTAATATATGCTACATAATACGCCAAAGCTTGAAGCAATGTTTAAAATTTTCTTTTTCTTAATTACAGCTATCCAACTCAGTCCATTAGAATATATTAACCTGCAACAGGGATAGTAGAAGCAGTTATTCATATTCTTAAATGTGCTGGCCACAAATTGAGTCGACTTTTGAAAATCGAAACAATTCAACAAAAATTGGGATGGAAAGCAATTTTTTTCCCCTCTTGTAAGAAGAAATCTGTGTAAAAAAAATAAATCTTCAGCAATGCAGCCCACATATTAGTTGTAAAAAAACGATGTCATAGTGAAACTGCAAGTTCGAAGTCTCCAACCCGATTTAATGCCTAGACCCATGACAGACGATAGAATAAGATTGTACCGAAGGTTTCGTATAAACACCGCATTCACCAGAAATTTTGCTACTGGTCTCGGAAACTTGGACGATGACATTGGCAGTGTCACCCAACTCTGGCGGTCCCGCCTCGAGCGTAATAGTACTAGAGTCAAAAATACCGAGTCTCTGAAGCTTCGCAAGGGCAATTTCAGTAGCTTTTAACAGCTCTTGCATAGTTGTGGCGTTTTGTATCCCCTGCAGCTCGGCCTCAATCACCCAATCCCTCGTCTTCGTATTACCCTTTATCAGCACATCATGGACTCGGATAGGAACTTCCTCCGTCGACATCCTCCGGGCGAGGTGATTTATCTTGAACCGCTGCTCACGCAAAAAAGAATCTCTGGATTGCGGTTTCTGCAGGTTCGGTTCATGCAGGTCGTCGTCTTCTTCGTCTTCGTCGCCGTCGTCCTCGTAGTCGTCTTCTTCTGCGTCGCCACTGGGGGACTTCTGCCTCTCCTGGGCATTGCTAGGGTTTGGAGGAAATGGGGCTTTATTTTCTTCTTCAGAGTAGGCCATGAGGAATGATCAGAATTCAGAACAAGTTCGGAGAGCAAGAGTAGGAGTGAAAGCGAAACAATGCAGATTGTAGAGGATCTAACTACGCCGCGGAAAGCCGGAAACGGAGACGCAACTGGGAGTTTATAACTTGTAATTCACCGTTTTTTTTTTTTTAAATGTACTGTCAGAAACAAGGACGCCCAAATAGAGCGAATTTTCTTTTTGTTAAGAAAGTCTCTAATAAGCTAAAAATTCTTACAATAAGAAAATACCATAATAATCATGAATTAAATTAAAGAACATAACAATATGTGATATATCATATAGGTTGACCGTAATGAAAACGTTTTTCTTAAATCTGAAAAATTACTCTTAATTTAAAACTAAAAATAAATATTAATAATAATTGAATTTGTTATTTTATAATACGATAACGAAATATTATTCACTTTTTTGACATATAGAGCAGGTGCCTGATAATATTAGTAGTGTTCTCACCTTATCAAAAAGAAATAGTTCTATTTTTTATGTTGTTAGAATAATTCAGAGTAATTTTTAAAATAAGTTTTGAGGACAAAAAAATGAAAAAAAAACATATGCAAATCATTATTTCGAAAAACATACTTTAAATAGATAAGCCCAGGATGAAATAATAGCTTATTCAATTACTGTGATTGTCATTAATAAAAAAAATAATGTTTTAGGGCAAATTTTAACTTTTTTTCTGAATACATAATTGAAAATAGAAAACCAAACGCACATGTTCTTCAACGGCGTGTTCTCTCTCGTCGGGGGGGGGGGGGAGTGGGGAGGAGAAGCCAGCACAAAGCTTGAGAGAAACACATGAACGGAAAAAAGAACGTAGCAGAGAAACGTAGTTTAACTAGGTTCCAATCCTCTGGTCGCAGAAAAGGATCCAATTCCTTTCCAGACAATACTTAAAAAGTGTTTGGATTATGCTAAAATCACTTTTTCGTTAATTGAAACAAATTTTTTTATCTATTTATTTCGTATATTATAAAAATATTTTTAAAATCATAATTTTTTTTTCCTACCTACACACTCTCTCGTTCTAACTTTGGCATGTTTCAGTGCTTTTTTTTTTAAAAAAAAAAAAGTGAATGGAATGAGCAAGGAGGTTCCTGTAGAATCCTGACCTGAAAAGCTGAAAAGCATTTTTGGTTGTCCTGTAGGATCCTGAAAAAAAGGTGAACCAAGGATCCAATGCATGGTTGTCTTGAAAATAAACTGGGTGACGGAAGGAGGTTCCTGTAGGATCCTGACTTGGCCAGCATTTTTGGTCTAGATTGGCCCATATTCCCAAAAAGTGGGCTGACCCAACTTTTGCTGTTTACCCATTTGGGCCAGCATTTTTGGTCTAGATTGGCTCATATTCCCACCCTATCCTTATTTTCTATTTATATAAAATTAATAATACGTGTTGTATACTATTCAACGATAAATGGATGAAAGCAGAAGATGATAGTTGCATAATGTACAATTATTATTATACATCTTATGTACGATCATTTTATTTTTGTTCCAACGTAAGACCTATTTTCGGATAAGCACAGGGGAGAGTGGCCACTCGACCAAATGCTCACCGACAAAGCGACAAATGCCGGCCCCTATAAGATCGGCTTCATAACTCGCTACAGTAATATCAGTGAAAATTATGCTCACAGAGATAATAGGCTTACCCTTCGTCTTCGTACATGCTCTAAAGATACAATTATTAGACAACATTTATAAGAAGACAACACCTCCGTCAATCCCCTCAACGTAGAGGAAAAGTTCAAGGAATACTGCGCAGCAATAGGTCTGTCAAGTAACCCAAAATGTATTTACATTGCATCTTCATCAACTCACTCCATTCACCTTTTGTTTTAATATTTCATTTCTCACTATACCGAGTTTTGATTTCTATCTATCAACGCATAATTCTTTCCACGCAAGATTTGACAAAATAGATTCGAAAGTCACATAAGGAGTTGTGCTCTGCGGGTGATTTTTTTTCTTAGGATAAAAAAACAGTTCTTTTCACTCGAAATGGTTACGAGGCAAGATCTCCTGACTTGTTGCCCATTTCCGATTATATACCAAGAGCGATGACGTGACAACAGTTCCAAATTTGTGTGAATTGAAACTTGTACCGAAGTCCACTATGCATGAATTATTGCCAGTTCCTAGTCTCCTCATGATTCATGAGAGACTATGGAGAGGGCTTTATTTAAGAGAACAACCCCCCCCCCCCAAAAAAATCGATATTTTATAAAACAAAATATATGAAACATGCTTATAATCTTAAGAATTAAAAGTTTAGATGGAATCAAAACCATAGTTTTAAAAGTGATTTTACAGTATACGAAATAAATATAAGAAAGAGTTTATCTCAATTTTTTAAAAAAACACTATTTTTTTAAAACCCAAACACCCCCTTAATCGTTATTTTTTAAAAGGACTGAATATTCTCGGAAGACATGTCGACGAATCTTAACCGTTCATTCCCATCATTTTGTAGTGACAACGGGATTGTTCATATTGAGGGACAGCAAACTTGGCATCTTCTATCAGACATTGACATAGAGTTTGTGACGCACTTACGAAACATCACGCTACGATTTTTTTGAGCGCTATAGGCTGAGCATATATGGAGGAGTCCATGTGAAGCAATTAAGATTGAAGTCTGATTAGCCAAGCCAACCAAATTAAGCCGGCTCCTACTACATACATAATAAACCCGCTGTTTTACACATGAGGACCCATTGCAAGTGGACAAATTTCTAGACCAGCAACAATTAAGTTATGAACAAAATGCTAATGCTAATTGCTAAGTTCCCCGTCCCCTTTGGGGCTGCGAGATTTGGGGTGGCTATTATTTGGTGTAACGCGGGAGCATGGAAGAACAAGATGGGCACCTGATCAGACCGTTCACGTTGCAAGATGTACAGCTACTGAATCCGCTCTTCTCCGCGTATACCTTGTGGCTCCCGTTACACTCGTCGCACACAAGAAACCTCATCCCTCCACAGAGATCACACGCGTTTGGATCCGACCTTGGCAGCTGTTCGATCAATCTCCTCAATTCGCCGCTCTCGTGCAGCTGCTTGACGTCGTCAGCCCCGCCAATGTATGTCCCTCCGATGAACACTCTCGGCAGGGTCACGTTCTTACGGCCGAGGATCCCGTGGAGCTCGTCCAGGAATCGATCGTCCATGGATACATCTCGTTCGTCAATCGAGACGCGGAAGCCGCGGAGGATTGATCGGACGGCTCTGCAGTCCTCGAAGGTCCTGCGCACCACGCGCAGGCTGGTAAAGTAGACGACGATGCGCTGGTCGGAGCCAGGCAAGGCGATGGAATTGGATAGCACGCTGCTGCGGCCACTGCCCCACGCGCGGAGAACGGCAGTTGAGATCCGGACCCTGCGGAAGAGAGAGGGGGATCTCGGGGCAGCGAGTTCGGCTTCGGGCTGCTCCTGGCTGAGGCTTTGAATGTCTTTAAAGGAAGAGCAGGAGAAGCTGAGTGAACGGGCAGCGGATCGGGCGGGAGAAGGCGGTGGTGTGTTTCGGGACCTGCTTGGCGATCTCAACCATGGCGGCCACATGAGAGATGAGGGTGGAAACTGAAGAATCAAAGCAGACTTGGAGTGGAAGAGCAGTGGAATGAAGACCGATCGATTAGATCGAGAAGGCTTAGAAATCAGGTCAATTAAAGGAAGGGTCATTCAATGATGACAACCCTAGATGTGCATGCGCTCTGCTTTCTTCCCCCCGTTTTTGGTTTCAAAACGTCATCTTTGTCAAGACTCGGGAAGTGTTTGTGTCAACACTGGGCAAGTGATTGGATGAAAACAAACTACTCTCCGGTTTTATATAAGAACTAATTTTGAGTTGGTTTTGGTTTTAAATATAAGACTCATTTATTATATTTATCAATTTTCTCTAAATTACTCCTATAGATACTTCCTCAAATAGAAGAGGGAGAGGAGGTACTAAAAAAGATGATTATGGTGTTTTAAGAAAAATGTGTCACTTTTCTTATAATTAATTAACTTACCTAACTTCCTTAATCTAATCAAATTAGTTAAATGAGTCTTACATTAAGGACCGAAAAAGTATATTTTTTAAAATATTTTTACAGTATATAAAATAAATATATAAAAAAATTTGTCTCGTTTTATAAAAAATTATTTTTTAAAAATATTTTTTTAAGTTCTCAAACACTCCCCTCAATTTTGTTTCTGATATGAGCTCATGAGCTAGATTATAAATTATTCACTGGGAGCTCAATCAGAATCTATTTTTTTCATCATGATAATAGAAATGAAGACCCTCTAATATTGGCACCCTTAGCAAGTTACTACCGCCGGTACTAATTATTATTTTGGAGGTCATCAGTTAAATGAATTTAAGAAGAATTATATTCAAGTCTCACAAAAAAGAAATAATCACTAAAAAGTCCCAATAACAACCTGAACAGCCTGTAATGACAAGTCCTACAGTGAGAATAACAACCTATGGACTTATTTTTCAATTATTTTTCTTGTTTGGGACCTGTTATAATTCTTTCATGAATTTATTATGGTTGGCAAAAAAAAAAAATTTATTATGCAAACGACGTGTGAAAGAGAAAAGTCACTTTTTATTAAGCTTTTGATTGATAGCTCTGTCATTTGTTTTTTGTTTCTTTTTCCAGGAATAAATACCACAATTAAAGCTAATATTTTAATTTTTCAATGTTGTGTTATGGGGGAAAAAAACCCTTTTAAGTCTGTGAATCATCCTATTTACGTGATAAATTATCTGCTATTAAGTATCGTAGACTAATTTAAAATTCAAGTCAAGTCAAGTTCCAATTAAAAAAATTAACGTTATTTTTTAATTGAATTTAAAATCTCATAAAAGCATAAATTAGATAATGATATAATACAAAATAGAATTTGAGTATTTTCCATTACACCAGGAGTGTTCAAACTTTAATATTTTACTATATATCATTATTATGTGAATTAACTCAAACTCAAATGGCATCCTTTGACTAATTTTGCAGTGCTTAAATAAAAGGTTGTTGAATCATTTTTTTTTTTTTTTTTTTTGGTGCCACCAGGTTGGTTGAATCTTTTACTTTAAATTGAATTCATTCACATTCATTTAGCTACAGCCGGCTTGTTTGGGTATTAAGCATGAACAATGAACCTGGCGAGGACTTTCCTTTTATACTTTTCCTCATTTCCCCTTCTTTCTCTTTTCTACTCTACTTCTTCTTCGCTCCGCGATCTTATCAGGAGGGGCTATATTCAATGACCTCTCACAGAGTAATAATTTTTTTTGAAGTCCTCTATAATAAAAAGCTTGTATTCTACATTCCTCGTCAATCTGAGCCTCTAAAGTTAACGATGAAGTCCAACAAAGTTCAACACTACGTTTAGTTTTCTTTAGGCACCCATGACAAGCAAATTTTATATATACGCGAAGTGCATTAAATTTCACTAATTTTAGATGCTCAAAACTTTAGAAGATCCGGATTCTTCCTTGTATCTTTCTGTCTTTCAGAAACATGAATTGATGTGATCAGTTAGGATTGCATCTTAAAGCGGAACTTTCAGTTGTTAAGAGGACATTAGGTCCCAAAGAACCACAGCTAAATGTCATTGAACACGCAACAGGGAAAATGAGGAACAAAAATCTCGCAGTCCAAGTCTGGTCTACAGAATTCATACTCAGACAAGGCTTCCTGTCGGAAAAACTTCAGCATCGTAAACATGTTCTGCAGCATCGATTTCTTAGTTTGTATCCAGCCAGAACAAAATAAAACAAGGGAGGATTCAAAAATGGGATATATCATCGCAGTAATCTTGTTCATTATTCAGCGTCCACCTGCCATGGGGCGCCAGAAACCCTTTCTGCCCACAAGAAACTGATCTTGATGTACACTCACAGACCAGTGAAGTGAACGCAAGATTGGGCTCAGCTTCCTGATTACTTCGATGGAGTCTTGAACCACAACATATCCTTCTGGCCTCAATATGCGATCCATCTCTACAACCACGTCTACAATGTCACATCTGGCAAAAATTGCATTCCATTAGAATCATATTGTCTCTCACAAAACTAGAATGAAACAAGAAGAAAGAATGTGTCTGTCAATTATCACACCTTTTCTCAATATTTCCGAAAAGGAAGCTCGAATGAAGAAGATCATATGTGCGAGGATAGGTATTGAAAGATTCGCACCAATCGTGGTACATTCCTATAAAACCCCTATCAAATATGACAGAAAGAGTGTCTGGCAAATCAATGGGCATTACATTCATCACCCAGACTGGTTGATCAATTAGTGCTGCGGCAAACCTGAAGGAAGGGCATATATAAAGTTCAGCCCACATTTACAAGAGAACACTCTGTGTGTGTGTGTGTGTGTGTGAGAGAGAGAGAGAGAGAGAGAGCGAGAGAGAGAGAGAGAGAGGGAGGGAGGGATGTTGAATACCATAGCTAATTTAGTTAAAGCGTTAAACAACTAAAAGGGAAGAAGGCAAGAAAAAACTCTCTAACATAATATACTTTACCCTCCATAACCAGCATTCATGTCCATTATATTTCGCACCCTGTCCCAGTTGATAGAAAGACCATTCGCATAAACATCTGAGACTAATTGAGACCAGTGTTTGGTATCCTTGTTGAACATCTCAATAGCATCAAAATCAGACTGCAAGCTAGGAGGTTTACTGGTAAGCCTCCTGGGCCAGGGCATGGGCCAGCTCTGCAGTTTACCCTTGCCGTCAACCGGAAGAGGAGAAAGGCAACTGCTGAATCTGGTATACCTGTAACATGAATAGCAAACCTTTTCTTAATGCCAACAACACAAAACTAACAAGAGTCGTATGCTTAGCATTATTGGTCAATTATTTGCAACGGCGTATGTCTGAATACAGCAAGTTGGTTGATCCCATTCATAATTACATATCACAGCCAAAAGAAATACACAAACATAAGCAGAAAAGTTTGTCCGCTTCTTCCCCCATTATTTGGGTTTGGAAAGAAACAAAAATATATAGATACCATGAGCTATTTTTCCCATCCTTCTCTTGACACAAAGGTGGATTATTCACTTTGCGTTTTCCATAGCAATCAGGTGAAGTAGGCTTCTGGTATATAACCATCCCAATTCCAGATGAATCAAAAGTCCTAGCCACAACCGTCCAGCACATAGATCTTATTACGGTCATCGTGGCTGCAGAAAACATGTCCAGCAACATCCATCTTAGAAAAATTTAAATGTTCTCCAATTTCTTAGAAAAAAAATACTATCCAGTGCTTGAAGTAACTAAAATAAAACAAGATTCCAATGTTCTACAATATGCAAAGCTGTTGTGGAGACAGAAATGCAAAGGTATCTCAACCTAGGCCTTTTTTTAGTGTCTCGTTTATTAGGGCCTTCATGTATGGCTCATATGGAATGTCCAAAATCTTCCCAATACGGAAAAGACAGGAGAAACTGACAGCGAAGGCAACACATAAATGGGGAGAGAGGAGGAGAGACAAACCATTCCATACTTTCTGATCTCTTTCATCATCTCGATAAACTGGTGTGGCAGACCATGCAAAGAAGCCTCCAGGTCTAAGAATCCTATTCAGCTCAAATAATGGTTTACCACCTAAAATTGTAAATCAGATTTTAAAATAAACATTGCTGTTAGAAATGAAATAAATGGAACATAGACTGAAGTCCACTAGTACCATCTGCATCCCAATGCACCCTGCATCGTGCACAATGGATCAAATCATATCCGTCATTTGGAAATGTCAGCTTTTGTGTTCCAATAACAGAAAGAGTTGCAGGAATTCCTCGCTCTAGAGCAAACTGTATCTGAGCTTCATGTTCGTCCTTTGGGGCAAATGACATGGTCATAACATTTTTGTCCAGCAGATATCCACCAAAGCTAGCAACGCCACAACCAACATCTAAGACAACCCTGATATTCTTTCCCCATTGAATTTCTGGTAGTGTCTGGTGTGAAATGAACATAAAACAACCAATATCTACTCAAATCAGCAGAACAAATGTGCAAGGTACAATTACATCATGTTTAAATCAAAATAAAGCATTGCTTAGAATCATAGTAAGAAATGTAGTAACAACAGTGGTGACTGCAAACAAAAACAGCGTAAAACAGTAAAGTCTCATTAAGTGAATGAATACAAACTTCTCAGCCCCATTCTATGCTGTGCTTTACACAGAGTCTACAAAATTTCAACAATAAGTCATTAAAGTTGCAATTGTTTATATTTTAGAGCACTCAAACCCAATGCCTTGGTTGACATCATCATCAAGATAGGAGGCACAATCTGGAGGGAAATCATAGAGATAAAGCAGAAGGAAAGATTGCATGATCACCTGTTTCCAGTTCCTCACTAATAAAAACCAATTTTGACATTGCGTAAATCATTTTCCATTTCATACACCATCAAGACTTGATTATAGTTCCCCCCCACCCCCACCATAGTAGTCACACAAGGATTAAAGATGTAGAAGGTCTCACACTTTAGGAAAGTTAGCAGTAGGATGTGAAGCCATTTGACAGCATACCTTCCGTATGTATTCAATATAATGATTAACTCCATCTTTAAATTGAGTGCCACCTCCGGGAAAGACAAGATATTCACCAGACTTTACCACCCAATGTTGGTCCTTCTTGTACTCCACGAGCTTTGGATGAGGCACATTGTTATACCAAATCTGGAAAACGTAAATATAAAACTCACTCACCCTTACTTTCAACATTACCTAAGTATAAACTGCACACATAACTAAGTACCAAGTAGAACAACTTCAGAATATGGTATTTTAGTCAAGAAGATTCTAAAGTTCTGCTCAAAAAAAAAACGGGTAAACATTCTTAATATGCCTAAGTAGTTAGTCAGACCCCCAAGTTCTAACCCAAAACAAAAAGATAAACATACTTGAAAGGAAAAACCTACAAAGCAATCAGTACAAACGGGAATGTCCTGAAATGCAGACGGTATTCACCATATAAAGAAGTATTGATTCAAGGTGACATGAACATTTGAATTCTTAAGAAATCCTTGTCACCCAATCAACGCGTCAAAAAAATTTTCAAAAAGGGAATCCATCCATTATACCAATAAGTTTTCTTACCGAAGTATCAATCTCACCATGTCCCTGCTCTTGGGCCACGGAACGGGGACTTTATACCCATTCGGAAGCGGCACCAAACAGTGCGGGGTAGGATCTGGACAATGCCTTTCCCTATGCTCCATGTGCCTCCTACTCTTCAAAGCCTTGATCACCTTGTAATTGTCCAAACAGGGTATATTATCCACCGCCATTGGACCCTTGCATAGCTTCCAATCAATATTCACATCAACGGTAACAATGTCGATATCCCCCTTCTTTTGGGGAAGCTCTTGGCCTTTGGGTTGTGTGATCGGAAGCTCGCTTTCGGGTGGCCCTTCATCTTTGGGAATCGTGATCGGATTCAAGTTTTGGGGTAGCCCTTCAGTTTTTGGGCTTGTGGCAGGGGCCACTTTTTTAGGTAACGCTTGGTCTTTCTGAATTGATGAGATCGGGGCCACGAAAGGGGTCGGAGATGGTTGGCCTTTAACTTCAGGATAGAAGACGACGCGGTTGAAAGTGGTGGTGGAGGTAGAGTTAGAGAAGAGGAGGAGCGTGACGCATATGAGCAAAATCAAGAGTGCGAAAACGAACGGGTACTTTCTTTCTTTGAAGAGAGATTCAACCACAATTGCCATTTCTACGCCGGAATGGAAAGTCGAGAGAGAGACAGAGACGCGGTTGAACGAGGAAGCTCTTTCAAAATGTCGTTATCCAAGATGAACAAAGAGAGAGGTGGTTGTGAATTCAATGATAAAATTAAAAATTGTGTTAATTCTGGGATCTCTGAAACATGGGGTGGGAGTGTTGGCCGTATCATCCCAGGATTGCTCACTTTCCAGGAGACGCGGTGCCACCAACACAGATAGTTGTCTTTTAGTGAATTCCTTGACAGTTCGCAGGCTCCAACGTCGGCGCTGGTTAACCTGTAACGTAGTAATCTAATCTAAATCTAACCAGCTACGGGCAGGAGAAGTTTATACGGAAGGAAAATCAAGATCCAATGAAATAGCGACCAGCTCCTGACACAGGTTCTGCTGTCTCGCCACATTGTGAATCGCTAAATGGTTAATCAATCCCTTATACGCATGTCAGCAACATTACTCAATTGTTTACTTGGTTTTTTTGGGGTATAGAACATTTACTGCATTTGTCATTATCGTATGTCTTTTCTCCAACTGGTTATTGAAATCATTTATTTGTTTTTCCCCTTTCAATTAAATAATTTATGTTGACTTATTTGTGGCTCATTCGGGTGTGATAGCTTAATTATTTCCTTTTTGGCCAAAGTGAATACAGGAGAGCTTATTTCATACTCTTATAGTTCTACTTATAAGATAATAAGGAAAGATATTTTTTGATCATATTTATAAGGTATTGGAAAAAAATTTTATATGGATATATAATTTTATTTTTTATTTGTTATTGCGTTGATTTTATTTATATGGAGTATAATTATATTAAATAGAGATGGAGTTAAAAAATTATTAAATTTTAAATGAAAATTAATGAAATTTAAAATTTTACTTAATATGTATGAAACATGTTAAAAATGACTTATAATTAGCAGGAGTATGTTAACAAAAGAATTATAATATTTTTTTTTGGGGGGTCAGAAGAAGTATAGTATTCTTGCTATTTATTTAAAGCACGAACCATACTTGAATTGTGAAGTTCATGATCTCTGTAAAGTGTAAATCTAACACGAAATGTCATTTCGCTTTTGAAATCGACGTAGTCATTTATTAAAAAAATTGACAAGATTAAATCTATAAACTGGTATTATTATATAAAATTAGTGGGCGACACAATTGAGAGCGTGAATATTCGAATTGATCATCAGGTTATTTAACTCCTATTTTTCCCCTGTATTTTCAATTTAAATACTCAGTCGAGCCTCAAATTACATGACAAAATGAAGTTTATATCAATCGCGTGCAAAAGGAGAGATTGCTGAGGTCAATTCCCAACAACAAAACATCTCAAAATTGAGTTTACTTTTCATCTTTTGTTTCTTTCCTATAATTTTAATTTTTTTAATATTATTTTGCATGTATGAATTGCCATCTGAAACTTGAGCACCTTCATCTGGTCACTGGTCACTGGTCACGATGGATTTATAGGGGACACATTGAATCGAAATCAATTATCTGAAAGCATCTTGCTTCTATGGTCATCACGACAAAGTTAGGCATTGTTAATCAGAAATTTAATAACACATCCCAAAAGTTCATCCTAACAAGAACATTAATAAAATTCCACTTAAGGCATAAACTTTCGAGACTCGTATCTTTTGCTCTTAGTTTGTTTGAAAAACTCAAGTCAGGATGAACTTCTAATTGCCTTGACGCTATATTGATGTTGAACTTGAACAGCAAACCCATGGAAGAATGTTCTATTTGATGATCTCCTCTACCGGACAGAGTCTATATATAACGATAACGGTGACCAAAATCATTCAGCGATAGTTTTTCAGCTTCCACTTCAATCCCCCCTCTGGCCATAATACTACACAAAATCAAGCAGATAGACTACTCCATACAAACGACCTTAGAGAGAATTGGCCAGAGGACAAAAGTAAAATTTGATAATTTAAAAAAAAAAAAAAAAAAATCCTTCAGGCGGCAGCTCCATGAGCAGCTTCGTCATGTAGCAGAGCCTGATCAAAGTGCCAAACACCTGCAAGTCCATACCAAGGCCCCAAGATGTAAACAAATGGAAAAAAAAGAAGGCGAAGCCAAACACAGAAAACACTTTGATGCAAACTAAATCTGAATTATTACCATGTCCCTTGCCCACTCTTCTGAGCTGAGCAACATATTCGGACATTCTTTTAATGGCCTCAACCTACAGTAAATACATTCCAAATAACAGAAATCAGATCCAAGCAGATGCAACTTGTGCAAAGTTTATAACAATGATTAACAGCTAATTTTGTGTTGTCTCTTTCATTCAGTTGCAAAGAGCAAAGTTATAAATTCAACACCAAAATTTGAATTACCTGTTCACCCAGAAACTCGCTTTCAACAAAATCTGCCAACTGCACATCATTGTTCTTTGAGGCAGCCTATTAACCAGCATGCGTCAAGTAGTCATAAGAAAAGAACTTTCCCTATAACAATGCCTACGTAATACATGACTAAGATAAAAGAAAGCATTGCAGTTAATCCAATATGAATATGAAGCTAACTTGTCTTACTTTGTGCAAGTTTAGGAGCTTCTCATTAGTTAGCTTCTCCAATGATAGAGCAAGCTCCATAGCTGTAACAGAAAAACAAATATAATTTTGTTTAGCGCTGACAACAGTGGAATATTTCCGCAGACAAATTAAAATCCACTAACAACGCCTTACTTGTATTCTACATCATGTCAACTAACAGAGATAATGAATAAATTTATATATGTCAAAGAACACATTATCATACACGCCATGATTAAAAGCAAACCATCAGCAAACAGAAAGTCAGAAACAATCAAAGCTTGCATATGTTAACAACATATCCTTATTTATAGGACGTTTATTTTCCGTGAAATCCTGCAAAAGCATCTACTTCCCCCAGAATCTTATCCAAGCATCGCAAGTAAGACCAGGCTACTGATTCTCAAAGGTTTCATATTGTTAAAGAGCGAGCAATGCAATAAATCACGGTCATTTTAGTACATGCGTGTAATGCATGGGCGAAATTAGAAATTAACGTTGCATCAATAGTTCTGAAAAAGAAATGCTCAAGTGCAACAAGTCAGCAACCGCATATCTCACAAGGATAAACGCACAAAAATGCAGTTAACATACCAGAGTGTCTTCAATTATAGGGCGAATTGTTTAAATACATCAGGCGTAAATTTGCGAGTAGAAACATACCATATAGGGCATCTCCCTTTTCATCATGATCAAACTCAGTAAGTGGCATCACAATAGACTGCAGCTTCACTCTCCCGCCCCGCTTATTCTGAAATTCACAGCGACACATGTAGCAGAAAGAATTCAACATGACCGCAAAGGAGAAAGACCTAGAAGACTTCTTGCTATATCTCTACGACAAAGTCAGATACCTGGTACTCCATCAATTTCTCAGCATGATGTCTTTCTTCCTCACTTGACTCCCTGAAAAACCTGTTAAATCATAATCATTAATCGGTGCTGACCGAGAGGAAGAAAATGGCCAAAGAGACCCCGAAGGAAAACAGAGCGCTACTTGGCAAGACCCTTGAGAGCGACATTATCCCTATCGAAATAAGCAAACATCGCATGGTAAACGTAGGAGACGTTGTACTCCACACTGTAAAGCAAGAAGACAATCGAAAAAAAAGGGATAAGCATTGGCAAATAAAAAATTGAAGACAGCGGAACATCCATGAGCAAGAAACATAAACATGTGAGACATCCTATCCCTTCAAGGACACCCGATAGTAGAGTGAAGAAACGTACTTGATCTGCTCGTTAATAGCAGCCTCACACTCGTCCGAAAAATTCCGGCGAGCAAGAGAAACTTGTGGGACGTCGGGAACAAGACTCATGTCCTTTTTAACCTCTTCAAAGGGTTCGAAGAGGACACCTGTAAGGGGTCGATCATTCCCACTCTTAGAGGCGCAAAGCACTAAAGCACTTCCATTTTTCCCAGGAGAGAAGGGAAGAATCAAGGACAAAGAAGCAGACGAGTTAAACGGCGAAGATGAAGGAAACAGAGAACCGAGATGGTCTCCATTGACGTTGGAGATAGACAAAGACGAAGCAGCAGCTTTAAGAAGCATGATTTCGAGACGAAACAAGACGGATAAACCAGGTTTAGCAAGAGAAGAAGATAAACAGAGCTGGAATGGAGAGAAGTGCAGAAGCAGAATAAGTATGAGAAGGGGAATGAAACAGAGGAAGGAAAGGGCGGGGTTTGGGTGTGGCGAGGCGAAGAGGGGAGGATAAGGAGGGTGATGAGAGTGAGATGGAGAGTGAAGGTATAAACCGTAGGAGCAAGGGACGCGTGGAGGGTCATAATTGAGAGGATGCGTGAGGAGCGTGGCGATCTCGTGGTCGTGGCTGGCGCCTTGGCGGGCTCAGGCGGGAATGAAAACATCTGAAAACTTTAGGTCAGTACGGTTTTTAGTTTCATCAAGTCCGTTCTTACTTTAATTTTAATTTTTTAATTTTTAAATTATAAATTTTGATTCCTAAATTTTTTATTTAAAATATTAATTCTTATAATCTAATAAAAATTTAAATTATTTTGTCTGTTAAGAGATAAAAAACTTAAAGAACAAAAATCAAAATAAAAATAAATTTAATAAACAAAATATTACATTAATTCCAAAATTTTTGTCCATTGACGATAGATAGATACGATACGAGTGTGGCTTGGGGTTTTGCCGCCGTTTGTGTGACCAAAAATGTTACTTTTCTAGTTTTTAATATAAAATCTATTTAATTAATTTAATTAGATTAAGAAAGTTAGGTAAGTTAGTTATTATAACAAAAGTGATATATTTTTTTTAAAACACCACAATCATCTTTCTTAATACCTCATCTCTCTCTTCTACTTGATTATGGTTGAAGGAATATCTATAGGGGTAATTTAGAAAAAATTGATAAATATGATAAATGAATCTTATATTTAGAACCAAAACCAACTCAATAATTGAGTCCTATATTAAGAATAAAAAGAGTAGCATGGAAAGGCCTCAGAATCTCGTGCTTCCTTCCTTCTGATTTCAACGAATCACCAGATGCGATGAGACTGAGGATTGCAGTGGCGACGCGTGACTCTTACGCTTTATTATGGAACAGCGTCGATGTGGGCCAAGGAAGCATTTTTGAGTTAAATTTTGGATGTGATTATTTAGTATAGAATTATACTATTTCTGGTTTTATTTATAAGACTTTGTTTATACTCTGTAAACGAAATTTTATAAATAGAATCGAAGAAAATACCTCCTTCTTAGTTTTGAATCTTGTGATTATATTTTGTTAAAAAGCGCATGTAGGCTTTAATTTTTTGGCGCGTAAATGAAAAGATTTTTTTCCCAAACATTTACGAACAAGATTAAATTTGGTCAGAAAAACAGACACAAACTTAACTTTGATTCAAACATCCAATTGCTCTTTTATATCATTTTAATTTTTTTAGGCGGAATCATGGTATTCTCTAATCTTTTTCAAAATCTCTTAACAAATATATTTTTCAGAATTTGAATCTGTTTCTCCTTATGACAAGTGTTACGCCGCTACCACAGCTTAACGGTTGTATCATTTTTAGTAGAGAGTGCATATATCAAATTCAACTGATGAGCATTTGTAAAACGTAAATGAAAGCTCGGGAGCAGTGTTGATCAGTTGTTAAACCGTGACTCGTAAGAATAAAAATAATGAACTTCGGTCGGTCTCAGTCTACCCGTTTCTTAAAAATCTTTTAACTAAAATGTTGGCTCAAATCGAAAATCATTCCTCTCAATGTCCGACCTCACGTTTAATTTCTAACCACTGCTCTAAGAGAATCTGTGAAATAGATTGGGGCAAGTCCGAAATTTTGCTATTTATCGTGCTGTGATACCGATGCCTGGTCGTCGGAGGGGGAGAAAAGGACCGAGATGAAACTTTGTGCGAGGACCAAATACTTATCGCGTTGGAATAAAATTCAATATATGGGGTGACAAAATAGTAAAACGTGATTGTCATGAAAATAATGCGTAGAGATGAAAGTAATATTTATAATTTGCTGAGGAGCTCATAATAGTAACGATCATAAATTTAAGTCCATGATTAAAAATCGAGGTCGTCAGATTATAGCAGTACTTGGCTATTTGGCATTACTATTCATGATCTCGCATTTGGAAAGGGATTCAGATCTCAGGGTGGTCGGACGCATTATTGGGTTGGGCTGATTAGCATAGTGGAACAACGGAGCCTTCAGATGTTGGGCCTAAGAAATTAAAAGCTCTCTTCTCAGCCCAAAGCTTGTTCTCCTGGGTAATGGGTGGGAATTGTGATACGGAAGCAGAAAAGTAAGCCCCTACCAACGGGGGTTAGTCCAAGTGGTAAGCAGCTTGGTACCGCTTAAGCGAGGTCTCGAGTTCGAGCCTCAGCGTATGCAAAAATCCCCGTTGGGAGACTCACCCACCACAGCCAGGTGCGCGATGCAGGTCGGATCCAGATGTAGTCGGAGCAAAGTTTCGGTGAACTGAGTGGGCAACCAAAAACAAACAAAGAAAAGAAAAGTAAGCCCTTCTTTTTCTCCGTGGCGTTCCCTGATATTATAGCCATAGGGGCTAGGGAGCTAAAGCCTTCAGCGTGATGCTCCAAGTCTCAAACCCACGCAGTACGCACTGGCCCAATAGTCTAAACCAAGGGTGGCGAGCATGAGCCAGCCAGTTGTGGAGGCCCAAGGGGGGCCGGGCCGGGCAAAATGTTGACTTACCTGTGGACTACATACCGACCCATACCCCCACAACCAAAACAATCTCCTGCTCTGGCTGCTGGGGCTTTTGTTTTAGATAAATTGCTGTGAATTTAAAAGGACAGTTATTTAAGGCTAAAAGAGTATTAAAGATGAACATCTATTTTATTTTACCAAAGGAGGAAGGCGAGGCCAGGCCGGGGAAAAAGTTGACGGAGGCAGGCCAATGTCTCCTATTCTCCTGGACGAATCCCACTCTAGCTGACTAATACTGCAGGCCACGTGTTAAAATTAATTGATGGGGTATTTTCTCATGCTGTTTTTGTGGTAACTAGATAACGGGACATGAGGGGACTCGTGAATACAAAGTCACGCAGCTAGCAAGTTTTCCCGACTTGTGATGAACACCGTTAAATTTAAATTCACCACATACTATTGTGAACAAGACATTTTAGTACGTAGCAAATATATATATATATATATATATATATATAATAAATTAGCATAGTGGACGGGTTGGGGGAAGGGGTAGGGAAAGCACGTGGCAATTTAATTTGTGCAGAATATAGAGTATGCATATATTAATGATGGGGGGAAGAGATAAGGTGGACTCAAAAGGAATCTTGATGGCCACGATGCACATTAAATGACCGCATTGGAAGCCTCATGTCGTTTCCTTCTATCGTGGTGAGATGTTTGTTCCCTCCCCCATTAATTTATCATCTTCTATTTATAAAATCACACCCATTCATTCTCAATATTATATCTCCTCTTGTAATTTCCTGGTGCCCTCGTCCTTCCACCAGTATATATAACCTCAAACAACATGCCGACACGGGAAATTGTGTGTGTGTGTGGGTGTGTAAGCAAAGCAGGAACATTCTCTCGCTTGCATGATATTTGAATCGCAGCACATTCGCGCTCTATTTTTAACGTCACAAAAAACAAAAAAGGGAATGAAGAATTAACTTCACAAGTGTGTGTCCGTGATGGCTGGATAGAAGTTTAGCCGTTACCAGGAGTGACCGTGAAATTTTTGGTTTGCAAATACTATATCCGATTCTTAATATAAAAAATAATTTAATTTTTAATTTGGTTTTAAATATAATATCACAATCTGTTTTTTTTATATTTATTTATTTTGAAATAATTATCATGGTAGTTATATATATTAAATGTTTTCTTAAATTATAACTAATACATATGATTAATAAATATATTTAAAAAAACAATATTTAACTAATTTTTTTAATTTGTTTACATTAATTAACTAACTTTTATATTAAGCAGTGGGATAGTTAGCGTCAGTCAGCGTCAATCAGAAATCGGGGAAAGCTTTGAAGTTGGGGGAAGCCGTGAAGAATCATGTGAAGCAATTAATGCGACGCCAGCATAGGATTTCTAGCTAGCTCTCCCACAATTTACAAGTCTCAATGTCGTTATTATTATTGAGCTCCATCCCAATCAGCTTTCATTATCTATAATAATCCATACAATCTAATTGCACGTCACGAATCTCATTCACGTCTTCTTTCTACTGGCTTTTAGACTTTTAGTGACAATGTACAGTCTCAGGAAACCTGAATCTGAGTTTGACAGGAGTTCATAACCATGTAAACGCTCACAACATCGCTGTCGCTGTTAAAAGGGTGTTTGGCAACCTTCAAACCATGATTTTAGATACATTTTTTTATAAAACGAAACAAATTCCTCTAGATATTTATTTCGTAAACCGTAAAAACACTTCTAAAACTATGATTTGATTTCTATCCAAATACTCTCCAAATCAATCTTTGATCTCTCTCTCCCTCTTGTCGTTAGAAGTTTTTTAATGCGGCGGATTAGATATTAGCTTATATTCTAGAAGCTGCTCGCTCGCAATTATCTAAAATGAAAAAATTAAATTAAACATTTGTGAGTTTTTTCAATAAAAAAATCTTGTTAATTAAAATTCAGAATATGCGTGTGAGTACGCTAAGTATGAATTTGAAATTGGATTACGTGGTTTCCTCTATACCATGAGGAAGGATATGTTGTTCTTCCAATATAACGCAGTAGATTTTGAGGAAAGAAACATCCAGGGTTCATTGAAGAATCTTACAGGTTTTCTCGAGCTTCCGCTATCTATATATATACACACACACACACATATCTCCATATATCCTATCTGATATTATATCTACTACCCTCCAAATTAAAATCGATCTATCTTGAGATTTTGAAGCAACCCTAGCTGATAAAAAAATGTCGTGTATTTTGGATTGGAGGGAGTATAAATCATGCATAGCACCGCTCGTGGCAAAGTTATGTGAAGGACTTTGTTAATTGATTAATACCACTTTCAGTTTCTTAATATAATACTCCTTCGGTCCTTAATATAAGACCCATTTAACTAATTTGATTAGATTAAGGAAATTAGGTAAGTTAGTTAATTATAAAAAATATGACACGTTTTTCCTAAAACACCATAGTCATCTTTCTTAATACCCCCTCTCCCTCTTCTACTTGATTATGGTTGAGGGAGTATCTATAAGGGTAATTTAGAGAAAATTGATAAATATGAGAAATGGGTTTTATATTTAGGACCAAAATCAACTCAAGAATTGAGTCCTATATTAAGGACCGGAGAAGTATGTTGTTTGACTTTTATTTTGGTTATAAATATAAGACCCCAATTCATTTTATTTCTCATATTTATTTATTTATTTTTTCAAGTTAGTCATTCTAATAATGATAATTCTAACCAATATACTTGATTAGCAAAAATATTTTAGAAAATACAATACCTATTTGTAACAAATAACTAATTTAATTTATTTTCTTAATTTATTCAAATTAGTTAACTAGCTATTATATTTAGAATCCGAGGTGGTATAATAATACTAGTACCATCTACTGTTCTTAATATAAGAGTTAGTTTGACTTTTAATTTGGTCATAAACATAAAATCTCGATTAACTTTGTCTTTTCTATTTATCGATTTTTTTAAAAAGAATTCTTGTAGTCTTTGTATATATTAAAGTTAATTTCATTAAATGACATTTGATTAACATAGACATTTTAAGAAATATAATACCTATTTATTACAAATAATTAATTTACTTACTTAAGCTATAATCAACTAATTTTTATATTATGGATATTTCAGAGTTTAAGAGCATCCTAATCGAAGAGTTAAGTCAAACAATCCACATCGGAAGAAAGAGAGGCGTTAGAGATAATGTGCGGGTTCACGTGAATGTTGGCGGGTAATTACAAACATGCGCTCCTCGCTCTCCAAGAACAACGACTTAGCGCGCTAATTACAAACCTACCCCTCGCTCTGGATAATCAGTAGCTCAGCACCAGCTCAGAGGGGAAGCTAAGCTATCCGCGTCAGTGTATAGTCAAACATCGTGGAAGCCATTTCAAGTGTGTGCGCGCGCTAGAGATCGGCGGCGTCAACCATAACCCTTGTTTTTATATCCCTTCTTTCTCTCCCTGTGGGCCCCCCTTCTACGTATCTGCTCTTCACCTTCAACGTTCAACTCCTCTTTCACTCTCTACACCACACCTGCTTTCATTCACTTGTAAATTTCCCACTTCTGATCAATATACAAGAAAATGGAGGAGGCGGAGGCCGAAGGAGAGACGAATTCGAATTTGACGAGGTTGAGGCGTCAGGAGCTGTAGTGATCAACGTACGTACATACGATATAATGTAACATCTTCATTCAAACACACAGTAACGCCGTCGCTACTGAGAACCCCCCCCCCCAAAAAAAATTGCCCACTGATTCAGTTTCTCCGCTTCTAACTAGAGCCGGTGATACAGGCCAACTCATTGGTTATGGGTTGGCTTGTGATAGGCTCAAAGACCGATCGGCTAGTTATAAAAAAATCGACTTCTGACGGGCTGATATTTTTCCAATCCAACCCGTCAGGATGAGTTAACGGGTTAGGCCCGCCAACCCGCCACTTTTTTTGTTAAAATTTTTTTGGTGCCTTTTGTTTTCTTTTAATAAAATTTATTCTAATTCTTAAATACCTAAAATAAAATATGCATATAGAAATTATTATAAATAAAATATGAAATCCAAAGTTCTAAACATTTCAAAATACTACTATAAAGTATACATGATACATCATCCTAAATTATTAAACATATATCCCAAATTAAAACATTAAAAATTTAAATTAATAATAATACAAACACAATGTTGCAAATCACTATCAAATACTTAACCATGAGCTACCATTCAATGTTGATATAATTTAAAGAATGATATGAAGATATGAAATTATCTGGTTACGCTTCATAAGTAGAATCGCCTTCTTTTTGCTCAACTTTGTTATAAGTAAAATTCATAATACAAAGTAAAAGATATATTACATTATGATAATTTTAAATAATAAGAATGAGATAAATAACCAAAGAAGTAGACATAATTATATTTGAGGGACGAAAATTTTTTTAAAAATAAAATAAAATAAAACGGGCCGGCCCGTCAACCCTGCGGGTTAGCCCGCCGTGGGTTCAATCTTAGCTGTTACGAGATCAAAATATTCGTTTTAAAACAAGTCTGATTTTTATCAACTAAACCCGTCACTTCTTAGGGGGTTGGCGGGTTGAACTTGCGGGCTCAACCCATATTACCAGCTCTACTTCTAACACAACTTGCACCAAACACTTCAAACTCTCACTTCATCACAACTCGTCTCATTTTTAATCCGTTCTATCAAAATTTCCTGATTTTGCTTGGCCAGTAGAATGTGAACAAGTAAAATTTGCTAACAAACAAATCAAACAGGGGAAAAAAACCTAAAAGAGGCATTATTAATTCGTTGAATCAAATCATCATCAATATCTATTCAAGATAATATAAAATTAAAAACCCAAGAGCCTACTCATAGCTGAATAGCCGATTGATTCCTCTCACTCATGTAGAGTACTAAATAAAATATGATTGGCAGCGGAGGTTGGGCCAGGCGCCGCAGGCCACATTATAAATAAGAACGCTGCTAAAGTCATGCCTCCCCAACTCTCTGGCTTTGTCGTTGCATCCCATCAGAAAGCAAAAAGGCCAAAATGGGTGGGAATTCCCCCTGCGCTTCATGCAAATTGCTCAGACGCCGATGCGCCAGAGACTGCATTTTTGCTCCCTATTTCCCTTCCGATGATTCCCAAAAGTTCGCCATCGTCCACAAGGTTTTTGGCGCCAGCAACGTCAGCAAAATGTTACAGGTTCCTCACCCCACTTTCCCTCCCCTCTTTTGTTTGCTTCTTCATCCAACATTCACAGTCACAGTGACGAAAAAAGTAAGACTCCATCTTTCAAGTATTGGTTTCTTATGTTTCTCGCATAACGAATGATTCAGGAACTTCCGGTGCACCAGAGAGCCGATGCGGTGAGCAGTCTGGTGTATGAAGCTAATGCGAGAGTGAGAGACCCGGTTTATGGCTGTGTCGGGGCCATATCGTACCTGCAAAACCAGGTGTCGGAGCTTCAAATGCAGCTGGCGCTGGCTCAAGCAGAGATACTCTGCATCCAGATGCAGAATGATCCGGTGATGCTGCCATACCCACCAGATCACCCCAAATCATACTTTCTCCAAAATGACCTTCCTCAGCATCTCAATTTAGCTTCTTCTGGCAATGTAATCCATCGCGATCACTCTCTCAAGATAGAGAGCATCTTTGGACATGACATGGTTTCTTGAATAATAGTTTCTCACCCGCTTCGCCTTTCCTGGCCATTTTTGTTTTGTCGTTATTTTCGCAAGTCCTCTTCTATACTATAACATGAAAGACGAAAAGTTCTTTGCACCTGGTTTATTTTGTGGCTGAGGACAGAAGCTGGGAGTAATATGGGGTCAACTCTAGCATGTGATTATAAGTACTAACGGAGTAATCTAGAGTGCTCTGAATCAGCGAACCTGTTCAACCGAGGTGCTTGTAAATTAATGCACTGAGGCCAGGGTCGGTGGGGGTTTTAAAAAACAAAGGCCCGGCATTCTGATAATTATATAATATGTCTTATGGTCTGCAAAAGCCAAATTCCAGGAAGTTTTTCCCCTCTAGAAACTTGTGTTCGATTTGGAATTCGACTCCTTTCAAACTGAAACTTCCTGAAACCAAGAACGCTTCATTTCCCCAATCAGAATCCGTCCTTTGATCTTAAGAGTACCTGAATTCAAGTTCTAGGATGTGATCAGCCTACAGTTTCTGCTTGTTTGCAAGTCCTGTACGTATGTGTGTGTTGTGTGCACATGGAAATGTCAGAATCAAACAGCCTAAAGACAGTTTGTGCCCAATCTTTACTACTCTTTTTGTCTACGACTCGTTTTATAGTGTAAAAATGTGTTTTATATTTAAAAACGGTGAGAGTATTATTTTCATTTCTATTATTGTCAAATGGCACTCTGCGGGACGTTAACAGTGGGAGGTATCGCAGGGGAATGATGAACGAGTAGTAGTGGAACAACATAAAATAGAGTTGGGTTTACGAGTATCAAAACAAATGATATTTAAATAAAAAAATTAACGGTTTATAGTCAAACTTGTACATTAAGAACCATCGAAAGGGTTGTTATAACAAACACCGAAGGAACAAAATTAAATGTTTTTGGCCTGCGAAGCATGAGTTCCTAATTATAGCCAGGTTGTGAAATAAAATTTGCGTGTAATACGTGTTTTTTTTTTTTTACCCGTCTGACTTGAGCTTGGGGTTCTTTCGAATAAATAATCATGCACGGAGGAATAAACAGGCACGAAATATTATTATTATTGCGTGATGGCGTTGTTACGATCTGGAAATTATTCGCACATTTGGCTTTTCTTAGAACGAGTAATGGCGTTGGGTTGGCTGTTTCCTTGGCAAAGTTATGTTCTGTATATCCGTGTTTACTTTAAGCCACTCTATGATTGATTTCTCTCAACTCCTCACATGTTCCCTTCTTTCTTATCTCTTCCACTTTCCTGTCTCGTCATCTGTCAATTACCTCACAAAACAACCATTTTATTCAACTATTACATAACTTCAACTCTCTCTCTCTCTCTACGTACGTGTATATCTACTGGCAGCAGCATACATAGCAAGTGCTGTTTTTGTTTCTTCTGGCTGCTTCACGTGGGGGGCTGTGCCGGAAAGTGCTCAGTTCAAGGGATGTGCCTAATTTAAATCTGTTAAGACTGCCTCTGAGGCCGCAATGTACACACACACGTATTAATATTCTAAATATTCAAGACGAAGAGGGAGAGCTAACAACCGTCAGTTGTTTGGTTTAATGTGAAAGCATTTTGCCAAAGTCAAAGGTTGAAAGCTTAGTAAGTTCATCATGGGCACTTCTTCTACTTTTCAATAGAAAGCCATCTCCAACTCTCTTGACTTCCACACAACATGTTAACAAATCACACTAAAATCCCACTAATGAAAACTTTTATTTTCTTTCTTTCTTTGAGTTCTTTCTCGGTTGCGGATGGGCTCATTTACGCTGCAGTTCCCCCCCGATACTGGTTGTGTAGAGATATCCATGTGCCTAATTTTCTGTTATTTAACATGGAGTATATATATTTTGATTCTTATTACAGAATCCCTTTGCTAGTTATCTTGCCAAAGACAGGAAACATCCTCTACGCGCGTTGCTATGTGATGGGGTGAAGGCACCTGACAATTTTCTGAAAACATTAATTGTATCTTAAGGCTTTTTTATTGAAATGATTTTTTTGGTCTTCGTTTTTCACTCAGCCTTATTCTCTTTAAAATTTTCTATACCTATCTAAATATATTTCCTAGACTAGAATAATTAAAGATAGCTACTGAGAACATCATAGATATATATATATAATTAAAGTCGAATAATTGAAAAATAAAAAATGAGTATTAAAAAATAATTCTAATAAAGCATCGATCCTTTTATGATTAATATTTTTAGACGATCCTCGAACGTCATTTTATGATTAACATTAGATTTTACAGACATTAATTGCTCATAACCATTCTCCCAGTCTTAATCTTCACCGTCGCACACTCCGCCACACATGCAGCAGGCGCATTTCTCCGAATTAATATTAATATAATGTAATTTTTTGGTATTAATCTTGATAAATCGTAGGAGTGAAATCACTTGAACCTTTATCATTAAGAAAAAGCTTAAATATATTTAAGTTAAAAGAAATTAAACGTGCTCATTCCTACAATATTAGTTTCTGGTACAAACTGTAGAAAGGACAAGCTGATTGCGTGTTTTCTTGAAAGTAAAATGGTTGTTATGTGGTGTTACCGGGAAAAAAAAATGGTTGTTATATAGTGTTGTAGACACTAGTGAATGATTCTTCTTCTTCACTGAAAAAGAAAAAACATTACTGCAGATGTACCGTAACGGGTTAACCATTATTTATTTGAATAAATAAAACCCCAAAGGCCTAAATACACATAATTAAGCCGAAGTAAAGCGAAAGTTTAAAACTTGATTCAGTTGCTCCGGCGTGAATTGGAGATTGCCAGAGGCTTCTGGATCCGGTGGTGAGGTTAGATGGAACTCGTCGATAGTCAAAATAAAAGAATTATATACCGGCCACTGAGCAGAAAATTACACGCGTTTGTCAAAATAGACAAGACAAAAGCACATCCCTCTTTTCTATCAATATGAAATTCTGCATTATTGTGGAGACAAAACAAGTGGAAGTAGGAACTTCGTTTTCATTTGAGGGCTCGAGGTTAATACTTCCAAAACATTTTGTTTTCGAATTCAGATGCCACTAACCCACCCCTTTTCAGTTCTCTTTCGTTTTTCTTCTTTTTTCTTCCACTTGTCAAGTCAAAGTAAGATTTTTTTGTTTTTTAATAGCCCATGGTGGAGAAAATCTACGCTATGTAGAAGCTGCTCAGCTTTCTCTCTTTCTTGTTTTTGCCTTTTCCACACGCTACAATGTAGATACGAACAACGCGGTTATGCTGCTGATTCAAAGGATTTAAATATACATTGAGCAGCCTGGAGCATTGAACCTCCTCACAGTGACTGTATGCAGCTCTCAAACACAATTATAGTCAATGCACTGCCTACTTTTGGACTCATGTTACTAGTATCCCACACAATAGAAGTCTTAGGCTCACCACGTTTAACATCAAAGCAGCACTATGCTTTTTGACTGATCAGCATAAAGTAGTAGTAACAATAAACAACAACGATAGGAAAGGCACTTCACTTGCACCGTTAGAACGAAGTTTCATTAACATTTTCAGCTTAAGCTTAACATGTGGAAGCGCCCTCTAAATTCAAATTTTTCAATAGGGTCCTCATATGAAGGAGAAGTAATATTACATTGAAAATGATCATTTAAGAATTTTCGACATGCAGCTCATAATATGGAGAATCACCAAGTTTCTGATTTGTGCCATCATCTCTACAAACTTGGATAATAAACTTGACACGGGAAATGGCAGAAGGAATTTTGAGGTCAGAAACGTAGAAACAATTCACTTGTGCTATTCCAAGGTACTCTGGCATTGGCACACGTTCTGTTTGATCTGATAGTTTCTCTACATACACTTTGTAGTTAAGGAACACGTAATTATGACCATCTTTCAGGTTCCACAGAAGTTTGAGACTAAGGGTCCTTGAACCCTCGGAATCTGATGTCCATTTGATGTATTCACCATTAACTAGCCATGAAGTAGACACAGGGAAATCCGAGTTATCAGCAGAACTCTTGACTGTGACATGACCAAGAACCGAAAAATAATCCGTTGAAGAACTGGCTGTGCCATCAGGGCCATGTGACCTGGATTTCAGTCTTGGAACATTGAATGTAGGCTCTGATCTGTAGCACACAGCATGCATTCCTGTTAATACGTACCCATTCATAGTGATTGTGCCTTCATGTACAACCCATTCAGGGGAAAGTCCCTTCAGTTCACGCGTCATGAGTACTTTGTCAAATTTGCTTGAGAGCTGGTTCATTTCCGGAGACGCGATGAGTACTGAAGTTCTTTCGTTTGAAATGGAAGTGAACTCAAACGCAACTCCCAATGAAGAATTGCTATCAGATTTCACCTGCATCAGTTGTGGGTTTCATGAGCGAACTAGATTTAAAGAAAAGAGCCAGCCTTGTCTGAATGGGCAATATAACATTTGGCCAGGCAAAAAATGCCCCAATTCCTTTTTCCGGATTGCGCAGCTTTGAGCTTATAAATGACTAATATATGCCGTACATTTCACAAGTAGAGAGCTTACAGAATATAACATACGGATAGGTGACTCGCCCACAGCAAACTGCCCCAGAAAAATTCTCTTCTGGAAATAAGTTTGCCGCTCGAGAGATCCCTTAAAAGTAATGTTCCCCCCTCCACTATAGGATGCTTCCTTAAAGCTGCGAATTCCAAAGAAAGCAAGCAAATGCTTGAGTGCTTGACGTCCTTTCGTAATTAAAATCGACAAATTATTCAACATTTTAGATGGAAAAACAGAAAAACGAAGTTATAATAACGTCAGTTAAAAAAAAAGAGAGAGAGAGAAGGAAGGAAAGAAAGAAAGAAAGAAGTGTGACTGATAATATGAGAAGACTTTGACCACTATCAGCTTAGCCATCAAACTCTTAATCTTGCCAAGAAAGATGTTCCTGAGGATGGCCGCATAATTAAAAGCAAGATTTAAAATAGAACATTTTTTATTCTCAGGCGACAAAAGCAGTACTTAGTAATTGAATGAGGATTACCTATCCTGAAGCATCCTCTTATAATCAAAATATTTGAGTCAGTCAGTTATGCCTTCTGTTTTAAGTACATTGACTTTAAAAGCATGAATTATATGACATATATTCTGTTTCGTTAATCGATTAAAAAAATTAGAAGAAGGAAATCCTGATATGTACTTACTCAACAAAAGCTTGAATAGAAGCATTTGGAGTAACATCAGCAAACCCAAGGAACGGCTGCACACATATGCGTAAATTAGAATATAAACAAACTCTGAACAAGTATCACTTATGTCAATGAAGGAATTACAGTTTAAAAGTCACGGCTTTGGTGTATAGATGCAATTAAAGAAGAAAATTCGCAAGTCATCCATTGCGCAAGAAAAGGATCTGTGATGGACATGAGGATGTGGAATAAGAGGAGGGGTGTCTATCAAAGATCACAAATATTGTACCTGTCGTTGTAAAGTAGCATTTTTTATACTTAATTACTTAATCTCAGAAATGACAAACAAGCAATTAATGAATGATGTGTATATGTAAATGCAACTGTCGATGTGGTACTTATTCGAGTACATACCTGTAAACCTTGGCAAGAAATGTTGCACCAAGCAGCATCAGATACTGTGTGCCCGTCAATCGAAATATGATAACCATGTCCCTGAAAGTAACAAAGAATGTCCACATTTGAGTGATTCAGAAAAATCTGATCTACAGTGTTTCTTCCTCAACCCAAAGGTTAATGAAGAAAAATAGATGTAGCAACCACAAAAGATCTCAAGGATTGCATCTAGCGAACTAATTGTAGGAGCACAAGTCCTGTCCAAAGCCATTGTATAAGCTAAAATTACCTGCCACTTTTATCTTATGACCAATTCATGACAGAAGTTTACGCTAAGAGCATTATTTGGAGTTAAATAAAAAATAATAATAAATATAATATAATTTATATACCCATTACCAACACCAGAAGGCATTAAGTAGTACTGTGGGCAAATTGAAAGAAGTCCGGTCTGGGCTTTTATTCTGACTTTTTAAGTGAACAGATGAAGTCTCTAATGGGAGTGTTTAAAGCTATGATTTGTACTGTTTTATGCCTTCCTCTCAAGCATGTCACTCGCTCAGCCTAAATGGGGATAGAGGAAAGTACAGCTTTTTTTTTTTTTTTTTAATTCTCGATTTCATTTTCCTTGCTTGTTCACAATTAATTTTATAGTAATTTAGACCAAGATTCAATGCAACTAACTCCACCTAGTGGGATAAGGCTTTGTTGTTGTTGTTGTTGTTGTTAGACCAAAATTCAATATTAACTTGAAGTTGTATCCAATTAAGTATGAGCCAAACATTTTCAGAGTTTTATTCATACCAGAAGCTCAGAAAGTCCCATTTGAGCAGTAGGAAGAAAAATAACAAAGGGGACAAGAATCACAATTGTTTACCTGATCAAAATTTGTGTAGAATGGCAGTGTTCCAGAGTAGTTTCGTAGTATACCCCATGATTTCTCCACAAGACCCCACCAACTACAATAACAAATGTAATGCAATAATGCAGGCACTTATATGAGTAAGTATTTCAAAATGGAATGACCATCATGATTATGAAACTTGTTTGCCTAATATGAAAATTCAAGAAGTTAGGAAACTTCAAAATTGTGAAAATGATTTTAGCATATGACACTAATTGGGTCTTTTATTATTATTATTTTTTTCGTTTAACCAAAATGCAAACATACCATGTAATATGTATGCAATTGTTGGGTATGACAAACATAAATAGCTGCATTACCGATTCTGAGCAGTCTGAAAATCCGGTGGTTGCTTAGTCTCATAGACCCATCCAGGAGCAAATACTGCAGCCGAGATATCCTCCTTTCTTAGTACGTCAAGAGCAACATTTGCCTGATACATCACATCCATAGCTCAGAGTCATGAAGAAGTTAGTGGGGGGGGGGGGGGAAATCATGAAGAAGTTAGTAAAAACATATCCTATTTGCATAACTTCTCATATACTATAAGTGACACTATGTGCATTAATTACAACTTGCAATGAGGAAGAAAGGATTTAAGTACTCTGTTCGGAGAAAAAGCTAATGACTTCTAATGGGATTAAAAGCTAAGCACTTCACTAAGGAAGAAATACACTATTAATTCTTTTTTTCTTTTCTTTTCTTTTTTCTTGGTTGGGGGGGGGGGGTTGGGGCAGGAATTCTAATGTCAGTTGTAAGCTTATAAATTCAAAGAAAATAAACATCTCTGATAAAAGCCATTATTATATACTAAAATAAAATCAAGATACTTTGAAGTTTAATATGTCTAGAATCTCTGCAACATCATATTTGAGTAATTAACTGGACCTAAAGCATGCAAGTTAATCCACACCCTGGCAGAGATTTTTTTTTTTTTTTTGGGCGGGATGTAGTATACTAGGAGAATACCATCTACAAGGTATCTACTTCAATTGAAACAAAGAAGCAATAAATCGAGAATATCAACTATATCAATGTTGCACTAAGAAATACATAGTTGTGATTGGTGAGCGTCGGTTCCTGGATGTTCTGTGCAGAATAATATTGATTAACAAATAAGTTATATGCTGAAATAGTTGACATATAATCTGTTGCTGCACAATAAGATTTTGTAGCGTTACCAACCACTTACATTCCACTGTCCACCACCGTAAGTGTTCCTCCCAAACACATCAATTCCCATGTACACGTCAAACTTTCTGTCACCAGCAACATTGGCAGAGAGCCTTGGATAGTCTTCCTAGATCGTGCATAAAAAAATAGATTTTGGTAAATAAAATTGATCAAATGATGGAATTGTGGAAGCATACTAGAGAAATAGACAATACCTCCCACGTATAGTTTACAAAAATTCCATCGCATATATCAAAGAAAGGCTTATTATATTCGTCTAACTTATTCTGATACTCTAATTCACCACTGATTGTAACACTGTCATACCTATATGAGCCAAAAAGAAGAAGAAGAAAATAAAGTCAAGTTTCACACCATAAGCAACGAAATATTACAAGAAAAATTAGTTTGCATCTTCTAACACTTACCATATTACTAGTGATCCGGGCACTGAAGAATGCATTATCAATGTTAAATGCTTGACAAATTCCTTCAAATTTTCAATTTGACCCAGGTCCAAATTTACCTCTATGTTCATCTGCAATTAAATGCTGGTGTTTCAACCACAGGCAAGATCACAGGAATATAATAAATGCAGTGCTTCAAACCAAAGAAGAATAGTGACATCTGTTTCTCACTATACATACATACATACATACATACATACATACATACATATATCCCTTAACGTGTTTTTATTAAAAATTCCAGCGGCAGAGACAACGTCTGTAAATTTCTTAGTCTGTGAACATTGAAAAGTACTTAGATCAAACAAATTCTTTATGCAGCTTCAGCTCAAACAGCCCAATTTCATAGAACTCAAACTATAATATTCAAGTTTAATAAATTTGTGACAATCACTCTATTTGCACTAGGAGACTCTGTTGCACTGCAGATCAAGAAGTTCACCTCTGGTATCATAATAAATATAACAATTCTCAAAGAAAATCACTCTTTACTCAGATTTAATTTAAATCTACAAAGACACGTGTATGAACACCCCTAAGCAAGCACGAACGATGAGTTTTTTTACCAGCCATCCATCAAAGCCTAAAGCAGCAGCAAGCTCTGCCAAACGCTCTGCATACATTTGTGCAGACTCCTTAGTTGCAAGCATCTCATTACAGACCGCCCTTCCCTCGTCCCATTCCGTGATGAATGTTCCCAACACCTAAGATATCAAAAGTGCAGCCAGGAAAGATAAAGTACAACATCCTTCAGTTAATCAATTTGAAACTAGTTACGATGTGAGTGATGCAGTGACATCATCTACCCCTTGTGATTAGATTATAAGCAATAAATGATGTTAGAAAAATCAACCTGCAACAGACAGATTAAAACCCGAGATAACATTCAGGAAAGATGTTTAAGATTACCATCTAATCTCATATCAATTAAACTAAACCAACAGCGGAGGTATTCAGTTGACTCCAATAACTAGTTTTTGATGAAGCAGTTTAAAAAGTTTTTAAAGGACCGTGTCACGGCACCATGATCAAAAGATCAAGTACCTTGACGCCATGACGATGAGCTGTATTTGTCCAACAAGGAGGAGGAAGCGTCACTAGACTATGAGAAAAGTACACAAACACATCTATCAAATGCCAATGCCATATGGCATAGGCATCGGCGTTAGTGCCACCCTGAACCCACTTATCATCGGTATAACCCCCGGCCATATCATGGCACACGAGCAACCTGCGCCGGCTGGGCAGTGAAGAAGAAGAGCCAAGACTTCGGATGGGAACGGAAGCTTTGTTAAAAGGGTAGTGAAAGGAGTCAAAATAGGACCGGGATTCCAGCTCATGGAGGGTTTTAATTGGATAAGAAATGGGCAGGGAGGGGTGACTGGGATCAAATGTTGGGGTGTCAGGAGCAGATTCGTGAGGCTCTACTGCTGAATTAGACATGATGAGGGAAAGGAGATTTCGCAGGATGCAACGAAGAGTGGTCCGAGCAGAGATCAAGAATTGGCGGTTTATATAGGGTCGAAGGCGCCGATGGATCATTCGACCCCGACTAGTCGCAAGTGGTCGGGGAATTTACTGCTCTGCTTGAGTAGTCGTGACGGCCAACTCTCGAGGTCAAAAAACTTAAAAAAAAAAAAAAAAAAGATGGCCGACCCGCTCCCATGAGGCTTCGTCGCGGGAGAGTAAATAACGGGATGTCCAGATTTTAACGCAGATTAATATTTAATAGAAGGGGACTTCTTCCTTTGTTTTTTTTTGTTTTTATTATTCTCAATCCATAATTAATAATTAATAATTTATGTTTTTAACATTAGAAATATTATGTCTATTTCAAAATAATCTTAATTTTTCAAAGTAATAAGAAATGAACAAACAAATTGCACATGCACATCAACTTCCTCAGAAATAAATTTCCAGAAACTATGCTGCTGAGAAATTAAATTTTCGAAAGAGTATACGATTAATTGAAGAAAACGAATCCTGAGTCTGTATGAACAAGTTTGCTCAGCAGTCGTAATGCTGGCGTTCTGACTTATTTTAATTTAATTGGTATATATCCTATAATTCATGGAAAAAGCTCCGTCCACGTATGGTAGATTCTAGACGCCAATGTGGTCTTGTCGCGCACGAAGGGGTAGAAGGAATATGGTCTAGCCTAGTCTGCACAGTTCTGTATCCTAAATCTGAACTTCAAAGTTTGATTACTCTGATATTTTTAAGTTTTCTTAAACATTGTTCTTTCCGAAAATTTCCCCAAACATTAATTCAAAGAAACTCATGCATTTGATGACTTCACAACGAATAAGAAAACAGAATAATTGAAACGTACTGTCATTTTTACCATAAATAATCGATTCAACAAACTGTTCAATTTTTTAACATAATCTTTTTTTACACCTTAATCTTATTTACATAAGCTCCTCAAGTGACAAAATGTCAAACTTACAATACAAAATTGTTTTGAAAAATTGTGGTGTCTTTTTCTGGGCCCAAGATGGATTACCCTATTAGTCTTGATACTTGTGGAATTCTGCGTAACTTGAGGAGGGGAAGATTTAGTTGAGAGTCTATTCTGGTGCCAAGAAGCCTGCAAAGTCTCTAGTTATTTTATGAGCCTTGAATGTGTTTTAGAAGTAACAGCAGTGATTGCAGGTAATTAGACGATTCTTTTTTCAGGCAAAAAAAAAAAAAAAAGACCATTCTTTTTATTGCCTCGTTACATGCCCCTTAACCTGCATTTCAAGGACGCGCCGGTGATTCATTTTTTATCCTACGTTCTTTTCTAAGTAAATAGCTGAAAATATTTTGTAATCACATAACGTTAGAAAATAACTAAACAGAAACTCAAGCTTCTCTGCTCACAAAATAAATGAATGAAGATGGCACGTTCCGGAACACGGTTTTTATGTTATGAAAAACAGAGTCCCTTTTCAAACGAAAAAAAGGAAATACTCCATGATTGAACATGTACATGTCTATCTCTCTTTATGTGTAACACGAGGAAACAATTAATAATCTTCCCCCTGCTGGTGAAACCCAAACGAGAAAGGAAAGCATGTGAGTAATTAATTTTTCATTTAGAATGTGCGCGTGATTCTTTATTACTATTTTTTCACAAATGTTGGATGTGGGCCACTGAAATTACGCGCACGGCGACCCCCCGTCGGCTCATTTGTCCACAGTCCACACCCATTGCTTGACCCAAAAAACAAATCAGGAAATAAAAAACTACAAAGGAGAGGTAAATCCACGTCATCCTTTATCGGTCCACCGGAGTAAAAGTAAAAAAATCCCAGAGGGGCGTTTGCAGTATTTTCCTAAAGTCGCGAGGCATTAAGCAAATAATAACAAGAACTGGCGCACCCAGAACCTAGTGAAAGTGATGGAACTTGCTTCCTCGCTCGTCACGTTCGAGCTTGTCCTTCCTCCGTTGCTCATTATCTGTGTCTTGGCACTCACTTCTCCGCTCTAGCTAACGAAGAGTGCCTTCTCCTTAGTACATCTGTGATTTCTCTGCGAACACATTGTGATTACCAGTATGAGATAGTTCTTGAATGAAGAGAATGATTGGTGGACAAAAATTTCTGAAATGGCTTATCCCTCTTGTCGCGATTTTACACCAAGTTGCGTCTCTGAACTCCGCCTCTGCAGCATGCGACTTCAGTTTTCTTGATGGAAACAGGATTTATAACTATACCTTGACTTCTCCCGTGCGGGACTTCCCCCATGGCGTTCGCAGCGAAGATGGGTGCGCCTTCCGTCCTCTATATTCTCTTGTTCCTGATCTGGGGGAAATCCTCGATTTATATTGTCCAACATATGTTTCGTTGCTATTGATTTGGCGTGGTTTAATGTAATTTTGCTGTTCGTTTTTGGGAGTTCATTTATTCGAATCTTATATTTGTTGCTCTGACGAACCGGTGTTTTTTAATATACCATCGTCTGTTGATATTTGCTCCAATTGGCTGAATTAAATGTAGAAAAATCCGCGGTACGGCTTAAGCAACGTGGCAATATAACCTTCTAAGTGGCTTTAAATTTCAAAGGAGCTAAGAGTACTGAAACTTGTTTGCATGATGGGTGTTGGAAATTATGTCTACACTCTGGTTCTACTCTTTTTTGGGTGATTACTCAGTGGTAGCACTTCAAATGATAGGCTACTCCCATGACGGTGGGAAAAGACAGTCGCTGTATTGTTCTCAATTTTAGTACGCGTGTTTTAATACAGATTTACGTACTCGGAGTCCATTTGATATGCTTCTGATAGTGAATTGGTTCATTCATTTTTTGCTCGTAGATATTACAAAGTAGCAGCAAACGAGACCATACTGTGGTTTCAGGTTGGCTTCATCAGGTCACACTTAATTCTTTGATTTCAGTAAGGTTGACTAGTAACAACTTTTAGAAAAAAAATTGTTGTTGCTGTAAATGCTAGGGGAAACACTATACTTGGGCTGTCTATGAAGAGATGCACATATGAAGCATTATGATTTTTTATAGGTAATACTGACCTTTTGTATGCTTTGTGCCAAGTATAATTGAGTTTCTTTTGGTTCTTGGTTGTTTGGCGCAGCTTTGTGATGGAATGATTTTCAATCATGACCCTCCTACATGTGCTGACTGCTGGGTAAATGCTTCACTTCACAGTCCAAGCTGTTTTATCTGTGTCGATGCTTGATAGACCACCCTATAGTTATCTTGATTTTGTATTGCCTTCCATCCTAGATTGATATAATTTTTATTAATACTCTATATGTCTCTCTCGCCCTCCTTTGGGGTAAGAATATCCGTGCTGCTTAGCTTCCTTGAAGACATCTAGAGTAATAATTATTTCCGGCAACTGAGTTAATGAGTAATGAACCCTTAGTTGATATGAAGCTTCAACACATTCATACTTCCTTTCCTATGAATATGCACTTACGCCAAGAAACCCAGCCACAAGTAACAGTAAGGGCAGGCTATTTAATACTTATGATAGGAAGTTATTAGACTAGCTACCTTGTAAACAAGCTTTAAGCATGCGTTGGCATCATAGTGTATTGATACATTAGATTAAGCTAATAAATCATGATTCTATCGACTTTAACTAACTCAAGTGAGTCTGTCCAGTCTTTTTCCTTGACAGATAGTGTGTTCTTCTATTTCTGAGTTGAGATGAAATGATAGAGCATAATACTGACTACTCACAGTAAGAACAATATTAGGATTTTTGTCGCTATTGAAAGTTCCAGCTGTCATGGAGATTTCATGGACTGTTTTTGGTTTTACATGATGGAACATTGAAAACCTGCTTTTTCTTGTTTTGTTAGTTATTAATTTGTTCTATATTTTCACAAAATCGTTTGCTTATTTGATTGCTTCATTGTATGACTTAGGATTGTGGGGGGCCAATGCGTTGTGGGATGGATTGTACTGCACTTGTAGCAAACAACATTGGAGGTAGAACTTGTGTGATGGCTGTGACTGTAAATACTTATGTTTGCCTCCATGAATTACATATGTTTCTAGTGTCTTTTAGTGGCTGTCGCTAGGTAGCTCGTTATACATTATCAATGGAATTACATGATTCAATGAATAAATGAATGCTTTACCTTGTTATTAAATTTCACCTATAACAAGAGATTGTTTTGTCCCTGTCAAATGAACTTTTGAGAGATCCCCATTAGGAAAATGTAATCTAGCTAATTCTTAGTCTACTTTTGCTGTTGGTAGATGTTCTCTAATTACAGATCAATAGATTTTCCTACTAATAGAAGTCATTCTGGTAGTTGGCGATACCCCATAAAAACATTAGATGTTTGTATAAACTGGCTCTTGATAGCTTCTAACAAAGATAAAAGATTACCTTCTTTTCTTTGTGGGCCGTCTGTGCTGTACAAAGAAACTTTGGCCTCGCATCTGTTGGACTCATAATGGGCCAAAACTGAGTTACATGGGTTGTGAGGTGTGGATTGTCAAAGAGTGAGAGAGGAGATAGGGCCATTGGTAGGGGATATATGAGATGTTGTGGTAAGATGGCAAGACGAAAGAAAGTTCTCTAGCCTATTGAACACCAGGGAGTGTTTTTTTTTTTTTTGCTCTTTGTTATCTTCCTTATTCTGTCTAAGCCAATCCTCATTGCTTCCTTTGGAAGTGATAGGATTCTATAATGCATTGTGTTACATGGCTGAAGGTCATTAGAGTCATTCTGGTTTTAGGTTTCAGCAGCATGATTCTCTATGTAGTTATTTGTTTACCTTCCACACATGATGTGCAAGACTTATTTTTGCTTTGCAGTAGTTATTGGGAAATTGTATTTACTTAGGATGTAGGAATCAGAATGAAGTTGATTTAGGTTCTGGATGTGAAGCTACCTCACCATCAGTTGGGCAAGTCTGGGTTGTGAGAATTGGGATTTAAAATGATGTCTTTACTTACTCTAATTATTTTTAATTGTCTTAGCTAAAGAATGTTTTATGCAGGGCATTTAATGTGTATTTCTGTTAATGGAATTTTAACTGGTACTAGGTGGGAGTCCATCTTTTCTTAACAGTTTGATTAAAGCAGGTTATCATGTATGCACAACCATAGGACGGGGCCCAAAAGTAGATGTTGATATATTTGGTATGCTCAATACTCCTCTTTTTATTTCCTTTTATGTACTTCAGATGGTGCCTTGATATAATTTTTACTGCTTGTTCTGCACTTGTCTTTCCATGTTTCATTATATTGCTGTCATTTGAACTGAATTACTAATCACGAACATATCTATTATGCATTCATGATGACCAAAAAAACAAGAGGAGGAAGAAGATATTATCACGGTTTTAATGCTATTCTCGTGGCAGATAAGAAAAATCCCCACAGCGGTGTCATTGTTAAGATGTCAAGCAATAGCCCTAAGTTGAATTGTTCGCTGTCAGTGTCTGTGCTATGCCATTCAAATGGTTTTCAAGTAATTTTTCCCATCTATTTCAGTTTTTGTTGAATAAATTGAAATCTTTTGGACTTTGTGCTGCATAAATGAGTTTCATTTTGAATCTTCTGCTTACAGGGACCGCATTCTCTGGAGAGGTTAGGGACCTGTAACTATGTGAGTACTCTGTTTGGGGATTTTCTATTTTTTGGGTTCCTTGCTTGTTATTTTTGTTATCGTGTGTTTTTTGTAATCATGTCTGCAATGAAATGTATTTGGTATTTCGCAGGCTTTTAAGTCCCAAGATTAGAAAGAGAGAAGCAATGACAATTGTTGATAATCTGGACGATATTTAATATGTACACTTTTCATTATAAACAATAACATGATTGATATCGTTGGATGATACCATTTATCTAGCTTACTAGTAGGTTGTAAATTGCAATAGCTTTTTAAGTTTTTATCAAATTGACATCGTTGTCCGTTTTGAATTTGTAGGTATGAATCTTATTGTGATTTTCTTTTTCTTATCTGTTTACCTTGGAGGTACTCCAGTATATATATAAAAATGTTAATCTTTTATTCACTCCATTAAAATGCGCAATTGTGGCTTGAGAAATAAAAATGATGACTGTGCAAAAGCTAAAACGTGGAGATATGAAGGTAACGAAATTTGGCATGTTTCTTATTTAAATAATCTTTTTGTATGACTTTGTTAAATTCAATGTTTTGCTCTGATTTAGCTGTGCTGCATGTTAATAACCTTGATTCTTAAGCAGGCTACAGAGCTGAGGCATCCATCTGGATGTGCCGTTATTTTGAATGTTCATGGGAAAGGGTGGGGGTGGTTTGTCACCTTAATAACCACGTGAGGATTTTACCTTCTCAGCCGATACTTTTAGTAGCGACAAGTTTCTTTTATTTGGCCAATTTTAGTTCGTTCTGATTGTTTGGCTCATCTCATTTCAGTATCTTGTGCCTTTTCGGGGCGTATCTACTGGCTGGCATAGTTTATCGGCATTTCTTCCTTGGGATTCGTGGTAGAGATGTATGTTTCTCACTTGTCCTTCTTGTGGCTTGTATGCCTAGTTGTAATTATATCCTGGTTGGTCTGAACTCTACTTGCATCTCCCGCATTTCAGGTTATCCCCAATTTGGACTTCTGGTCAACCCTGCCCCGAAGAACCCAGGTATTCTTCCACGTTAATGCTTTCAAGATCAGGTTTTTAATTCTGACACTGGAAAGAATAGGGGATGAACTTTTGCTCAATCATACTGACTAGCGGAGTTTTTGCACTTTGTCTTTGCAGGGTTGTTGTGCTTCTTTGGTGAGGAAGTTCAAGGGACCTTCTCAAGGTTACCGGAGCTCATATTCTCCCGTGAACTTCTGAGGGTGATATTTTAATATTTTTTCTTCTGGATTCATCATGGATCATCGCATATGGACGATGATTCTGCAGAAAAGTGCAAATACGTCACTTTTCAGATGCCCGGCAGGTCAGATCCAGATGCATCCTTGGTATAGAGCCTTGAAATCTGTACCTCTTGCCGTGACTCCTTCGTCCACGACTGTTGAGCTTTCACATCCATGGCTCCTTAATTATTTTTATTATTTTTAATAATTAGAGGGATTGTAAGAAGAAGTTGAGAAAATTAAGAAATCCTTGGATGTAATTTTAGGGGGAAATGGGAATAATAGCATTTTTAAGATGGCAATTTTTAGTGGCATTTTTATAATCGATTATCGTCGAGATAATAGAATGGATTCGGCTGAATGATCTTTGCTTCGCCATTTTTCGTGCCTGTTCTCAATTTACTGGCTTCCCCTTCAATTTATAAACAGATTGGGTTTGTTTTGCTCAAAAAAAAAAAAAAGCCACATTGGGTTTGAACTTGAAACCTCATGTGCTATGCATAATAAAATGAAATTGGAAAAAAAATGGCACTCATGGAATGTGTTCTAACATCCTAAATTAAAAAGCAAGGGAAAAAAAAAATCATCATCTACTAACAAGGCCTCAAGATTGAGTTATCGTTTTCAACCTAATGAATGAAAAGGGGAGTTTGATATTTGTAATATAGCAATCACATAGCAGGTCGAGGCCTACCCCGCTGGTCGGAAAAAAAAAAAAAAAAAGGGGCTAGGCCGTTTGTTTGGTATGAGAAAAATGGAGGGAAGGAAAGAAGAAATCTGAAGAGACTCAATTTAAAAATTTTAAAAAGTAAGGTTAAAAATTTTTAATTAATTTTTATTATTCGTTTATCTTATAATTTTCTGTAAAATTTTAAAGCTCTACTTTTTAAATTTGTTTTAAATCGAACTCATTAAAATTCTTTCATCCATTTCTTTCCTCCATTTGCCTCGTACCAAGCGTTTATGGTAAGTTTGCTCATGATTTCAGCCAGTTGTCAAACCTTATCAATATTACATAGCTTGAAATCTAAATTAACAAAGCCAGCTCTTGAAATTCTCTCTAAAATCAATTGATTTAGCTCTTCCCCAATTTGGATTGACGCCCTTTGCTGCCTTTTTTCGTTTAAAAAGAAATCAACCGATTAAGTGACGATAGCTGTTTGGGTGTGTGTGTGTGTGTTTTTTTTGGGGGGTTTTTGGGGGGGGGGGGTGTTGGATAACAGTGCAGATCCGATGCGAGCTGTTGGATTGATATTAACGGTGGGGACCACCAATATCATCAACGACTTCTGTTAGTCGAAATCAGCCGGTTTGAAATTTTCTGTGTATTGCTTCCGCCCTCCCCCTTTGTCCTAATGTTTTTGCAAGCGCTCGAAAACAAAATCCTGCGTCAACTATTGTTTACTCGTCTGCAGGTAATCATCAATATATCAATAAACATTGGGGAAATGCCAAAAAAAAAAAAACTGAAAGTTGCATAATTTTAAACGAGTAATTCTTAAAAAATGTTCTGTAATTTTTACGTCAAGTATAGTCAAAACCCAATAAAGTTTAAAAACAAATCTAATTTGGGATCTAATAATTTCTAACTTTATTTTCTATCATTATCCTATAAATATTTCTTGAGCTGCAGAATATAGTCTAGTTTTTAAATCTTTGTCCGATTATTTTAGTGCTACAAAGTAACTACCAATTAAGGTGTTCATCTAACAACATGAACACCGCAAGTGATCTGTAGTTGTGTGTGGGGAGTGGTGACAAACGCAAACAGGACAATCATGGGAGATCGACAGCAAATATAGAAATATTGTAAAGCTCAATAATATTAATTAGGTGGGGATTAGTTTATAAGTTTATAGTTGACGCATCGCTTTAACATTTTTCTGAATGTCTAGCACAAGTAATTCTGCTGTTGCACACACCAATAATGTAGATGTATGTGTGTGTGTGGATGAATATTGAAGTAAGGAAGCGGCTAATTTAATTTCCGAATGAAAGCAAAGGATGAACTAATATAATGTAGATATATCCCTTCGAATTAGAAACCGCATGCCATAAATAATGGTCCTTCTGGTTGAAACTTTTTTATTGGTTTAGTTGGTACAATGATTTTATATGACAAAAGGCCAAAGTGATTATGTTTCGCAATCTCATTCCAAAGCCTTAGCTTTGAAGCCAAGCTAAGGCTGTCCTCCTCTTCCTCCACTTTCACATCATCTTGATCCTTCGCAACCCACCTTCCACTTTTACATCTTTCCTTCGTTCTTAGCCTTCAACCCATTCTATCGCAAGAAAGCAGAACTATATTACTTGACACGAGCCTACCTCGGAGATTTTTTCCTGGCTAACTTATGCAAGATAGATAAATAATTAATATGTAAACATGTTTTTGCAGGCAATTCACATTACATATTATATATTGAATATTGACTGCTGTATTGACTCCTCAACTTATAATTGGAAAGTAAGGAAACGAGTGCTGGTGCAGTGGCAGGACAAACAGATTAATCAAAAGCAAATAAGATACCCCAGTTCCTAACGAGTTTTATTTTTGATTTTTTAACACGAAGATTTTTCATGGTTGCTTACCTTTGGTGCAATGTAGGCTCAATTATTTGTTTGCAATTGCCGCTTGTCACATATTCCTTTCAAGGGTAAAACATGCCTATATATTAAAAGGGTTAAAAATGAAGGTAGAAATGAGAATGAATGAGCTATATTAATTGACAGAGGAGGAAGAGGTGAAAGGATCCAAAAGCGACAGTGGATGCTGGGGGAGATGAAGACACCCTTCTCACCATCTCCATCTCCATCTCCATCGTCTCTTCTAAAGAACAAGGCTCGCTTCTCTCCCTACCTCGTCACCCTCCTAGTCTTCATTTTCTTGGTCTCTATACTCTATGGCGAGGACTTCATCTGCATCTTCGGCCAACAGCTTCAACTCTACTCCAACCCTCACGCCTTCTTCTCCTCGCCCGGTTAGTTCCCTTACATTCAGTCTTTCATTTTAACGCTTCTGATCTCAACATATTACCTGTCGATCTGAAATGGGTTGTGTTGTTGTGTGGGCGAAGAGAGAGTGAAAAGGCAAAAGCTTCCGTTTGCGATAGGGAAAACAGAGGAAGGGTGCGACGTGTTCAGTGGGAGGTGGGTACGGGACGAGCTGAACCGCCCTCTCTATGAGGAGTCGGAATGTCCGTACATACAGCCTCAATTGACCTGTCAGGCACACGGACGCCCCGACAAGGATTATCAGTTTTGGAGGTGGCAGCCTCACGGCTGCGATCTTCCCAAGTACGTTCTTCACAACAACCTCACTAACTCTTCCTTTCATGTCTCTGTTATCGAGAAAGTGACCTCATGATTTGAAACCAATGCTACAGATTCAATGCGAGTTTGATGCTGGAAACGCTTCGCGGGAAGAGGATGATGTTCGTCGGAGATTCTTTGAACAGGGGTATGTATGTCTCTCTCGTCTGCCTTCTCCATCGGCTCATCCCCCAAGATGCCAAGTCCATGGAAACCTTTGATTCCCTTACCGTCTTCACCGCCAAGGTATCATCTCATATTATCCATCAATCTCCCGCCACATTAATTCCTCTACTTCTTCTTCCTTATCTGAGAATCAATTTTCCGTGGTTGACATCTGATAAGGAATACAATGCCACCATAGAGTTCTACTGGGCGCCATTCCTTCTGGAATCTAACGCCGATAACGCCGTCGTCCACAGAATATCCGACAGGGTCGTGAGAAAGGGTTCAATCAACAAGCATGGTCGGAATTGGAAAGGCGTGGACATTTTGGTGTTGAACACCTATCTGTGGTGGATGACTGGCCTGAAGATGAAGATCTTGTACGTTCTTGTTTTGTTTTTTCTTTTTGATACGTCATTAATCTCACGTTCTGAGCTAAATGGTGGCGTGAAAAATGGGCAGGCTCGGATCATTTGAGGACGAGGCGAAAGAGATAGTGGAGGTGTCAACAGAGGATGCGTACCGGATGGCGATGAAGAGCATGCTGAGATGGGTGAGGCTGAACATGGACCCAAAGAAGACGAGAGTGTTCTTCACCAGCATGTCTCCGTCTCATGGAAAGTGAGTGGCACTGTATATATTATGTATATATATGTGTGTGTGTGTGATGACACAGATGAGAATGGAGGTGTTTGATTGTAATGGTAAAAATATAATGATGGCTGTGATGCTGAGACATACAGGAGCATAGACTGGGGAGGGAAGGAGGGAGGGAACTGCTACAACGAGACGAAGATGATAGAGAACGCCACGTACTGGGGATCAGACTGCAGGAGGAGCGTGATGGGAGTGATAGGGGAGGTGCTGAGGAAGACCAAAGTGCCCATCACCTTCCTCAACATAACGCAGCTGTCCAGTTACAGGAAAGACGCCCACACCTCCATATACAAGAAGCAGTGGAGCCCCCTCACGGCGGAGCAGTTGGCCAACCCCGCCAGCTACGCAGATTGCGTCCACTGGTGTCTCCCCGGCCTTCAGGACACTTGGAACGAGCTCCTTTTTGCCAAGCTCTTTTATCCCTGATGTAATCCCAAACACATTACTGAATCTGATTGTGCGAATTTAAGCCGAGCCTGAACCCGAATGAATCCAAAGGGCCCATTCGTCCCAAGGAGTTATTCATTTTGAGCCCAACTGAAGCCCAAGGCAGCCCACCTTTGTCGCGCTTCCCCCATCAAATGGGACAACCATTTTGGATTTGGAATCAATTATGTTCGGCCCAAAAAATAAAATTGTTCGACGGAAAAGCAACTAAGCAAGGCAATCGAAGAGATCTGAACACGACAAACTGTCATGAGTCTAGCAGGGGTTAATTAAGAAACTAAAAGGGCCTCATGCCCATACTGATGGCGCAGTTATAAATCCCATATCATGCCAGCAAAGTGAACGACTCGTCACGACAAAACCAGACTCCTATATATTAAACATTCAACCGGGGCCCCCCAAAAAAAAAAAAAAACATTCAACCCAATTCAATTAAATGGAATTGGTCCATCACGTCATTGATATTACCTTTATATTTTTCTTCTCATATACGCACACGCACACGTACTCCATGTATGCATACGTAGATGACAGCAACTGTATAATTATGTGTGCCCGTGCACACATTACTAGTCGGTTGGGCGGGGCCCCTTCTGAAATCATCGTCTTCCCACCTCAGCGCTTACCTCTCACCTTTTACCTTTAGGACCGGTAGAATCTGAGCACCGAGCTCCTCCGTTTCCAAAACCTAACATGCCATCAGTCTGCTCTGTGTTTCGGAAGTCAGAAAGCAGCCTAGCTCCCCTTTCCATTCCCGCCCCCCCAATACTCAAATTAACGATTATTCCTCTTCATCCACTCTCGGCTAATTGCCTTGCTCTCTAATAAATACGTACGTCCTTGTATGTCCATTCCAACATTGTTTCAGACAGACGTGCACTGTCTCCGTTTTCTCTTTTGGATCCACATTTCATCATCTTCCTTTCTTCGGCTGAACATCTGAGATCAGCGGAACATGGTTTTTATATATGGACCTCATGCATCCATCCGTGTGAATCATTCTTGAACCTATGCTCTTTGCTCAGAGCAGCTCTCGGCTGGGCCGTACAATATTAAATCCTCTGCGTCTCTCTCTCTCTCTCTCTGACATTCATAAATAGAAAACTCATCAGCTAGGAAAGTAGTAATTGAAACCGAACTACATTTTAAGTGCTCTCAACACGTGGCTGATGATGAGCAACGCATCCTGCAAGACCCATTGAGGAGTTCGCCTCTTCGATTTCCTTCTCAGCTGCTTTACATATTTGAACTCACAGTTCACTCCTATATTCAAGCGTACTGATATTTTACCTCTGGGTTAGGCTCTTGGGCCCTAATCTTTAATTATTCTCCCTAAAAAGTTTTATCATTGCCGTGCAAAGAAAATTAAAGTTACTGCAGCATACCTTACATTGATTGAATAACGACTTACCCAGCAAGATGTTTTAGCATTCCGTTAATCTGTTTGGAACTTTAAAACAAATTTTTTTTTTTTAAAGCACACAGATTTGGTTGCTGTGACAATTCAATAGCAGCTTTAATTTTCTTTGGCAGTATTTTTTTTTGGGGCGGGGGCGGGGGAGGTTGGTGATTCAATTATATCGTAATATATAAATAGGAGTTGAGCAAACAAAGGGCAAGAGGGTGAACATACAAGTACGTTTCATTGGCCACTTGCAGACCAAGTTGCTATTCTTCCATCAATCTCTTCACCCAACAACTCATATTTTTTTCCCAGTTAATTAATTAGTATAATATAATATAATAAAATATATGGCCCGCCGGGGAAAAAGGTGAAAGAATAATAATAAGGGGGCCAAATTAAAGATTAACCAACTTGACTTTGTTTACATAACAAGTTGAGTTCAGCCTGCGCAAGTTGCATTTCAGAGCTTGATTCCGCCACCTTCCGTATATTTTCTGTTTAATAAATTCTACTATAACGTTGTCCTCCTTATTAATTAGTATTTATCTCGTCCCCGTTTCTTTATTATTATTCTTACACGTTCCCAGTCTCCGTGCATGGATTTTCTACGGAATATCCTTCATCCTTTCTCCTCCTCCCTCCCTCGCTTTTTTTATTTTATTTATTCTCGTACATATCACACACATATATATCCCTTCCTTAACTTACACGCATATGCGCGTGTATATGTCTCTCTCTCTCTCTCTCTCCTATATATATATATATATATGATAGTATAACATTTATTGGATCGGAAAATGGTTATATATATATATATATTGGTAGTTTCGGAGCAAGTTGTAGATTGCAGAAGGCGTCGCCATCGTCACGCAACGATTTCCGCGCTATCAAAAGGATCAAAATAAAATCTGATCCCTCCCCCAACAAATGCTTCCAACAGGACTCAGCTCCCTGGGTTCCGTATATATTTTGCTCCCACCTAACTCCCTTTTATACCATAATACTATAAGCTACTTTTTTTCTTTTGACCATGTAATGCCATGACCTGATGATTAAACTAAAATAATTAATTCTTCCACATCTCAAACAAATTGTCATCAAATCAGTATCCAAATCAACCAACAGGCCACTCATTCTTTACCTTTTTGTGCCGTGTATTACTCCAAGTAATTAGCGCGCGCACTGCGCTTGAGGTTTTTCTCATTCGATCGGTCACGCTTTTAATCTTACCTCCTAAATAAATAGCCTCAATTTATTTATTCTTTTAACTAAATCCAAAGTATTAATATTATATGAGTCGATGTTAGAATGTGATGACGATCAAGTGCTTGAAATAAACAACACATTATCGACTGCGCGGTGGATCCGTCGACTCTGACATTCTGCTTACTCCGCTGACTTTAAGATTTCTCGTTGACTACTACTGTTTAAACTTTACAGGGCCTCCTCTAGCTGCTCTGTTGTCATTTTGATTTCAAACAGCATTTTCAATTTTCAGAAGTGGATACCATCGTACGTGATCCGATCCCTCACCAAATACGCACAAAATCTAAAATTTTCAATTTCGCATCACATTCTTCATCTCAACATATCTATGCGTATGAAGAACATCTCTTTAATTACGTACACTATCTATGTATATTCTTTTCCGATTGATTTCTCCTCACTGGCATTTCCGCTTCTCTTCTCCAGAAAAATATCAAACAAGTTCATTGACTACCCATATATAGAGATAAGTAACATGTAGTAATATGATCGAAACAACAAAACCACCTGGATAGGCTGACAACAGAATCCTTTTGAGCCACTTATCCTAAACATTAAAGAGCTTTAATTTAATGTACAGCTACAGAGACATACATACCACTTTCAATGCCAATACAAGAATGACCAGCAAGCCTTGATCAGATGAATGGTTTGAACCCAAAAAAAAAAAAGGAATATAATTATATAAATATGAACACATATATCATTCAGTTATTATATATAGATATATATTTTCAAATCCAACCCTTTCCGTCTGATCGAGAGACTTGCAAAAAACCTACCGATCTACCCCTGAAGAATTTTCCGGATATGGGTATCAGGTTATGGATGTCTAATAATGAGACATACGAGATCCGAACCCATATCGGAAAACAAAAAGCCCCGAATCACACGAGATGTTAAAGGACAAAAGAAACAGAGAAGGAACCGTCACTTATATCGGGTATATATTCACGGGGAGAGCCGCGCTTTCTCTTCCTGGTCCTTCGCTACCATGGCCTCCGCAGTCTGAGCCAGGGACTGCAAATTGCATCGTATTATTGTGTCGGCGAAGACGCAGGTCTCTTCCTTGGTGTTTCCCTGCGGGACGTCCACCACGTACGATTCGATGACGAGTGTACCGCTCTCGACGGCGTGCAGGGTAGTGACGGAACGGTAGTTCCGCAGGCGATGATCTCCGCCGACGACGCTGAAGCTGAGGACGTGATGTTCGTCGTCCAGGATCTCTAACCTCTCGATGCTGGACACGGCGGGAAGTCCGGAGACCACGCGGACCTCACGGAGCGTCCCCACGCGAATGCCATCGCCCATAATGACTTGGCAGCTCTTGACGAAGTGTTTGTAGGCCTGAGGGTTGTCGAAGCGCCGGAGGACCGACCATACAGCGTCCACGGGGGCGTCAATGGACTGGATGACGACGGAGCAGCACTGGTCTGGCGCCACCGTGTGGGAATGGTGGCAAGCGGCTGTTTCAGGAAGAGGAAGGCTGAGTTGAGCCGAGGAAAGGGGAAGCAAGAGAGGGCGGTGTTTGGGGCAGTTGTAGGAGTTGGAGACGGCGGTTGCGGCGGTGGCGGGATTGAACCGATGAATTTGTGTAGAAGACGGCATTTCTAGCGCAGTGAAGTTGGTGAGGCGAAAGAGTTATTGGGTTGGGGGGAAAGGAGGGGGGGGCGTACGTATATATTATAATAAGAGCAAAGGCAAGAAAGGGGAGGGGGTTGGGGTAAATATTTTTGTAGTGCAAATTGGATTAATTAGTTCTGGTTCGGGGTTTGAGAAAGAGAGAGGGGGGGGGTTGTAGCTAGGAGGGAGGCAGGACTTGCTGTGGTTGCATTTGTTTATGCTGTGGAGGAGGTGGTGGCGCCGCTGGTAGTTGCAATGACCTGTGTTGGGAGATATGATATGAAGGGAGCGGGGAGAAGAGCTAGCTATCTTACGCGACACTTTAATCTGCAAGTGGATGCTCAACTTGCAACTGTGTTTGGACTTGCTCTCACCATTTGCCACCTTTTCTTTATTTCAAACGGCAACCTTGCCCCTTTCCCTCTTTTATTATCATGGCAACATGCATTTTTATTATTCCTACTTGCCTATTTTCTATCTTTATAAGCTTAATTTTCCAACAACTCCTTTCCTCCGCCATATCCCTTCTTTCTTTTTTATTTGATTTGTTTTTATTTCGCTTCCCTTTTTAATTTCTCCTTTTCTTCCAAATACCCTTAGCTTGCTTCCTGAAATTTCTCACCCTCCTTCTTCCCCTTTCTCATAGATGAATCGAATAATATAATATTATTTCTTTAAAATTTGCAAACCAGTTCATGTCATCCACTGCCTCAACCTTTACATTCGTTCTTTTAATAGAAAAAGTACCACTTCACACATAGGGGGTGTTTGGGAAGAATCATGCTTCTGAAAATGATTTTTTCGTAAATCGAGATAAACTCCTCTATATATTTACTTCGTATACCGTAAAAATACTTTTAAAATCATGGTTTTGATTCCATCCAAACACCTTAATAAATTCAAACATGGAAATTTTTAGTTTCGTGGAACTCTTATAATTAAATACATGTGTCCGTATCCGTATCCATGATCAACTTGACAAAGATATGGACCGGAATAGGTAAGGGGGAGAAAACACGAGGGTTTTTTCTCCAGAAACACGAGGGTGAATTGAGAACAATAGATCAGAATACACCTAAAATTAAGTTTCCCAATCATTTAATTAACAGAATAATTCCCTTCATATATATTTCGTTAATCTTAGATCTAACAGTCAGTCGGCAAAATCAATATACTCTGCTATCTACGGATGGAATATAGCAATACTACTTTCAATACTTAATATAAAAACTTAATATTTAATTTGATTTTAAATAGAAGATATCAATTAATTTTATCTCTCATATTTATTTATTTATTTTCCTAAAGTAGTCATTATAGTATTAGCTGATACACAGGTATTTTAAGAAAGATAGTACCTATTTGTTATAAATAATTAACTTAACAAATTTTCTTAATCTATTCAAATAAGTGAATTAGCTCTTATATTAAAGACTAAACTGGAAGCAGTATAACATATACTTCTCTGGTCCTATTTATAAATCACTTCTAATATATGTTTCACACAGACAAAAAAAAAACTTAAACTTTATTAACTCTCATTTAAAATTTAACAACTTTTCAATTTTATTCCTATTATAAATACATTATATCTTACGTAAACAAATGAAGGATAAAATTGTACATTCATATAAAAAATTTCTTTTACTATCCTATAAATAAAATTAAAAAATATCTTCTTTCTCTACCTTATAAATAAAAAGTACACACAAACGGCATATTGGCATATAATTACCGGGATACATTCACTTCTTTCCTTCAATTTAACTCGTAAAAATGGCTGCGGTGTTTTGGTGTATCAGAATTGTTTTCAATCCTCTATAAGACAAAAATCATGAGCTTTGAAGAGATGTCTTTTCAGAAATGCCACTGACCAAGTGCCCAAAAGTATTGGGATAATGAGTTTGTGATACTAAAATCGCTAATAAACCCTTGCGCGTCTTCATGCCATACACGACGGGCTAATTTAATTTGTAAGGCGCTTAAGAATCTGCAAGTTAGTTGGTCAAATGTCATAACCACAAGCACAACTTTTTGTTTCCATATATAGATCCTCATGCATCAGCCTTTACTCGTGTGTGTTTGCACGCCCCGGAGATAATACCTACTTGATTAAGCTAAAGTTTTTTGTTCGAACATATTACATGTTATTCTGACGCCGTATATAGTCATAATATACTACGAGTTATTTTTATATGAAAAAACCTTGTTTATTTCGATCGTTAGTGTCTTAGTTGATAAGATCTTTTAGTAGAATACTCGCCGTCGGAGAAAGGACAAAGATACTGTTCAGAGCGCAGTGTGCTGTAAATTGTTAACAACAGCGAGATCTAGGGCTAGTTTTGACTTTTAAATTGATTACGAGCTTTTTGCCTGAGGAATCAGCTGCATTCAAAAGCAAATGATCCACGCCTATCCTCGGCAGGGGAAAAAAAGTCGCCATGTACACCAATTAAATGATGGGGAATAAAGAACACATGGAATACTCCAATACATATGCATCTAGAAGGTTTTATCTCCAAGCGCTAATACTATATAATTTCATTGTACGCATCAACTTCAACCATACATTGCATGCGGTTGGGTTACATTTAAACCGAGAGAGCAAAACACGGGGTGGTTGGTTTTTACTCTGTAATTTACTCTCAACAACTTTTTGAACGATTCTATGTCCTTTCGACTTTCTTTGTTGTCCTTTATCCTTTTCCCTTTGTCATCTTTTCCCGCCAACTTCTTCCACCAACTTGATTTTCTTTTATCCTTTTTGAGTTATCCTCATGACCAATCAGACCCACGTTTGATAGTGCCTTCTATGCTCTACCCTGGAGATCCCTATTCCTTCTGAAGAAAAATCCAGACGCGCCCAATAAGAAAAATGTTGAAACACGGATCAGATAAGAGAGATTCCTAGTCCCAACTGCTCATCGATTGGTTAATTAATTAATGGGAGTGCAGTTTGCACCACTACTGCGTACGAGTAGTCTTGTTAACAGTGGCAGAATTAAGCAATTTAACTTTCACTGTGTCTTTGAAAGACAAATTAAAGTCGGAGTATATATAATTAAGTTGCATTTGCAGAATATTTTGACCAATTCTCTATCTTAAAAGCGTACCTTCCCTTTCCCTTGTATGAAATGTATATTTACCCCGGAAGCATGAAAACGGCCTGTTCACAGTCACATGCACCGACAAATTTAACATCGACACAGTGAAGATGTCTCGAAGTTATTGACATGCATATGTTTAGAGCCACGATATAATGATACATTTCCGTGTTCGCTAACATGGCACTCACAAATTTAATTTGGATAATATTTGATAGAGTTAATTTCATCCGATGTTGTCTTCATAATAGACGCTAATCTGATGATATTGAACATACCTGACTACAAGAAGGAATCATATAGCTAATAGAGCGAAAAGGTCAATTAATTAATGCTTTAATGACAAGTTCGCCATATGATGAATTGAGTAGACATAAATAAACAAACGTGACATGAATAAATGGGCATGATATCGATATTCAAGGCGTAGAAAAAGGACCATGTAATAATAAGATAAATGAAAAATAAGAGCCAAGTTGGCATGTTGCGAATAGTTAAGTGCTGAGATAGATAGGTATAGCGAAATATCAAATGGACGAAGGAACACGATCAGGGTGGGATTCGAACACAGAGCGGGAGAAGGGGCCCATGGAAAAAATGTCTCCTTCAATTTGGCAACTTGACACAGGCTTTTGGTTCTGAGAAGCTTCTGAGAAAATAAGGAGGACTTTATTAAACAAATTTTTCTAATAGAGCTCGCTTTCAGATCGAAAATCACTCATTTTATTTCTAGAAAGCAGATAACCTCTGGTACGTCTAAACCAAACACCTCCGGTTTTAATGACACAAACGCAAAAACCTTGATTTTTTTTTTTTAAATTTTGTTTCTTTTAACGTGGGTGTCAAGTGTAAAATGATGTTATCTGTATACTTGTACTCCTTGGACCAAAACGAAAATACCAGTACCCCCGGAAATTAGCTGTATAAGAAAGTCAAGGTCAAAGACTTGTTGATGTTTTGGTTTACTCAGTTGTTTATCCCTTTTAATTATCAGCGGATCATGGTTGGGTGAAATGCATGGAAGAAATTCAACTTTGTTAAAGTAAATATTGAAAGAATCACATCAAAATAGTTAAACATGGTCATATGGCCCCAAAAAAAATTCCCTTCCCGCCCAATACGGAGAGAAAAATTAAACTATAATTATATCATGGGTAGAGTCTAATAAACCATATTTTTGGTGATATACAAAAATTTGAATCCCCAAAGAATTTATAATTTATATATGCTTGTATACGTCTTATTTCTGTTCGAAGAAATGACCAGCAGTCTTATAATGTAAATACAATCCTTGCGATATTATTAGGAGCCCTAAACGTATCTGGGTTAGTGGGGCAATGAAGACTCAATTTACAAGTTTTCTGCGTGTGTGGATATAATGTGTGTACACAAACGATGGGTTGGACCAGTTAGGCAGGTCGCACTAAGACCAAAAAATTGATGGGCCTTTTTGGAGGCCTGTATTAGATTTGACAAACCCAAGGGCATGATTATCTTCGGATCTACATGACGTTCGGTGAAGGGGTGATGTCTGATCGGGGAAGTAATGAATAAACAATGAACTGGTTTCTGGTTATATGCTGCATGGATTTGGTTTATGTATTGTTGTGGAAGGACGTGATTGAAATATCCTTCTGACGACTATGACCCGTCTAGCGGATCATTGTTAGAATTGGGTAACTCTGCACCGAATTAGTCAGATTATGAATTACATTGCTCCCCAGTTTTCTTCATCACACGAGATGTCACTTCTAAAACAATGTGACCGCGTCTAAGGGTTTTCTTGGTTCAATGGAAATTAGGGAACAAAGAAATTTCATCGTTTACTTGTTTGGTTTGTTCAAATAGAATGAATTTTATTTTCTCTCTCCTTGTTTCTTTTATTTAATACAATCTAAACATATGCACACTCACAAATATGTCAATACTGAACTCAGATGTTCTTTTTTTTTGTTGAAAAATATAAGAGGCATGAAATGGTAAGAAAAATTGCCGGTAAGGGGGAAAAAAAAATATAATGCCGCATCGAAAAGTAACTTTTCTTCTTCTTCTTTTTTTTTTTTTAAGCCTCTCCGGTGCAAATGCTAAGATACGGTCATCAGTGTCTTGTTTGTTGGAAATGACAACTTCCTTTATTGCACAAATCTCATTTATTAGTGATTATAATGATCTGTGCCCTAATATTTCTAAAAGAAGTGTTGATTAATTTAACCTCTCCATCCCCCGCTGGTCTTTCCCAACCATATCCCAAGCCCTCAACCCAGACGATTTTTTTTCGGTGAGGATGGTGATGAAGAAGGGATACAAATTGAACATCAACACTGGGAGAGGGGAGTCCGCTCTGCGTATCCTATCCTCTTTCCTCCCGTCTGATTAAATATTTTAACGCCTCAAATTTTAATTTTTTTAAGATCATTTATAAAATAGAAAATTCTCAAGAACATACCTTTGTATTTTAATATTTCAGATCAGTTTTATTCACCAAATTTTATGAACAATTAACATTTATATTTTATTATTTTTTATAATCTGGTATTTCAATAAAATTTAATACACATAAAACTCATAACAAAATTACTCTTTTCATTGTTGTTTTGTTTGGAACATAATTTTTTAATTTAAATTATCGTTAAAAATATGAAATGCGGCTAAACCCTTCAGTACTCATACGTATAGAAAACCCGTTTGGGTTTCACATGTACCTCCTATTTCCTTATTATAGATCTATTTTTTAATAGCTCTTTTTAAATTTGTTTAAATATTTAATATATTATTATATATTTTACCCTTCATTTAATATATTCTCTTTCTTCATTTATCTCACTATTATTCTCACATCTACCAATTTATATATAAGAGTCTATTTGCAAAAAAAAATTACATTTACTACATATTAAATATTTTTAACTAAATTTTAACTATTTTTTTAAACCGTTTATAATTTAGTTAAACAGATCTTATAATCAGAAGAAAACAGAGCGGCACTACGGAATCTCCAACGAACCGGACCCTGGTGTGCTTTTCCAGTTATTAGGCGGATTGATATCTTGAGAAATAAAGGAACAGCAGTAAACAAAACAGAGATCCACCACAGGTAAGCCTCAATAACCACTTCTCATCCTCCGTTTTCATTGGTCTATCGATCAAAGTCAGCATCACGAAATTTTTCCCCCCTGTATTCATCTTTACCATATACAAAAGTCAGCATCGACTTAAGCGAGAAACTTACTTTCACCACAAGAAAATTCCTGTCGAGAACACACCATGCTGGATTAGGCGTCCCCACCTCCTACCCTCTATCCCCTGCTCTGTGGCCCGTCTCTGGAGAGCCACACTAACTTGGACAAAAAGGAAAAATACAAAAGGAAAGGAGTAAAATTAAAAAATGACACTCGCTAAATTCTCCATTCCACCAAAAAAACTATAGAGAATCAGCTCAGTCTGAGATCTAAAAAGGCACGGACAAAGGTACATGCACAACTCCAGCATTTGTTCCTCAACTTGTAAGCAAATTACAAGCTAACAGTCGAGCCACTTGTTAAAGTAGATCACACTGCCCGGAAACCGCACATCTTCCCCAGACACATCAAACAATTCGCGCAGTCTTCTCCATTTATCACGCATCACATATCTGGTAATCCAAAATCAAGAAATTGCTGTTCATCCCCTCTGTCATCATTGTTCTCTGGCTCCTCTATTTTCAAAAAATCAAATCCATAATCAACATCTGATGGTGTCTGTTCCATGTGGTGAAGACTTCCCAGCAGCTTGGCATCTGGGTTTTCCAGTTCATAGGAAAAGCTAGACGGCATTTCACTCTCAAGGCTTCCATCTCCAGTGCGGCCCATTTGACCAAAATCAAAAGTTTCATAGTCACCAATTGGATTCTTGTCCATAGCCCCCAAAAGTTCGTCCACGTCAAACATCTCGTCCATAGAGAAATTCTGCAAGCAATCACCTTCCAACTCATTACCCTCAAGCCAAGAATAGTCCATTTGCTCGTTACTTTCATCAATGCCATCCTTTATAGTCTCGTGTTCTTGTGGTTTCGCAATTTGACAACCCCTGCACTCCTGATCTGTGAGATCGAAAGGTTCATCCTTTGGTTCTGACTTCACTTTGATATTTGCAGAGGCAACTTCATCAGCTTCAAGATAAACATTATCCATATCATTAATTTTGGAAGGTTGATGTCTTGTCTTAACATCCTCAGCCGCACAGACCTCAGAATGATTTGATATGGTGGTTGTGTCCGAACCAGCAGGAGTTGCCACTGAAGAACTTGATAAAGTCGTAGCTGATGAAGAGTTCTTGAGGGATTCCTTGCAAGAAGTATAATCCGATACGTGGGGGAAATTGAGGCGGGCACAAGGACCATACATGGCTCTAGCAGCTTCATCATAAGCAAGTGCAGCTTCATATGCAGTGCCAAATGTACCCAACCACAGTCTGCTTCCTCTGTTTGGTTCCCTAATCTCCGCAACCCACTTACCCCAGGTTCTTTGTCTAACGCCTCTGTAGTTACATCTTGAGTTGTCAGGCCCTCCTTTGCCCCTCATACATCCTTTCTTTGAACCCTTGGCCGGGGCTCTACGAGTAGGTTTGCTCTCACCTTTGCTAGATTCGAGATATTCATTATATTCTTTCCACTTTGCCAGAGTCTCAGCCACAGATTTAGAGCCATCCCGCCTACTACGACTTTTCCTCTTCCTAGAAGAATCCAATGGCAAAGAAGCGATGTTAGAACCCTGATCATAAACACCCATGGCCGCGGTTTGCCACTGGTAATTCAGTAATTTTGTACGGGTAACCACCTTCCGCTTGATAAACTTCAATCACCGCAAAAATAATTGGACAGTCTTCCCCCGCTCAACAATCAGATCATCTTCAAAATCTGCAGTTAGATAAGCAGAATTAGATTAGCATAGTACGCGGCAGACGTCAAGCAGGGCTCAGGGAGGAATTTCTCCTGATCCTAGGGCAAACAAAATACTTCTCCCAGACACATCCAGAAAGATGTGTGTGAATAGGAGTTCACAAATCCTTACCGGCATAAATTGATCGAATATCCTTGGACCCCAAGTAAGACACATTCAATAAAAGAAATCCATTACCGTGACCGGATAAAACACTTGTTTTTTTTTCCTAGCAATTTCTGGGTTTTAGAACGAACAGCCATCCTACCCAGAAACCTACTACACCTAAAAGAGACAGAATCACAGGTAGAAACCCCATAATCCTCAGTAAACAAATAAAACTGACCCGAATCACAAACATGCTACCCAGAGAACTCATAAGATTCAATCAAGCATTCCTCTCTACAAAAGAAAAGCAAACAAGTGCTGGAGAGTTGGAAGTAATGGACTGATCGAGAGAACCAACCTGAGTAGGTACAGAGAACAGGCGCGTGATACTCCGCTTTTGCGATTCGATCAAAGCTGTGATACTTGGAGAAAATCAGGGTTTATCTTGATCCTTGTCGAGATATTTTGTCGACGGTCTCCCTTCTTGTGAAAGTTTGTCTGAACAACGCCGAATTCAGAAAAAGGTTCTCTTGCTTTCTCTCACTCTGTATTAGCTAGCAAATCATGAAATCTCAAAACTCAAGCTGTAACGTGTATTTATAGCCTTCTCTAGATATTTCTGATATTTTAATTTTAATGGCCTCAGAGGTGGATGACGTGGCACTTCCTTAGTCGCGTTGCGTCGCCTCGGACTCCCGAACCTTGTGGCACGTGTCGCCCGAAGGTTCCCGAAGCAACAAAACTCTCACGTCGCTTTCTTAGTCCCCAAGTATTACTTCATTGCCCATCTTCAAAATGTTGCCTTCTCTCTTTTGCATCTCTTTCCTCGCATATTTACGAATACGCCACGCCCTTTACTCCCATATTTGTTTTCTCTTTTCGCCAAAAAAAAAAAAGCTTTTCTGAAAAAAAAAAACCATGAGGTATATAAAAAAAAAAGCAATTAAGATTTAAAATAATGGCAAAAAATTATATGTTAATTCTAACTATCAGACTATTTTGTCAAACTATAAACATAGCGTTTGTTGAAACAATACAACAATGCATGGCTTTACAGGGATGCTCTGATTTTTTTTTTTGGTTGAATAAATTTAAATCTCGATAAATCAACTTCACGCGCCGAGTTTATTCGGATTTATTTTCGGCTCCGCTTGCCCAATTTCGCTTCTGAATAAAATTAAAAATTCGGCCTTTTCCTTTTCACCGATAAGGGAGGATGGCATTCACCTTTCACCAGGCGAGACCGGTAAATCATGAATGGAAGCAGTACGGGAATTTTTTTCCGCCGAATGGCAAGCACGCCACGTGGTAGGGGTAGGATGGGGAGTAGATGGCTCCAAGAACACAATCCCGAGGCAGAAGGGGATTTGATTGACACGTCAGGAGGAGAAGTCAGGACAAGTGGGCCACGTGGCTGGTCAAGGTGGGCGACACTTTATGCAGTCGTTAGCGAACACGTCACATTTAGTCATCCACGCGGATTTAGGTTATGATCCATGTGTGGATAAGGACCGATGGCTTGGAGGCTCCCGAATTAAATGGTGTGAACTGAACTAACTGGTAAGATAAAAGAAAAGGTTGCCAAATTTTTTTTAAAAAAAAAAAAAGGGTAAGAGAAAATAGTAGAAAAAGCGGGCGCCGGTCCATTCGTATCATCCTGAAAACTAAGGCTGTCACGTTTGATTAAGGGGGATGCCTCCGTCAGATAAACACCAGCCTAATCACAGCACAGCTCTTGCCAAAAGGCACGCACCTGGGGGGTTATTTAATTTAAGCTGAAAGTCCTTGCATTCTTAGAGGTTGTGGGATTTATATGTGGGCCCCCAAATTAATTGGACGAAAAATGTGAACTCACTGAACTCACAGAAGCTAACGATCAGATCACACTCTCCTAAAAATGTACTGAATAATCACTCACTTCCCTGTTTATTATATTCTTTCCCAACATATATTTGAAACTTTTTGTGAACAAAGTCATCTATTGCTGATTATTTACTGTATTCATTTAGCTATCTGTTACTCTGATTTTACTATTTACTAATTTTGGGAAAAGAATTAAGAATACATTACTAATCAATTTAGTGAATTTATTTGAGATTACTAAAATTCGGATTCCTCCTTTAAGATTTTGATATTTCAAATTTCTAATAATAGTTTTTTTTTTTGTTTTTGCTTAACTTTGCGCAAGTTTTCAGAGTTTCGTAGGGCATTTGAAGCCCACCAACGCTAATATGCTAAAGAAAAAGCCCAGCCCACTGGCTGAGGAAATGTTGAGATCATGGGCCCTCCCCTTTCTGTTGCTTCCAGAAGCATCAAGACCCGTCGCGATGCAATAGGAATTTGACGCTAAACAAATGATCTTATACACGAGTCATAACACACTCATTTATGGTTGCGGCAGGATGATAACGCCATGATGATTGACAGGCAATTTCCAGTCAATAAATAAAGAAATACAAAATCAAAAAGGCAAAAGGTATTAAAAAAAATGAAGACAAGTTATTAACAACAACCAAAAAAAAATCCATTCAAGTATGCCGTCCAAACCAAACCAGTCTAAACAAAATCAAATGATAAATTAACTTAAACTAAACCGAATAGTTTAGTTCATTTGGTTTTTTTTCTAAAATTGAATTAAGCCTGTCATGATAAAAGAACAAAGCCGTTTTTAAAAACACGTCTCAGACCATATTAAAGGTAGAAGCGGGCGTTCACCATGAAAACTGACTAACTTGTATCGTGTAATTTCTATGCGTGCCCCTGTTAGGGCGAATAACGTTGACTTGATTACCGCCAATACGGAGACGTCAAGCAAGCTCTGCTTTCTTCTAGAGTGTGCAAGAGCCAAAAAAGGCCCTCACCATTTACGAAACTTCTAGATTTAGTTTTCCTTCTGTGTTTGTTCTTCACTTCATCAATTCTTCCACATTAACCTTGACTTTGATGGAACCTGCAGCTGCTTACGCGGTGTTACTGACCTGCTCACGCGCATGCACGCGCACAATCCCTTTTAAACGCGTACGTGGTTAACAATCCACTCCTTCAATTTTGCAACTGTGCCATATATAATGCCCCTTCTTCTTAAATTAAGGAGAGGCATAAGTGGGGGCGATCGATATATATACATATAGAGGGAGATTGAAAGACATAAGATGTTAAAGGGGGAAAACAATATTTCATTGATCCAGGATCACCTTAACAAGTGGGGGATTATGGCTATATATCAGATGGCACGCTGTCTTCAATCACATCATTGCCATCCCTTCCAAATCCCATTTATCTATGTGTTTTTAGTGGGGGAAAAAAAAAGGAACAAAGAAACAGAACAAAAAGGAGCCATGAAACTCCCCAAATGCAGGGAGGGAAACAAAAATAATGAACTTTCCAAACTAGGAAAAATCGACGATCCTCATTATTTAAATAACTAATTTAATCGTTCTGATCATTCCTAGCAGAGAGGCAGGTCCTCCGGAGGAGGCTCCAAGGCTTCTAGCTCCCCAAGCCCGTCCTCCACCACCAGCACCGTCGCCAAACCCCACGTGATGTGAACATCCAAGTGACAATGCATAATCCAAGCACCTGCCATCATAACATAAGCCCATTAAACACCTTGAGATCAAGCACCAGATTATTTTTAACTCACTGCGTGTTTTTTTTTCCCCAAAAAAAAAAAAGCAGTACCTGGGTTATCGGCAACGAATCGAATAACTGCCCATCCATTCACCGGAACGCCCACCGTGTTCCTCATAGGGGGGTCAACAAGGTTGAACTTCGAAGTATCTTTCTTCGGATCAAAGTTCCCAAACCCTTGTGCCACAATATAGAAATCATACCCGTGAAGATGGATCGGGTGGTTCTCGGGAGTCACGATGCTGGTGTCTTGCAACACAATTTGCACCCTGGATCCGAACTTCAGCTTGTATACTTTCGTCCCCGGAACGGGTTGCCAGAGGGACCTGCTCACATTGCCAGTGTAATCGAACTTCACCGGAGGTTTGGCCGGAAAGTCGGAGGTGAAGACTCCCGGAATCCCGTGGTGGTGAGCCTGCAGGATGGAGATATTGTTGGGAAGCACGAAAGACACGTTGTTCATGCTGGCAGCGAACCGGGTCCCGTTGGGTCCCTGGCATCGACTCGACCCGAAATTGGGCGGGCAATTGTTGAGGCCGAGACCAATTGTGAAGAAGAGGTTCTCGTCGATCTCTGTGGGGACTTCTACTTTCCTGGGGCTTCGGAGGCTTTTACTGAAGGAAGTGACGGTGTTCGTGTCGTTGTACGCAGGCAGGGAGGGCATCAGTGGCTTAATGGACACTCCTTTTGAGGAACAGCAGGGAGCCGATTTGTATTGGAGAATGGCGGTGGTGGTGGTGTTACCGAACGGTGCGTTCTGGGCGGATTGGTATGCACGCCCCGCCATGTAGTATCTGGAAGGCGGCTGATCACCTCTGATTAGCACATCGGTGGTTTGACCGGGTCCGAGGATGAGGACTTTCGTGGTGAAGGGCTTTAGGTAGGAGGCATCGGCGCCGACCACCGTCATCTGATGGTTGGCAACGGTGAAGAAAAGGGGTTGGTTGAGCGCAGCGTTGATCACCCGGAGGAGGTTGGTCTCGCCGAAGTCTATTGGAACAATGGTTGTGTCTGCACAGGCATCGACCAAAAAGTAAGCTCCTATCCTACATTACTCGTTCGTATGTGAATTAATAGTATTTAGAATTATAATTTATAATTTGATAGCCGGGAGACTATAATGCGCAATCATATCAATTAGCTAGATGTCGTTAGTCATTGCCTGCCATGGCCGGTGACATCGTAACATGCCCAAAATCATTAAGTTTCGGCCGAAATTCTTATGTATTATCCATTTGCACTAATTGTGTTTTCTTTTTCCTAATCAAATACTGCACAATGCTCATCATTATGAACGATTGCTTGAATTATTCAATGATCGCGTGCTTTGATTTTTTTTTTCTTTTTAAAATTTAAGAAAATGATAAAAAAAAGAAGTTAAAAATTACTAAATCTCAAATCAGATTTGGTAAGAATACTTTATTTCGTGTTGATAATACTGAATTTATCAATGATAACAAATTTTTGTTAATATTTCTTATTCGATATTTAGTAATTTTCAGTTTTTTTTGGGCCATTCTTCCAAAAGGCTATCCTGTAAAATAGATGATAAATTAAGAATCAAACCTTGGCTAGAGCACTTGTAAAGGTCACCAGGTTGGCCATTAATAGTGAAAGCATCAGAGATATTGGGAGCTGCTCCTGTTCGGTCGGCCTCCCTCACAACGTCGATGGGGTTTGCGTCCCACCATTCCCCTGAACCACATATATACATTCTCACCGTTAATCTGTCGCCATCTAACATAGCCTTTGTACACACACACATTATTGTATCTATATATGTATTTATTCAAACAAGCTCAGCCGAGGCTATCACTATCAGTTACATCGTGCGTAGAGAGTTAAAGAACTATACCGAGAAGAACGACGGATTCGCGGTGAGGCTTGGGGAAAGGGTAAGGGCGGCCCTCCCTTGGATGTATGATGATGGCTCCGTATACAGTGGCTCTGAGCCAGGAGCTGTGGGCGTGCCACCACAGAGTCCCTTCTTGGCCCTGAATAGTGAAACGGTAGGTGTAGCTTTCCCCGGGACGAATGGGACATTGCGTCACAAATTCTGGCCCATCCGCCCACCCAGTTCTTATCTGCCTCACTCCATGCCTGCCCAATACAAACAACAATATATAACCACTCTTCATATTCCATGCACAAACATAACTCTAATGTACGTATGTATGGTTCTATACTGTGAATGTACCAGTGAATGGTCAAGTTGTACTGAGCTTTATTTGTGACTTTGATGACCAGCGTGTCTCCATTGTTAACTTCCAACGTTGGGCCCGGCAATTGGCCGTTCACTGTGATAGCGTTGTGGGTGTTGCACAGCCTCTTCACTGGAGTTGCTTGAACCTGCTCCGCCGTCAAGCACAGTAAAATTAAAGTGAGTAGTCAAAACAAGCGCCGAGATCAGTAAGGGAAACGAGAAAGAATAGATGTAAGCTAATAACGTACGACGAACTCGTGCTCGTGAAGTTTGGCGTTGGCCAGGGCTGACAAGACAAGGAAAATGGCGAGGAAGACAGAGGAATGCCTGGCACTGATGAGAGACTCCATGTCTGATATCGCGAGGAATGAAGCGAATGAGAGGATAGTGCGTTGGTGAGTGATGGGAGGGAAGGAAAGGAAGGATTGCCATTTTATAGGGGAAATGGAAGGAGAGAGGTTAGTCGTCGCTTGTGGTTGGCAGATTAGGTTTTGATACGGCATCGTGGTCAGGCTACGGAGAAAACTTAGTTCAACTCTATACGAGTTGTTGCACCCACTGGTTTTAATTCAACTTATATTCTTGCTTCCAAAGTCTTCAAATATCTTGCGCATTTTGAACTCTTGTGATCAGCTAATTCGTTATTTACATGGAGGATTTAATTAATTTACTCCTTCCTTCTTCTTGTTTTTCCTTCAAAAAATTGTTATTTAAATGCCGGGTTGGGTGATTAATCCCTATGTTTTCATGAGCCAATTTCTCCCCATCTACTAATGCCAAATATATTAATTATTTCATGAACACCTAAAGGGGGAAAATTAAAGCAAAGTCACATTTTTTATCTTTAATTTTCTGTGCATGAAGTGGCCCCAGATGTGCAAAGTAAAAATGACCCGGGAGTTTCTTTTCATTTCAGCAATTCTCGTAATCTAGGAGAATTATTTCAATAGTCATCATATAAACAGTTTGATGAGAAAAGAGTTCAGCAATTGCATCAATTAATCCCATTCGACTATTCCCGTTTCCGGTTGTTGTGGAAAATAGAGCCTCAAATCCTTTTGATTGTCTGATGAATAAGTAATCCACTTTAGAAAAAAATGTTGATCATTAAGCCTTTTGCTTCCTGTTCGACCTTTCTTTTCCTATAACATGAACAAAGCCTTGCTTTAATTTACCATTTTATAATTCAATAATATATTGCCTATATATAACTAACTACTCCTCCGGTCCTAATTATAAGACCCAATTGATTTATTTGAGGAAATTAAGAAAGTAAGTTAAATTGGTTATTTATAATAAATAAGTGTTGTCATTCCTAAAATATCCTTACTAATTAAGTATATTGGCTAAAACTATCATTATTAGAAGGATTATCTTGGAAAAAAATGCATAAATATAAGAGACAAAATGGATTGAGTCTTATAATTAGGACCAAATAAAAAGTCAAATTGGGTCTTATAATAAGGACCGGAGGAGTATATACATATGTCCTGTTTCGATAGCCTTTGGTAAATTTTAGATTATGTATTGAATATATACTTTTTTAAAAAAAAAATTATGTATTGAGTATTGAGCATGAATAATGTGGCGCATTATTTAGGTTGAATATATAGTGTGAATTCGTTAAGCTCTACGGCTCAGAAGATGATTCTCTCATGGCTTTTAGTAGTTATGATTTATTTTAGGAGCCTGTTTTCAGAAGGGGAGGACTGCCATTAGGTATCTAGCTATAACATAATAACAAAGCATGAAATGATTTGATTGGGTCTAACAAGAATTTAGTTAGAAGCACTCATGAAATATTAAGTTGGAGGATTAAATTAGGTGGCCTGTCACAGAACTAGCTTCTCACCCTCGAACCAAATACACGCGCAATAGTATGTCCTACTCAAAGATACGTACGCCAGTGCCCAATCTCACTTTGACGTTGACCATCGCCTTTCCTGGGGATCACCAAATATAATGGCCGCATGCGACATATAAATTACTTTGATATTCACCCAAGTCAAACCTGCAGTTTAAGATGACAATATATAAAAAGTGGAGCTTCTTTGAAAGGTCCACTTATTCCAGCCTATGAAATCCATCCGGTACAGCTGCTATATATGGCCAGTCTACACATTTGATATTATTGGTTTTACACATCAGAAAGGCAGCTTTATGGCGATGGGGGCTAATAATGAAAAAGGACACGAAATAAAAAGCATTGGACTAGTCTATTTCAGCGCGTCCCTTCTGTAATAATGTCATCGATCTCTTGGAAGCTATCATCCTTCAATCACGAGGAAAAAGATGGAAAAGGCCCCCTTTAATTGAAGAGTTAGCATGTTCTGAGGCTGTACATGGATATGAAGGCCCTGTCCGAATGTCTTGTCTTGTTATGGCATGTAGGATTAATAGCCACATTGGAGTCGATAACAACATGGAGCCAAGAATCACACGGGTTGCTCTTGATGACAAGAACCGTTAGATTCTTGGAATAAACTACGCCGCGTGTGCGCAGGTCAAAACTGAGGTTGTCCGATGGAGATTAACACAGCGAGGTGTCGAAACAAAAATGATTGTTTCGACTTGGATTGGTGAACAAGAAACGAATGAGAAAGCCTAGTGCAAGAGTTGGTAGAGTTTGTTATTGACTTTTGCTGATTCTTAAGAAGGAAAAAAAAAAGAAGTACATTAGAAAGAAAGAAAGAAATGGAAGGGTGAGTGAAATTGACGGAGGAGCAGAAAGTGTGCATCCATATATTATTCTTGCTTGTCAAAATTTGCTGGTGATTAGTCTTTCAAATGCTCACAGGCTTAATTTTATTATTATTGTTCTGGGATTTTTGATTACTTGAGGTTTCGTTTTCATGGTTAGTTATAAGTTGTTGCGAACTTGTGCAAAACTTTAATTGGGATCCACCGCCGGTGGCTAGTACGTTTTTCTCTGACCCACAAAATAATTGCGGAGAGGTAATTAAAAATGTAAGCATATCTTAAAATCCACCGTGCACGTGATTCATCGTCTAAAAACGATGGAGGCCTTCAATGGAGCTGAAAATTATAACCACGCATTATGTATTATTGAATAGGGCTTGCTGCTTCTATTGCGAAAGGCCCGTGTTAGCTCGACGTGGGCACGTAAATATAGCATTATATCCAATCCCTTTATTAGGTTAATTTAAGCAGATTATAAAAGAGTCAAATCAAATAATTAACTCTTACAAATAAATTATCATCTCTCGTGTAACATTAAACTATATATATCAGCTTATTAATTTAAGAAAAAATTTATAAACATGAAAAATAAAAAAAAAATTAAAATCGGACTAAGGATTATAACTAATATTAGAATCTAGTCGTGGCTTTTTACAGGCACATGCTTTACCAGCTGGGCAAGTAAAAAGCAAAAAGTGAGGGTGGTCCAGTGAGTGAAGGGTCGAACGTCGCTCTGATGCCGGATGGAAGCGTTGGTTCTTGCTAGTTTAGGGTCACGCTATCCCCCATAAGGACCAGATATTTGGACGTCCCATATGATTCCCATGATTTATTCCATTTTTACCCTCGAGGGTCATAACGGATGCCACTAGAATGCTAATGGTGGCTTCTTTTCAATTGCTTTTTTTTTATTTTTTTTTTTCAAAAATGAGGTAAGAAGAGAAAATTCTGTACGTAGTTTCTAATAAATGTCCATAAATTTTTACGTGTTAAAAAGATTGTCTCTGCTATCCATTACCATTAGTATTTCTTTTTCTTTGTTTGGGCAATTTACGGGGACAAGATTTCTTATTTTGGAGTGATGGAGGGACGAGATCTTGCCAGGAGGATAGGGACACTCAGAGGGGAGAGAGGTTGAAAAGGGCAAAGAGTGTGGGGGAGTAAGCCCCAACAGGGGGAAGTGGGCCAATGGGGATTGAGGCCCAAAAAAGGAAAGCTCGGACCGTGTGGCGAAGTCATCCAAAAGGTGCTCTTATGATGGATCCACTTGAACCAAGGCCCTATCCCTCAAAACGCCATTATTTCCCCCTCCTCCTGTGTGAGTATCAGAAGCTGGAGGTTTATACCCTCACCCAAAACAAAGGACGTTTGTTCAGCGCTATTTCTCTACGATATGAATTTTATCTTTCTGTTTTTTTGTCCTCCTAGTTTTTCTTCTATTTCATTATAGGAAAGCTTCTAAATCTTTGTGCATAATCTCACGGGAGGTGCTCTGATTTTCTCATGAAAATCATTGAATTTTCACGAATTTATAACTTTAGAGCTAACTATGTATATATATGTATATATTTCCGTGAACTTTGGCTGGAGAAAAAAAATCCGTGAACTTTTGAATGGAAGGGGGAAAAAGACGGTCCGGCATTTCTTTTCTCGTACCGCGTTATTTTCAGCGGAGTAAAGAAGGTTGGAAAGATAGATTCAAAAAAATTCTCGTAATGTACAATGACCAGCGAGGACAAGAATTGATGCCACTATATTGTCTCCCCCGCACCGAAATTGCCAAAACTGCAACTCAACCTTTCCGAAAGACTCTTCCTAACAATTAAAACAAAAACAGGATAAAAATAAAACAATAAAAATATATGTTGTTTAATTTAAAGACAAATTACACTGAGGATAGAAGAAGCAGTGGATACTTATTATAAAGTCCCATGAATACTATAATCATTTTAAAAGGATGTAATAATTAAAATCCAAAATTAATGTCGGGCCTCCCTCACATTCTTCGAGTCGATGGTGATATTCTTGGAGTCTTCGAACAAGCGTGCTAATGGCGGGTTTTAATATGGGCAATGTGAGTTAATAACCTTTTTATGAAACTGTGAGGCTTATCACCACTCCCATTTGCCTGCCGCTGGCACAGAAGTGAGGCCATATAAACTATATGGAGAAAGGGTCATTGGAATTGGTATTATTGCTGGATGGAGCATTGGACCAAGGCAAAGCAGAACGTTTTGGTTTTATCGCTAGCAAGCATCACCGGTTACGACTTCATATATATTTCATGCTAAACACTGGGGAGTGCTAATATTAGACAATCCATACATGTGAGCTTTGGATAAAGCACTTTTAGAATGCTTAGTTGTGTGTGTACATATATACATATATACTAGCTCCGGTTCTTAATATAAGATCTTATTTAATTTTTATTTCGGTCCTAAATATAAGACTCCAATCCACTTTGTCTCTCATACTTACTCAATTTTTTTCAAGATAATCCTTCTAATAATTATAGTTCTAGTCAATACACTTGATTAACAAAGATATTTTAGGAAAGATAACACGTATTTAAGATAAATAACTAATTCAATTTAATTCCTTAATCTCTTTAAATCAGTCAATTAGCTCTTATAATTAGGATTGGAGGTAGTATTTATATATATTTTTTCCAAATAGAAATTGTGAGAGATGCAAGACATTACAAGATTCAGCTGCTCGACGTATGAGAAGTCCGCCATGAGAAGGATACTAGAGTCTTTTTATTCAACTTTAGTTACCGGGTGGGGTCACTCCAAATAATGATAGTTCTCAGGAGACCGTAGAATAAATATCCTCGTATTTTGGTACTTGAATGTGATTTTCCCCATATCCCAATAAAGCAGGCGGATCGGAATGAGGACAAGCTTTGGGCTTTGATCTTAGAAGGCCGATTTCGGCCCGGTCAGGCTCACGACGCGAACATTGAACGGCACGTTCACCTCGCTCTCTGCCAAAAACCGCCACATCGGGGTGTCTTCGTCTGCGAGAAGGCCAACCGAGTTGACTCGACCACGCCGAGTCTTGCTCTCTTGATTGCTTCACCCTCTCCGTAGCTTTCCTGGTAATGCTCGATACCACATGCAGCGACTTCCCTAGCTTCTCTTCTTCTTTCTCCCACCTCAGACCGCCATCGCCCGCTGAAACTTTGATAAGAACCCGTAGCTCCTCCAACATCGATTTTCGGGGATTGGATTGAAGATGATGAACCTTGAGGCCCAGCAGGATTACCAAGACGCTCAATTGCACGTGCCCCATGACGAAATGGAAACTCTGGTTCTCGACGAGCCATCTAATGCTCAATCCCCCTCCGGCCACCTTCCTGCTCAGTCAGTCTCCGCATTGGATAACCCGCTGAATCTGTCCCCTTCTTCACTCACATCTAACCAAAGCCCCAAATCTCTCTTCAATTCTTTCCTTGACCCCCCATCTTACGCCGAAGCAATCTTCACCTCCTTCGATTCTTCTTCGAACGGCCACGATAATCCGGACCTTTCTTCCAGATCGAACCCATCGAATTCCGAGTATCTGTATATATCGGTCTCGGATCCGCAGAAAGAGCAAGAATTGACGAATTCTCTTGTCCCTGGCGGGAATACTTATTACACTTACCTGATTACGACGAGAACGAATTTTCCTGAGTATGGAGGACCCGGCTCCGAATTTAGCGTCCGCAGGCGGTTCAGGGACGTGGTAACCCTATCAGATCGGTTGTCGGAGTCGTACCGAGGGTACTTCATTCCTATAAGGCCTGATAAGAACACAGTGGAGAGCCAGGTGATGCAAAAACAGGAATTTGTGGAGCAGAGGAGGCTTGCATTGGAAAAGTACCTTCGTAAACTGGCAGCTCATCCCGTGATTAGAACGAGTGAGGAGCTTAGAGTGTTTCTGGAGTTGCAAGGGAAACTGCCTCTGGCGAAAAGTACTGATATGGCGTCGAGGATGCTTGATGGGGCGGTGAAGCTACCCGGGCAGTTGTTCGGGGGCGAGGCAGTGGGGGCAGTGGATGTGAGTGAAGTTGCACAGCCTGCTAAGGGTGGGAGGGACTTGTTGCGGATATTTAAGGAGCTGAAACAGTCAGTTACCAATGATTGGGGCGGAGCGAAGCCGTTGGTCGTAGAAGAAGACAAGGAGTTTCTAGAGAGAAAGGATAAGTTGGCAGAGTTCGAGCACCAATTGAGCAGCGTTTCTCAACAGGTTTATGATATGATTTGTTGAAACGGTTCATAATTATTCATGTTCTGGAGCATGCGTGCTAGAACCATTCATGTTTATGTACTTTGCCTGTCAACTTGCTTGCCGTGCTGGGGGGATGCTTTTATATATAAGTATCTAGTATTTTTCTTCCCAACGCTGAGGTTTATTTAATGGTTAACATCTTTTATCCTTGTCGGATCCAGGCTGAATCTCTTGTCAAGTCACAGCAAGACATGGGTGAAACAATGGGTGAACTAGGATTGGCTTTTGTAAAGCTAACTAAGTTTGAGACTGAAGAAGCCAGATTTGAGGCTCAGAGAGGAAGATCAGCAGACATGAGAAATGTGGCGACTGCAGCTGTTAAATCAAGCAGATTATATAGAGAGTTGAACACACAAACCATAAAACATTTGGTATAACATTTTATTCTCACTTCAGTAGAAATTTTTCTGCTGTACATAGTCAAGAAGAGAAACCATCTTGCTGCTGTATTTGAGTCTTGTAGTGCGTTTATTTTTATGTCGATTGGAAGGAGAAGCAGGTTTTCTTTTTTATGATTAAATGAATTAATATGTTGTCTATGTTGCAGGATAAGTTGCATGAATACCTTGGAACCATGCTAGCGATCGACAATGCATTTTCTGACCGATCAAGTGCTTTACTCACTGTTCAAACACTCTCATCAGAACTAGTCTCTTTAAATTCACGGATCGAGAAGCTTGAAGCTGCTTCATCCAAAATATTTGGTGGAGATAAGTCTAGGCTGCGAAAAGTAGAAGAATTAAAAGAAGCCATCAGAGTTACTGAAAATGCTAAATTATGTGCGGATAGAGAGTATGAGCGGATAAAGGTAACGTCTTTCTTATTGTCTCACTCCCTCCACAAACTCCCCCCCCCCCCCCAAAAAAAAAAAAGAAAAATTACACCCCAACAATCCCTCTATGCACATTTAGCTCATCTCTTTTCCTGCAAGCTTAGGCCTTGCCCCATAAATACTAAGATGTCCACATTAAGAAATGACTTTTGTATACTTTGTTTGACATTATACGCAAGTGTCACATCCTATTGCACCAAGTTTTGAAGATTTCTCGCATAATTTGTCCCCCAGTGCCTTATTTTCATTATTAGTATCGGGGAGAACAAGCCATAACACTGTCGCTCGGATGCTGACTCTTGTGTTTGCTTTACTATTAACTTGCCTATGCCCCCATGGAAAATTCACAATGAGCTGAAATAAAATTATGAAAATGATCATATTATCAAGTTGTCACATGATTCTCTTGTTGTCTATTATGAAAGTACGAGAATAGACTAGTGCAAACATTCTTATTTGATTTAAGTTATGAATGTTTCATTAGGATTTAGGGGCTACATTGGGCTCTCAACATCACAATAGTGGTTCACTTGCAGAGTTGGGAACAGATTTATACTTGATTTCGAATTATGCTGTCATTCTGAGCTCAAATAAATGTAAAATTGCTGAATTATTTCGCGTGTCCTTTTTCCTTTTTTAATGTACACTAGCTCTTTGTTTAATCTGTATGTTGAAGTTAAGATTGCGGTTTTTTTTTTTTTTTGGTATGTTCAAGAACCTTGAAGTCAAGATGTCCTATATATTGTTTGCCTTGCAAACTAGTTCACCTTTGTAGAACCGTCGTTACGAATTCAATATCCGGGAAGAGTTTGTCAAAATATCAGGTTTGACTGTGGAATGTTTGCAGAAAAATAATAGGAGCGAACTTGAAAGAGTTGAGCAAGAGAGACATAATGACTTCATGAGCATGTTGCGGGGTTTTGTTATCAATCAGGTAAGCCTATGTTTATTTTTATGCGAGATTTTAACAGCTGCATACCATAATTTTCTTGCCTATTGATTTATTGAAAGATAATGGATGGCGTTATTTTTTGAATGGTGTAAAACTGGTGTGAACCAGGCGTGTTCCCGGGCATCACGGGGATGTTGAAATGATTTTTTATTAAAAGTTGAGCTGCCTTTTTGTATTTTTACATGGTCATTCGCGGTTGAAATTACTAGATGCATTTTACAGGCGGGGTATGCAGAGAAGATGGGAGCTGTGTGGGAGAAGCTTGCGGAAGAAAAACGTCTGCATATTCAAGAGACATGAGCTAATATACACTCCGGCTGTAAAAATTTTTGCTTTCGGTATGTTCATGTTGCATTGTAGATTTTTGTTTGATTGGTTGTCATGTCAGGTGTTGAAGGTTAGAAATGCCTCTATCGTAGATAACAATCCATAAAGGCTCATCTTTCGTCTTTAACGTTTAATCTCGCTCTTTGACTATTCATGATCACTTTTTCTTTTTGGATTCCGATGGCTCCCTGTCTGGCTTTCCGAACGAGAGTATTGCATCACGTATCAGCTCTGGGACACAGCATCCTCCCTCTAGTTCCCTCTTTCCTTTTCTGAATGTAAATGTTGACTGTGGGATGATTCCCCTTGCCTAGATTTTACAGTTCATATTTGATTTTTCTGGCCCAAAAAAAAAAGTTGACATTTGATTTGAGTGGATCGAACTTTTATTTTTTAATTGTATTTGGAATGAGTAAAAACACAGTAAAAGCAATGTTGTAATGTCCATCAGACTAAGAAATCTGTTACGAACATAGTAATCTGTTTATAATTTTCTTAAAGAATTCAGAATTCAAATTATTTAAATTTTAATTGAGATCATTTAAACACTTTTTTAAGCTAAGAGTGGAGGTATTACTTTTTGGACAAGTTATGAAATGAAGTGACCTCACTCAAATATGGGGCCAAAAGCAGATAAGATTAGAACGGGGCTGATGAACTTGGGATTCGCGACGCGTTAATTACTATTAGGCCATGGTTGATTGGTTGTGTGCACGGGATTAATTCACGTTTTCAATAAGAAAAGAATCTGTGTATCCTTTTTACGTTTGCTAGGCCATGGAAAGCAACGGATTTTAGAGGGGACCTCTAAAAAATATTTATGACGGGCAAACCAATTAGCGCAATCATTTACCCAAAACAGAATCGAGGATGATGATTTAATCACATCTCATTAAATATTTTATATCCCTGCCCCTTTTCCTTTATTTACCCTTTCTCATGGGCTCCCGGAATGATGTCCTCCCACCTCCTTAACATAATTAATTGCCTCAGCATTACATAGCCGATGGCAGTCTATAAATATTACGATTTATTTTGCATTTTATAAATACATATATGAAATATAAACATAAATTAAAATATTGATTGGATGGACTAGGAATGATGATTAGTTAGTATAAGTATGGTTCCCTTCGCTTCATTTTAATTGTCGTTTAAAGTTTTTCCACATGCATTGGGAAAATATAGATAAATAGTACTCCTCCGATCTTTAATATAGGACTCAATTCTTGAATTGGTTTTGTTCTTAAATATAAGACTCATTTATCATATTTATCAATTTTTTCTAAATTACCTCTATGGATACTCCTTCAACCACAATCAAGTAGAAGAGGGAGAGATGGTATTAATAAAAATGATTATGGTGTTTTAGGAAAAATGTGTCATTTTTCTTATAATTAACTAACTTACCTGATTTTCTTAATCCAATCAAATTAGTTAAATGAGTCTTATATTAAGGACCGGAGGAGTAACAGAGATAAGCAAGTGTATTATGTTCACCGGGGTTAGTGAGGTCATCCATGCCAAACTGAAAAAACAATGTAGTATCATTATTATATTGGTCACGCAAAGGAAAATGAGTAATATTAGGCAGTGCATACGTCGGAGCATTTAATTAATTAAGAGCATCTATTGCTAATTGCTTTTGTGAGGGGGAAGGGAGAGAGGATCATAGGGGGAAGCACCTTATTCTCAGGTCTCATCCTCCTAAACGCGCACACGTGCGCTCCCTTCGTTCCTGTATACGAGTGATCTTCTAGAAATTTTTGACATCTCTGTGTATTATTCACTTGTGCACATAAAAAGTGGAATATTACTTAACTTTTGTTTCAATCATTTTATTTGGGGCGTTTTAAGATTTTTTTTTAATTTATGTTTTAAGTAGAGGTTAATCTAAAAAAAAATTTCATTTTTTAAGTATTTTGATGATCTGGTTACTTTCAGTAAAATAGTTTTGTATAAAACTGATGGGGAGAGTTTGGCAAAAACAAGGAAGAGTAGCCGCGAATATGTTATAGAGGTGCATTTGCTGGTTTTGTCAAGGTATCATTTAAAGCAGTCAATTATTCACAATGTGTTTGCGTCCTCATCTATATTACTTGTTCCAACCTCATATCTTTAATCTTTTCCGTCCTGTATTTCTTTTTCTAGTTCGCAGCCCATGTTCCGAATTCTTACTGCTCCTCATATATTCCTTTTAATTAATCCCTTCCTGTGATGCCTTTTATTTAAAGAAAAATTACAATCAAGTCCACAGTAGAGAAATAATTACTAAAAAGTCTCAATAACAATTTTAACAATCTATAATGACAAGTCTTATAATGAGAATGATAATTTATGAGACTTGTTTTTCAATTGTTTTTCTTTGCTATGATTTTATTGTAATTCTCTTTTTATTCACATGAACCCCATCAGATCTACTCCAGGATATATACCTGCCGCAGAATATATACTTGTTGCATCAATTATTAATTTCATCTTTCGTGTGGGCAGTAGGGATTTTTTTTTTTCTCCCCTGGATAGGAGTTGCAGCAGGCGAAGAAATGTCAGCGACCAGTTTTCTTGTAGAACTACCTTTGCAAACTGTAGAACTACCTTTGCTTCTATCAGATGCCAATCGTCGTCGTAATCAAATGTTTAACTTTTGACTTTTCTCTCCCCACCCGAATCTCTGCTTTTTTACCCATTACATGGACAGACACTATATTATGTATAGCCCACCCATACTGCCCCCAATCCATCTTGGGAAGCTTCTTCTTCATGGCTCATTGCAGCTTTCCTGATGTGTTTCGCTGGATTCGTACCCTTCCACCTCTCTCACAATGGACCGCAGAATCTTTCTCCATGTCCCTATGTTCTTCAATCTCATCGTCCCAACCATCCCTCTGTCTTACCGTTTCCAAAAATCCCCAGTCCCCAAACCTGTGTTTCGCCAATCTCATTGCCGACTTCAGCATCCCTATTTCACTCTGGACTTCAAAACCTATCAAGGCCATCAAGCTGGGAGACGATGTGACCATTTCCAAACTCCTCGTCAATATCATCGAGGACGTCCTCCTTTATGGCCCCAGCCAGCACAGCTCCTTCATGAAATTCGTCAACGTCGATTCCATCTCAAAATTCCCGGACATTTTCAATCTTGCATTTCTCACTCTTTTGTTCCTAGTTTGCATATACGAAGCTCCTTCAGATCTTCGTTCCGGGTGTCTTAGCACTATCAAACGGCACTTGACAAATTGTGAGTCAAGACAAGCTTCCAAGTCGCTGATGAAACTGTTGGGGTCAAACTTGGAAGAACAGTGGATGCGATCTTTGAACCTGGCCATTAGTAATTGGATTGCGGAACTGCAAGCAGCACATCAGTATCACGGCTCGTTTAGAACACCATCTCCTCTGTTTTCCTATTCTTTCTCGACGTTTGGGTTATGGAAAATTCAGTTGTATTGTCCTGTCATAAGCATGGACGTCGAGAGTTCAAACAACTATCCAGCAGATGATGAGAGACTTAAATTCTCTCTCAAATATCACCAACTCGAAGGTGTTTTCCAGTTCAACTACAGAGTCATGCTCAAAGACAAGTGGGTTGAGATCATGGTCAACATCGACAACATAAGGTACTCAACATTATGAATCAAATCGGGACAAATTCTTCTCAGTATCTTGTTATTTACATAAAATAATTTGTGGGCTGAAGAGATCTTCTAAATATGAGAGAAGAAAAAAAATGCTTTTAAGGTGAATTTTATCCAATAAGAATGTTGATTTTTTTTTTTCGGGTACTAAATTTTCGTTGGCAGGTGCGACGTGGTGAAACTGGTGAACGAGACTCTGATGAGAGAACGAGGCGCAGGAGCAGACGAGAAACATTTTCCCTCGAGAATATTTCTGCAGCTGACACCCACACTGCAAAACCAAGTGCTCAGCGTTTCAGTTGCAAAATCATCAGAGAACCCTCGAAGGGAGATTGGCATGGACAAGAGCATTGAAGCCTCCTTTGAGCCTCCTAATCCCTACATGGGTTTAAAAGTATCAGCCGGCGAATCCACCACCGTCAGTCTGAAGCCCTGGAAATTCGAGCAATCAGTGTACGGCTACAGTGCTAATTTGAACTGGTTCCTTCACGATAGCGTGGATGGCAAGGAAGTCTTCTCGTCCAAGCCTTCCAAGTTTGAGTTGCTTAACCCCAAGTCTTGGTTCAAAGACCGCTACTCCAGCGCCTACCGTCCTTTCACACGCCAAGGAGGGGTTATATTTGCCGGCGATGAGTATGGAGAGAGCGTGCGGTGGAAAGTCGACAGAGCCGCCGCGGGGAAGACGATGGAGTGGGAGATAAAGGGCTGGGTCTGGTTAACTTATTGGCCAAACAAACACAAGACCTTCTACAGCGAAACTAGGAGGCTGCAGTTTCGAGAGATGGTCCTTCTCAATGTGGCTTAGCTTTCAAGCCTCGATGCCATGCATGCCTATTGCCATATAATAATAACCTCTCTATATTGGCCTTGAGTTAGCCAATTATGAAATTTCGACAGCCTGGAATACCATTAATTATGTATAGTCCACCTAATTATTATACCGGCTTTGCTCTTCCCTACTTAATTCCTGTCACTTTTCGTCACGTTTGCTATATAGTAAGTAAAGTTTGTTTGGTAGAGGAAAATGGTATAAAAATGGATTCGGAGCAGTGGGAAAGGTTTGAAACTTGCATGAGCCTAATTTTAAATTTTTTTATTAGAGCCCACGAGGACAGATTATCGATTGCAATTATGACTATGACTCTGAAGTGTCTCCATTCAACACATAGTTTCTGGATCAGCCCCAGCCCATTCAGCATGAAGCCTGAATCCGCCTACCCAACCTCGTTCATGCATTTCTTGACATTTTTTTACCAACACAAATACTTATTGTTAGAGCATTAATCTTCCGGTGCGTCAACATCACACGATTCTGAATCTCTACTATTAAAAATTGTGCTGCTACTTTGGGTGTGTTTGGGTGATTGACACCCCAAACCATGGTTTTGACTCCAAACCATGGTTTTGGAAAAAGCAAAATTTTTTGCTTTTGGAGAAAAAAGGGAGAGTGTGAGAGCCTATATGATATGTATCTTGTTATTTTTTTGATAAACATATTTTTTGATAAACATATTTAATCTTATATTTTATAAATATATATACACATTAATTATTTATTAATTATGTTGATAAAAAATATATTATTAACAATTTTATTCCTTCAAATTAAAATATATCATAAAATCTATTTTTTTTGTAATTATCATATTAATTTATGTCTTTTTTTTAGTAATTTGTATATATAAAAAGTGCTTCTGATAACAACTCTCCAAACACTCTCACTTCTCAGAATCACTTTTTTACAAAATCTATTCTTTACAGAATCTATTCTCCAGAATCACTTTTTCAAACCACGGTTTGGTTTTATCCAAACACACCCAAACCGTCAACTATAATGTTCCGTTCGTAAACCAAAAAAAAAATGTTCCGTTCAATTAAGTAAAAAAGAAGATTTGAGCTGCTAGTTTTTTTTCAATTTAATTTTAGCCATCCATTTTAAATTATCAAGAATTATTTTAAAATGACATAGTTTAATGAATTACTAATCTTCCATTTTTACGAGACCAACTGCTCAGATTTTGACTCCACACATGACAAGGAGGCGGAAATGCGAGGGAGAGTTGTGGTGAAAGTTGATACACAACCCCCGGCGCATGTTAGTGAGAAGGACCTCCAATTGAGAGCGGAGAAACTGAAGAGAAAGGCGGACATCTCGAAGAAGATATCAAAATCAAAAGCACTGTAGCAATCCTATTCTCTGCTTCTAAACCAAAGCTTCTCCTACTGCATTACTCGCCCCATTTGTCCCCCTCTATTCGCAATCTCTGCGCCTCTGTTCGTTCTCGGTTCGATGGAGTCCTCCGCTGCTCTCCGTTCTTTTCACCGTATTTCCCCTTCTCTCTATATTGTGTTTGCATGAATGAGTTAGGCTAAATGCAATTTTTTGAAATGCGTGATTTGAGCTTGTTTTGGTTCTCTTCTTGTTTGATCTGTACTAAGGAAACTGAAATCGCATAATGTCAAGATATCGAAAGTTGCAAACAGTTTTGATTTTTTTTTTTTTGGTTGCCGTTCCGTAGTTCAAAGAAATGCTGGTGTTTCATTTAGCCTTAGGAAGCAGCAAGCTGCTGCTTGTTGCTTGAGATTGGGTGCATGTCAGCTGTGCTATTGAACTAAATGCACGACCGATGCTGTTGGATTGCCTCCCACAGTTAATCAGCTATGATTTTTCAGTTTGGACTTTGGCGGGAGATTCTATCCAAAGAAAAGCTTGCCGGTTCACCTCTATGCTAATAGAGGTTGGTTCTTGCTGTGATACAGAGGACTTAGAACGTTATCGTACTCAGAGCTGAAGAGGACCACCGATTAGAGGGGGCATGGTGGTTTATAATTAGGGGGCGGGTCTTTGCGCATTTCTTTTCTTTTCTTTTATTCATTTTTTTGGAGCGCGGGTAAAGTTAAAACAACTGTTCACCAGAAACTCAGCCATAGTTTTTCTAGGCCACAGTAGGCGCCATTGCCTGGACTTCTTGGCGCTTCAAGTAATTGACGGGTGCTGTCACCTTACATCTGACCTGGTGATTGACTGACATTTGGGAGTATAACATTGGCGACAACCAGCAAGACTGAAAGTTTCTAGGCTTATTTTTGTTTGACTGATAAAGGAATGTTTCAGAATATTTTTCGCTTAAGTGTTATTCCAAAAAGTTATTGGTCATTCATTTTTCCTCTATAGCTTGTCGCTAGCGCAGCTGGCTAATCATCTAACAATTGACTGGACTGAGTAAGATTCCATTGCCTAGAATCACCTGTGCAATTTGAAAAAATATTGGTGCTACTTCTGCCCTTGAGTAATTACTGTGTTTATCAGAAACTTTAATTCCTGATTCTAAGTCTATTTACATGTTTTTTAGGGTTTTGAGTTGACATATGTGGCATTAATCGCACATTTGTGTAGTTTGACTTGTCACTCCTTCGATACACTTATCAAGCACTTAAATTACTATCTACAGAAAAACATCAATTTGGATAGGACTGCCTGATTTTACAAGAATGTATAGTCATGAATTCATTTTTTGTCTTTTTGGCAAATGTACGTTGCTGCTTGGTATGATCATTGTGCAAGTGATGGAAATCAAAGTCTTAATTATTACTTTTGGACATCAGGTCCCATAAACACCATGTTACACGTGCGATCCTCACTTGAGAAGCCATATGTAATTCCCATGCATAATGCCATACGGAACTCTAGACTTAACTTCCAATGGTTGGCAAATGGTGAGAAGCACCTCAGTTCTCAATTCAAGTGGAAGCGAACACTAATAACATGTGCAAAATCAACTGAAACTATCAAAGCAAGCAAGTTAGATGGTAAGTTATTTTTATTCTGTGCAGGACGATGTATTTATATTTTTGTTCCTTGTGTCAAGTTGAATGAATGATGTGAATCTTATCATTCTTTGTTCTTATATTAAACTTTTTATTTTTGTTCTTATCTATAAAAGTTGAATTTTCTCCCACAATTTATATATGTTTTGGAAGGCTTAGTAACAAGTTGATTTTGGCATGTACAGATCCAGGATAATATGCCCCCTATGCCTTTTATAATTTTTATCAATTTTGAACTTCAAACCTATGCCAGTGGTTTGACCACGTGATTAAGTTGGGGGAAAGACATATGATGGCTTGGTCAGTTTTTTGTTGTTTGTTTTCTTAGCTTCCAAGACCTGATAGTTTCATTATGATGTTACAGCTTCTTTGTCTAGCTCTTCACAAGACTCCTCAGAGAAAAAGCCCTTGCAAACTACCTTTCCTCATGGATTTGAGGTCATAATTTCTTTAGTTCACTAGCACCTTCATATTCATATTTGTTAAGTATTATTCACAAATGATATAACTTGGTAGGTTAACACCTCAATGTGCTCATGAATAAAACTACCTTTTGTTTTCCATCAAGAAGAAATGAAGAGAATGTAACTTTTTCTTGTGATGGCCAACTTTTGTCCAAGACCACAGAATTGTATTTATCAACAGACATGTTGAAATGTGAATCTTATAAACTCCTACTTATCTTTGGTTCTTCAAAACATGGTTGGTCCACTTTGATTCTCTTTCTGTTTTCATCCTTCTGCCCATCAAATTTACATTACCTTGGTCTCTTTTGAATTTTTTGAAGTTCTTCAATTTGACAGTGAAGTTACTTGCCATCTATTATTGCATCTCGTGTTTTGTTTTGCTGACTGGTGTCATGTCCATTTTTCTTATGGTCAGGCTTTAGTATTAGAGGTTTGTGATGAGACTGAAATTGCTGAGCTGAAATTAAAGGTGACCTTCTATTCTCTTGTTCGTTGCTTCTGTAAAAGTTATAGTAGCTTATTGCTATTGCACTTCAATAATTGTGTTCTGCGACTAGTTAGCTGAATGTATATAGCCCTCGAATATGTTGCACTCAGTAAAATTCAAGTCAAATAAAAAATACGGTTTGCTCAAAATACACGATAGCAACTGACCAATTTGAGAATGTTTCTGTTGGGATTTATTTCCTATCTCGATTTTTCATATTTATATAATTTTCCCTCATTTTATAACGTGACTGGAATGTTGAGCATAAACCGAAGTACTGGATATTATTTGATGTTACATTACCAACTGTTATCTAACTACACATTTTTTTTAATGCCCCGGATCATTAGAAAATGCGCATATATCTATAATCTTGTCGATGACCTTATTTTACTACTATTTCGTTAGGTCGGAGAGTTTGAAATGAATCTTAAGAGAAACATTGGAGCAGCGACAGCTCCTATGCCCATTGTTTCACCAGGTACACCACTACCTATTCCAACTCAGGCCGTGGTTGAATCAGCCCCTGCATCACCTCCTCCAAAATCATCTTCAGAGAAAAATAGTCCATTTGTAAATGTTTCCTTAGAGAAGTCATCAAAGTTGGCATCATTGGAGGCTTCTGGCAACAATACTTTTGTCCTAATATCATCACCGACGGTATGTTACCTATTACTAATGACTACAGTGGGCTCTACGTTTACTAGTCAACCATTTCTTTGACTGGGACCATGTTTAGTTTTCATCATTTTATATGTATCTTCCCCCTTTATGCTCCCCTTCTTAGGTTGGCTCATTCCGAAGAGGTAGGACTGTGAAAGGGAAGAGGCAACCTCCTATCTGTAAAGAGGTACCTACGGTTTGCTTTTCGTTTCCCATACTCCGTCAGAGTGTCACTATTTTCTTAAGGCCCATTTAGTTCACAAAATGAATTGAAAAAATTAAAATGAAAAACAAACATGATTTTGAGAATGAAGAATGTCCTTTGTGTCCGTGCCTTTTTTTTAAATTTAAAAAAAAGCAATAAAAAGAATCGAAACTGTTGAGTAATGATTACAGGACATAACAGATATTGCTAAGTAAAAAAGGAAGGCTTCTTCTTCGTCTCTTTTTGCCTTTTCCTTTCTTTCTTTTATTCCATTTTTTTCCTCCTTGCATTGATTTTGTGGATTTATTTCTGTTATTGGTAATTAAGCTAGTAGTTCTAAGCGTTTATACAATATGATATCAGTAGCTTCAGTATTTTTCAATTTCCCCCTCTAATTAGCAAAGTTATTTGGGAACTGTGACAGGTAAGCTGAATACTTCATCTTTGGTATTTAGAAAAACGTTGACCGGCTTTTTTTTTCCTTGTTACAGTTGGTCTGCATATTTTCATTTTGATAACCATTTTATGTGACATGCTGTGTCAATTTATTGGAGGATCTCACTTTGAATGAACATCCTACACATAATTCTCCGCACATTTGCTCCTTAATTCAGTCCCTGAATTTCTGCATGAACTCAAATGTCTACATTTGTTCTTGAAATATGCAGGGTGATATAATCAAAGAAGGACAAGTCATAGGGTATTTGGATCAGTTTGGCACTGAACTTCCTGTCAAGGTGCTCTGTCTTCTAATTTGTTGTGGATCCTTAGAAATATCGACTTCTGCTGGGTGATTTTATTTTTGAATTTTTGCAGTCTGATGTGGCTGGAGAAGTATTGAAGCTACTTTATGAGGATGGAGGTATAATTTCTATAAACTTTTATTTTGAAAATGTCTTCAATTGTTTGACATGAGCTCATGTAATTTGAAGCTTCTCTATGCTATTCAGTAAATCGTCCATTATCTGTTGTTATGCAAGATAGTGCATTATTTCAGATGTGTGTTTTGCATTATGGATCATATTAAATCTTGAAATTGTTGGATATCTAGAATTTTACATTCAAAATATTTCATTCTTGTTTGAAAGATTTTTAATAGGCATGCCATGTTAAGGGAAACTTGAATTTCCCTACACTGAAGATACTAAAACCTTATTATACAACAAACAAGGAAAAGAATTCTTATTTCTGTTTGGCTTTTGCTTTTGACTCTCTTCATTTACAGTAGCTCAAGTTTATTCAAGCTGTAAAATGCCCTGTACATAATTTTTGTTCAATGAATCCACTTTCTACTGAAAAAAAAAAAAGAATTCTTATTTCACAACTTAATTTAAAAAACACAGCATCTAGTTTACCTTTGTTATGACTATTTCATTGTACAATATTAATTGTATTTTTTATCACTGAGTTCTACTCAGGGACATAAAGAGCATTTCTCATCTTCAAAATTACCCTTTTATTGTGTTTTCCTTTATTTTACACTGCATTATATTTACTACACAGTACGTGGATGGGGTATATTGCATCCTAGTGTGAAAATACAATATTAATTGTATTTTTTATCAATGAGTTCTACTCAGGGACATAAAGAGCATTTCTCATCTTCAAAATTACCTTTTTATTGTGTTTTCCTTTATTTTACACTGCATTATATTTACTACACAGTACGTGGATGGGGTATATTGCATCCTAGTGTGAAAATGCTCACTTACCAAATGTATAAACCTTACCACTGGCTGCGTTCACCTCTGATTAATTTTCTCGAAGGTTTGTGTGATTGCACTGGCACAGTGGATATATCAGTTTTCATGAGCTATCTAATTACTGCTAAATGAGTAGAAATGTTGTAAACCCTCAGATTTTGATGGTTTAATTCTGTTACTCTGTCTAGGGGTGTGTTTGGATGAAACCAAACCGTGATTTGGAAAAGTGATTCTGGAGAATAGATTCTGGGGAGAATAGATTCTGTGAAGAATAGATTTTGTAAAAAAGTGATTCTGAGAAGTGAGAGTGTTTGGATAGTTGTTATCAGAAGCACTTTTTATATATACAAATTACTAAAAAAAGACACAAGTTAATATGATAATTACAGAAAAAATAGATTTTATGATATATTTTAATTTGAAGGAATAAAATTGTTAATAATATATTTTTTACCAACATAATTAAATACATAAGATAATATAATTAATAAATAATTAATGTGTATATATATTTATAAAATATAAGATTAAATATGTTTATCAAAAAATATGTTTATAAAAAAAATAACAAGATACATATCATATAGGCTCTTACACTCTCCCTTTTTTCTCCAAAAGCAAAAAAAATTTGCTTTTTTCAAAACCATGGTTTTGACCCAAAATCATGGTTTTGGTTTTTAGAGGGGTGTTTGGGGTGTCACCCAAACACACCCTAGGTAGCAAAAGATTTGTGATTTTTTTTTTTTTGGGGTTGATCTGTCCTATAGATTTATTCATAGCTCATTGTCAGGATCTAGGACTATTGACCTGATATTGTGCATAGAGGTTGCAGGTTGCCACCATCTTGATGGGTGCTTCCATATTTTGGTATCCACAGTAGGGTTTTACGTCAAGGAGATATGATGAAACCTAGTAAGCAATGAGAGACTGAGTTACCGCAACTGACGCTTTACATTTATAGTTCTACGGCTTCAATTTGACGATGGATGAGTTTTGGAAAATACGCATCACCGATACATTGCTCATTGTTTTGTGCTGTTTATGACAGAGGCGGTTGGTTATGGAGATCCTCTCGCTGCTGTGTTGCCGGCATTCCATGATATCAAGTAAGCAAGCCGTTTCCTAGTGACGACGATTTGTCTTGCTGATGTTCAAAGATAGAAAGCTTTGGGATATGGAACTTTTTTTTAGGGCTTCATTGGGATATGGAACTTAGGTTGTTCATTTATTTTTCGATTTTGCGCCGGTCCAGGGTTTTTTTTGTTTTGGGGGGCGGGGGGATGTTTTTGTATGGGCTTGTTGGTGGAAGAGTTTCAGCGGTGGATTCAACAATAATTGCTAATATCTGTGTATTCGAGTGGCACATCTTTTGACGATGATAGTACTTTGTACCCTGGTCTCATATTTTTTTTTATTAGAAATACATACAAAAGAGAATCTTATTAAACATCTCATAAAAGGGCCTGGTGGCTATTTGCATTGGCGGGGCCGTACTGGAAATTTATCCTGACTTCATTGAGTGCTCGTATATACGGGTAGTTTAAAAAATTGCTTGAAAATGAAATAGATTTTTTTATTATGATAGTAAAAAGTAATCAAGTTAAGATATAATTTATAATGGATAATATCAATTTTAAAATTGAATTAATTAAGAAAGTGATGATATATAGTTGGCAAAAAAGAAAGAAAAAGAAACCGATGATATATATCAAATAAAATACTTATCTGGTTTTTAATATAAGATTTAATTGTTAAGTTGATTTTGGTTCTAAATATAAAATTTATTTATTATTTTTTTTCTAAATTATTTTTATAAATACTTTCTCAACTATATCAAGTAGAAGAGAAAGGAAGAATATTAAAAAAATAAAATATGTTATATTTTTTATAATTAATTAATTTATGTAACTTTTTAAATCTAATTAAATTAGTTAAATAAGTTTTATATTAAAAATTACAGGAGGAATACGTTGTGGAAACACAAGATATAAACCCCATGTGATCCATTTCATAGAGCCAGGAGATCAAATGATTCATGTGAGGAATGCAAGTGCCGGAGCATGCGGGGGCGAGTGGGCGAGTGAGGGAGTGACCCCGGCATTGACGATGAGGAGCGAATAAAACTGGCGTGGAACCTTGTTTGCATGGATGAGGATCGACATCCATAATTGCCATATGCTGTTCCTGACGCACGTGCTGGCACACCTAACAGCGGGGAAAGTATTTTAGTTACCTGTATATTAAATAAAAATAAAATTAAAAAGTTGATAAATTTTAAATCTACATGAAATACGTTAAAATGAGTCGCAAAATTTAAAGTTTTCCGTGTGTTGAAGGATGGTATGTGCCCGGTGCTGCCAATTACACTCATTGTTAATTTTTTTTATTCACAAGATTTAAATTATTAATCTTACTTGAGAAAAAAATCGGAGGGGATGCTGAAAATATATACTGCTACTAAAGTAATTATAAAAATATTTTTATTAAAGAAATAAAACTTGTTACTCTTATAGTCTTATTTATAAAGTAAAAAGAAGATTTTTTTGTCTTATTTATAAGACACTGAGAAAATTTTTTTATATTTTATCCCTAATTTATTATTGTATTAATTTTATTTATATAAAGTATAATATATATTAAATAGAGATAAAATTAAAAATTATTAAATTTTAAATAAAATTTAATAAAATTTAAAATTATCCATGTAAAACATGTGAAAAATGATTTATCCATATATCGGTTTATCAACTGCTAGCGGTTTAGCCTAAAACAGTGGGTATACAATCCGGTGGGGATTGTTATGTTGGTAATAGTAAAAGACAAGTCCGAGCCCCTTTGGTTGGCTCCATCTCTTGTATAAAGCGAGGCTTTTGGTTCGGACAATCATCACCCACATCTTTTCCGAAACCCCAAGCAGCCATGGAAGTGGTCATATCTTCAGCTCCCACAATAACCTCCTCCCCCCTCGATCCAAACGCCCCCTTGTTCGTCCCAATGTTCTTCCGTACTGTGGAGGATTTCTCCGATCAGTGGTGGCACCTCGTCCATTCTTCCCCCTGCTTCCGCCACTACTGGCTCCGCGAGTGCTTTCAAGATCCCCAAGCCCTGGAAGATCCCCATCAGAACGCTTTCTTTGACGATCAACTTCTGTTTCAACTATGCTCACGTAAGTTCTCCCTTCTCGTTCTCAATTTTCATCTTCCCTTTTTCATTCACCTTAATTTTTTTTCTTTTTAAACGTGGTGCAGAGAATGCATTAGAGGAGGAGGAGGAGGCGGCTGGGAAGTATCATAGGGAATTGGTGACTATGGGGGCGTTGAAATGGCGACGAGATTCGGGCTGGGCAGAACTACCGAGGTATGCTCAGAAGGTTCCTAAGATTGCCAAGGTCAGGATGGTCAGTCCGCGGACCATTCAGCAGCCGAGGTAGACTCTTCTTTCTCGGAGCCCTCGCTCTCAACCCCGTCTGTACAGTGACACTCTCATCTCGGCCTTTCTTTTCTCCGCTTGATGTATTACCTGTATTTAGCATTAAATAAAACGACAAGCTTGATCTTGGCCGTCGTTAAGACTCTGAATGAAGTCAAGTTCCTTTTTATGTTGGTAAAAACTGAATATTATAACGGTATCCTGCTGAAGAAGGCGAAAGATGGCAGGATTATGTGCATCTAATCTCTTCAAAGATACTACTAGTGCCTACTACAGATTTTTCACTGATTGTATCATGTCGCGCCTGCAGAGTCATTTGTAATATAGAACTGAGAGTTGATCGTTGAGGGTTCAATTTGACGTGAATTGGTCCCAGGCGGTGGCGTTCTTTCCAATCTTGTGGAGAACTCTAATGACTTGTTCCGTTGTGACGTTTCCTGTAACGGTGACCTTGTTTAGCTGCGTGTCCACGTTATAGGTCTCAATATCTGCTAAACCAAGAATTCGAATTATTGTGACCAACAAGGAAGCAGGAAGCTGTTATAATTAATTTAGATCCTGAGGGAAGTAGGATGGACCAGCACGTACCTTGGATCTTCTTGATGGCTTTGAGGATTTTCTTGATACAGTCGTCACAGTGCAAACCGACTTTCACTTCCACCACCTTGCGATCGACACACAATAAATACAAGTTTTCATTCAATTCCATCACGACACGGAGAGAAAAAAAAGCAAAAGAAATTGAAATAGCAAGAAGGGGAGGTAATGAGCACTTACGTTGGTCATGTCTAGAATAGAGATGGTAAGCCGGGGGGGGGGGATTGGTATTGGTGGTAAATTGAGGACCAAATAGAAAGCGAGCGAAGAGGATGAGGTGAGTGTTGAGGGGGAGGAGGAGTACAATTTATTATATACAACATAGGACGAGAGGAAGGGAAAAATAAGGGTGGAGGCAAGAGAAGGGGGGCTGCATTCTCACTCTTACAGCCTTTCTGGGAATTCGTGGGATGTTGACTCTGCTGTTGTGGTGGGAAAGAGATGGCTTCCATGATCAAACGAAAAATTGTCTTTATAATATCATTTTACTTGGGAAAAATTAATGTGCAGTTACCCCATTTTTAATTGAGGGCGCTTAAATTTTAATCAAGTTTTCAGGTGATTGCTACCAAAAAAAAAACAACTATAAGGACTATTAAACATCAGGCAAAGCTATAAAGATTTCAATACATATTCACTTCGCTTTTCAAAATAGGTGTACATATATGCCCCTTAAATAAAATGAATGATTAAATAGGTAAATAAGATTGAATATAAAGAGGTGTAAAGAGAACATCGAATAGATCTAAATTTATTATGATAAAGAGTAAGGGTGACAAGTGACAAGGCGCATGATTGGTAATTGGTACGCCTTCCAACGCTTTCACTTAGGTCCTTTGGCCATGATTGCGGGCAATATTGCTTTCGGTCATAGTTTATGGAGTGTAGTGACCCGCGTCAATTATTCCCCTCATTGTTGGCCACATGCTTTGAACCCAAAACACATGCTTTGTAGTTCCTTCCTCATGAATTAAAGTGACCCCAAACATTAAAGAAAGACTTCCTTTTTTTTAATGGGTGGAGAAAAAAGAAAGCCTTTTTTCCTCTTGTTCTTCGATTGAACGAAGTGAAAAGAAACTAATACGCTAATAGCAGTGCCAGTACAATAAACAGTAAACATTGTCAGGGGTTTGAGGCTTCCGAATAACCCCATCGTCTTAAAACGTTGTTTGTTTCCTCCCTCATACGAGTGAGAATCATCCAGCCCTGGTTAATTTAACACAAGGGATCAAAAATAATAAAAAGTTGGTCCTACACTTCAAATTTGGTTGCAAAAATAAACCGTATTCAAAGTTTTTTTTTTTTTGAGCTGACGTATTCAAAGTTATAGGCTGCAAATCATGCTCGAAAATTTCGTGTATTGGCAGACTCACCAGAAACTGGATGTTTTTAGGCAAAATTGTGGTTATCCCCTTTTTTCCACAGTAAAAAAGCAAATGAGGGGAAAGGGTAATGGCTGGTACATTTGAAGCACGCACCAGAATTTAGCATCCCGGAACAGAGTACGAGCTTCTCGCAACCAAGCAGCGAAATGCGCCAAAAGATATTTAGGAGAGTTCACTTTCCCCACGCTCAGGAAATGGAGCGTGGATTCCCTTATTCACCTCAACGCAAGCCAAATCGTTGACGTAGAAATTTCACCTCTGGGTAGATCCATCTCTATCCGCAGAAATAAACCACGGTGAATCCACCTACGACCAATCATAACCCGCCACCTATCTCTTGCTCCCCACATTGGCGAGTCCCGAAAGCTAATATCTTCATCCAAAAGCGACACGTTGTTTAATGGCCCTCCTGCTTGATCCGTGAGACGGACTTAGCTGCTTGACCTGCGACATCGAATCAGGAGGAGAGGCATGGGAAATGCTCTGCGATTTCTGTACAGCTATTGTGGCGAGTCCACCGCAGCTGGTGACTCCGATTCACTTGGCCCTCACGGAGTTTCCTCCTCCACCGTCGGCGTATCCGCTCTTGCCCAAGATCTCTTCCACTTTGATATCACCTCTGAGGTTTCTTGATTCCTTTCATCTCCTCCCTTTCACTATATAATCGCCTTTTTCATTCTTTTTCCGGATATTTTAGACCATCATGAGCTTTCTTCGATTTCCTTTCGAATTCATTCTACTAGCTCGCCGAAATTTTTTGACCCCTCAGACTTCTAAAACTCTTTAATCTAGCCTAGTCCAGCTAGAGAAAAGTAGTAAAATGCCAAAAGAAATTAAGAAAAGTTTGGAAAAAGCAAAATTCTCTCGCGTCCAAATTAATTTTGTAGAATCATGGGAAGGCTACACTTGGTTCATGAAACACTATAATGTGGGGATACATCAAATTCCAATTCTGATAAACTTGGAAGAATGAGCTGAAAGGAGCATGGTTTGAGGTCCTTTGTCAACCGGTCCAATTCTGATAATTTCAAAATGTTGGTTATAATTGGTGAATTCAGTTAACTCTTTGATATAATCTCACTTTTAGATTTTAATGTATCGTTGCTTTTTGCATAGAAGTTTGCAAGTTTGATGTTTGGAAACAATATAAAGTGAGTCGTTTCAAAATTTAACGCCAGTTCTCATTATATTTCCTCTCACTTGTTAAGGTCCCCGAAGGACTAAGCAAGCATGTTGTGTCATCAAAGAAGGCGCAAGCTAACTGGTAAAGTAAACATCATTTACTTCAACTCGAAAGGAAGAAATATAACAATTAATATGCTTTTCACAAAATTTGCAGGTATAGAAAACTAATAGATGCATGGAAGGAATCAAGACCCCCTCCCAAAACCCCTGAGGAAGCAGCTAGACTCATTATTCAGACTCTAAAAAGACATCAAAAGGCTGATGTTGAGGTACAAAAATCTTTTTCCCCAAAATTTTATAGGGCGCTCTAAGAACACATACTAATAGTTTTGCTTGCTTAATATTATAGGGATTGTTGGCCTTTTATGGTCTTCCTCAACCACATGACCTTGTCGAAGCAACTTTTAAACCCCCTACTTCCTTGCCAGAGGGGGTACAATTTGAACTACACACCTTGCCGGTAGGAACATCATTTTAATGCAAAACAAAATTAAGAGGCAAGTACATGTATTTCAATTAGGTGATTGTATCAATGAAACTAGGTTGATGCAAAAGCTGTGGCGGATGGTGATACTATAACAGTTTATGTGAGCACAGCAGACCCTAGAGAGTCATCTTTTGTCCCTAGTCATGTCCATGCAGCAGCAGTTCAAAGATCGGGAGCTCGTGCTCAAAGAAACTATGCAGAGGCCGATGCCCTTCACCAGCAAATTATTGATTCGGGATATCGGTTGGTGTTATAGTTTTCTAATGTTAATTGTCTATGTTTATAATTGGAAATAAGCTTTGAAAAAGTTTCTTGTTTAGGGTGATTAATCTTCAAAATGGGGAAGTCCTTGCACGGAAGTACAGAATTCGACTAAGGTAATCCTCAGATATAAATTGATTAGAAGCTTCAAAGCTGCTGTTGTGGGTGGATGCTAATAATTAATGTATATTCTGAGAGAGAAAATAAAACAGGGGAATTGATGCGCCAGAGGGCAAAATGCCATATGGGAAAGAAGCTAAAAACGAGCTGACAAAAATTGTTCAAGGGAAGCCCTTGAAGGTCCTCGTTTATGATGAGGATCGTTATGGACGTTCCGTGGGTGATATTTATTGCAATGGTCTTTTTGTACAGGTATCACCTTACTCCCAATCTAGCTTGCTTAAGCTTTGTTGAACTCAAAACTAATCTAATTTTCTTGTTCTTTTTGGCTGATTGACAAGGAGTTGATGCTAAAGAAGGGACTCGCATGGCATTATGCAGCCTATGACAAGAGGAAGGAATTTGAAATAGTCAGTAACTTGTGCTTTGCCAATTTTTTAAAATCTTAATTGGGAGTAGCATTGTGTGTTTCCTTATTAGATATTGTGTGTTATTATAGTGGGAAAAGGAAGCTAAAGCAAAGCGGGTCGGACTATGGGCTTCATCAAATCCTGAGAAGCCATGGGAATGGAGGAAGGACCAACGAGAAGGTAGATAACTTGGTCCCCTACTACGTACTATGAGAATGAATCGCCACGCCAGGAAGCCTCTAGGATGGTGCAATGTGAGTTGAATTATTAATAAATTTCTATGTAACCAAAAGGGCGAAGGATTGATTTTAGATCTAAAGAAATTAACTTGTGTGCCTCTACTACAGGATTTGAAACTAACAAGCATTGTTCAAGTGAAATCAAGCTATCTATTCATATATCAACGAACTATGGAATTAAAATAGGAACTAGTAATTTTCCGAAGTGTATATGGTTGATACGAATCCAACCATTATCCCGTACTTGCAAATACGCAGAAATAAGGGAATCCAGGAATGAAGTATCGATTATTCCTTCCTCGATACTCGTATATTAGCAATGTAGCATGGGGAGAAATGTAAGCAAATCACACCACACCAATTCCCATGTCATTAGCGATTGATACGTCTTTTCATAACAAGTCGAAGGAAAATAACTAGTTTATGGCAGTAATGGCAGAATATGATGGACGTGTTTGATTATGAGTACTATCTTATGATCTCGTTCTCGCGCTCTTCATTTATGGGAAGCCTTAACTATTAATAGCGCGAAGCAGTGGTCCTTCGGAATTTCTGCCCCGGTGGAAATCTCCCAAGGCGCGCGGGCCGGCAGCTGTCCTCCTCCAGCTTGAGGGCGAGTCTGGACAATTCAAACAACCACCTTATGCATGCTCTTGTCAATGTTCTCAGTCTAATATATTTGTTATTTAAAAACAAATACTAATATGGTTAGAGTTCGCATGGATTCGTCTTACGTTTTTTTCATAAATATATAAATATAAAAGGCAAGTAATGAACATGGCCAAATAGTAACACCATTTATTGATGGAATCTATTAATTAGAATATATGTAATCATTGAGAAGGCGAAAAAACCTTCCGAGATGGTTAAAAAAATGACATGACTTCATGTAGATAATACTCAAATAAAATGTGTCATTACACCAAGGTTCAAGATTTTTAATTTTTTAAAAAATTAATCCTAGCTAGAATTATATATACCCGCGGGCGGCGCCCCACTCTTATGGCTTTTATATATTAATACTACCCTGTCTTTAATATAAGATTTTATTTGACTTTTATTTTAATCCTAAATATAAGATCCCAATTCATTTTGTCTCTCATATTTATACATTTTTTCTTAAAATAGTCTTTCTAACAATGGTAGTTCTAATCAATATACTTGATTAGTAAGGATATTTTAGTAAAAACAACACCTATTTAGGATAAATAACTAACTCAATTACTTTCTTAATTTCCTCAAATTAGTCAACTAACTCTTATAATTAGAATCGGAGGTAGTATTACGGAGGCAAAAAAGGACTGAAGATGATATCAAAATTAAACCAAGGTAATAATAGATTTGTAGATTTTAAGAAAAATGATTAAAAAAAAGGTTAAAAATGACTAAACATCAAATAAGAAATACCAACAAAAATTTGTTATTATTTGCAAATTTAGTATTATCAACACTAAATAAAGTATTGTTACTCTACCTTATTTAATATTTAATAATTTTAAATTTTTTATCATTTTTTTAGATTTTAAGTAGCAGTATGAGCTTTTTTTTTTTTGGTAAAAAAAGCAGCAGTATGGTTGTAAGGGGGGAAATGCAAAACAAGAGCTAGAATCAGCACCGGTCTTTATTTTCCAAGGAAAAAAAAACCGGACCGGACCGGCCTGTTCAACCGGAAAACTGGTGAACCGGTCCCAAGTCCGGTCCGGTTTAAGTAGAAAACCGGTCAGCTGTTGAACCGGAAAATAACCGATCAAGCCGGTATTAAACCGGTCGACTGTCTGGTTTGGGGGCTGACCGGTTTAATTTTTTTCCCCTCCCTAAACCCAAAACGACGTCGTCTGATGGTTGGGTTCGGTCAATTCACGCGGTCCCTCCCTCCTCCTGGCCAGACCGCAGACGAGATTCCCCCATTCCCATCTTCATTTCGTTGAGATGTTGAGTTCGAGTGCGCCATCGAGTGTTTGACCATTCTCCCTTGCAGCTGCAGCGCCTTTGAGTGTTCGAGTTCTCCCTTGCAGTTGCAGCGCCGTCGAGTGTTTGAGCTCTCTCTTGTAGTTGCAGCGCCGTCGAGTGTTCGACCGCTCTCCCTTGCAGCGCCGTTGAGTTGCGTGTTTCGTGGAGTTCGAGTGTTCGACCGTTCTCCCTTGACCAAGATTCCCATTCGCTTCTTTGTTGAGTTCATTCTGGTGTTCGGCCGGTCTCCCTACCCTAGATCCATTGCTGCTCGCCTTGCCGAAAACTAAAAAGCATCCTTCAATCCCTAGTTCAATCAATTAGATTCATAATGGCTTTGGCGCATTGGTTGCTCGAAAAACAATAAATATGATTGATCGGTTTCTGCTTTCTCCATTGAAGCTGTGTTGCTGACTGGCCTTGTCGTGTAGCTGATAAGTAGAAGTGTTATATTTTAATGTTATGAATTAAATTATATTATTTTAATATGACCGGTTCAACCCCGGTCCAATCTCCGATCCGACCAGTGACTCTTAACCCACTGTCTTGATCGGTTTAATCTCCGATCCGGTTTTTTGTTTCTTGTTATTTTCTCCCAACGAGACGACCGCCTTGGGAGCGTCAAGCTAACAGGAGCTAGACATCATTAGTAAGGATGCGCATAACAAGGAGGAGTCGGGACGTAGAAACGTTTGTCTTATTGCTTCGTCAAAATACCACAATACAGCATCGTCATCATCATCAAACAAGATGTTCCCGGGCGACCACCGGGATATACCAATCACGCTTCCAAACATAATCACTCTCACGCACAGGCCACAGCAATAGATACAAAGTTATAATGACCAAAGTACATTCTAAATAACCAGGGCACCGAGAATCGCCTTTCCCGTTTCCCTGTATCGTAGTTGAGAGCAAAGTCCGGGATTCGTATGTCTTAATTAGTAGTTCTCACTAATGGCCGGATGGACGTGATTACAGTGTTAAAGAGCCAGCACTAGTCCCGGCACGGATTTGCCGACGAGGTTGGAGACGGTGCTCTCCCAGAGGGAGTCATCGGAGGGATTGGAATGGCCGAAGCGGGTGACGGTAAGGGAAGTGTCGAAGTACTCCCTTACTTGGGTAATTATCCCATCCGCGACGGTCCAGGCGTGGACCCAGGAGATGGAGCGGGAAGGGTCGCACCCCTCGACCACGACGGTGGGGCCGAAGGATGCGATAGACTGCGGAAGGAAGCGGAAGGTGTGGCTGGAGGAGGGATGACCGGTGAGCAAGCGCATCAAAAACTGATGGGAAGGAGGACCGTGGAACCACCACTCGAGATGGGAGGCCACAATCCCGACCACCGTTTCGGAGTCGCCTGAGTTGAGGGCGTCGTACAGAGTCAAAACCAGCTTCTTACGGCTGGGCCTGGGATCATTGTCTTCCTCTCTTGCTTGGGAGTTAGCCAGTTCTTGCGAGAGCGAGTGGGAGTATGGGACTGCTAGGGAAGCAGTGTTATGGAAGACGCGAGGTGGAGGTGGGCGGTATTAATAGGGGTTTTGGTATGCTCCTCCGCCCCTTGAATCGTCATGCATTCCCCCACTTACCAATATCAATATGCTGAGTGGTGACGTGGCGATGTGTGCTAGGGACTGAGAGCATGCTGAGCCTGCGGGCACTAATTTCATTTACCTTTTTCTTCTTTCTTTTCCTTCATATTTTATATATATTTGTTTCCCTGATTTTTCATTTTTTTTTTTCAATCCATCTCGTGAGTAGAAAGTAGAAACATTAGTTGGAATAAGAACGGCGGGAGGTCAAAACGGTGGGAGATGGTGAATGTTTTGGCTGTTTGGGTTGGACATCGCCTGGCTAAATAAATCTGGTTCATGTTTGAGATTGATAAGGAATCTGTATAATGAAAAGGACCCACACTTGATATTTATCTTTGTTTTGAGCTGGATGAATATGATAATTTGGACAGAGAAGATTATTCAAGTTACATGACATTGTAGCAGAAGACGCCGCTACTTCGAATCTTCGATCTGTCCTAAAAATCTGCCATGATATTGACTGCCACTTTTTGTTTCTTCTGGAGTAGTTTTTGCTACTTTCTTTTATCATCATAAAAAAAAAAAAGGAGTAAGGAGGTAGATAAGTTTTGTGAAGAGTGGGTTGTTCATGTGGATGCATGTATGTATGAAACGAGGGTGTGATTTAGCAAAGCAATGCACATCATAAACTGGGAGCAGTAAGAATTTGATAGGTTATCTTCACGTTGATGAGTTGTGGACACAGGCGAGGCGAGATAGAAGTGGAGGAGACATCACATCAGCATGGATAATAACAAGACAGAGTGATGTTGATGATGGGGTACATCTCACTTGTCTCTGTCCATCCAATCCAACTAATAGGATTTTGATTTAGCATAAATGACTAATTTCTTGTAACATGATAAATCAACATTTAAATTCTCATCAAAAGAAGTGTTTATATTTAGTGTCTGATAATATCTTAAATAGTATTACTTTCAATAAGAGGATAACTATGTCTACCAAAACAAAAAAAATCTGTTGTATGTCCTGTGTCTCCCACATTCTTTTTCTCTCTTCCATCATTATTGGCTCCCTCTTATTGTAATATAATCATATACAACAATGCCATCATCTCAGTGGGGTAGTATGCTTCATTACTTTATATTTTTTTAATCTTAAATATAAAATTTATTTTATAGTGTACATTGCCTGAGGAGTTTATAACAAATGCCAAGCTCTGCACATAAACCGCTCTCTATTCTTTGTTGCACCAAACTGACTCATATGATAAGGTTGTTCTCAAGGCTGAGCTGGCTGTGCTTTCCCCTCTCTATCTTTTCTGCCATCAGTTGAATAATTTTAATAATAGACTCAAAGGTAAACTACAAGCAGCTTCCGTCCAACTATCCAAGGCAACGGCTAAAAAGTGACTAAAACTAAATTCCCAACTCGCAACAACATGATTTCCTTAATTAATTAATCAATATTTGGAATTTGTTCCTTAAGGTTAAATCAAATGCAACAACATTCACTAAGAATTTTTCTCCTTACATCCCAGACACAGATCAAAATTTGTCAGGCTAGCCTGCACAAGCGGTTTTGCTTTCTGGCTTCTACCAGTAACACTAACATTTAGACATGGTTAGATTTGGATAGATGAAGAAGGGCTCATATGAGCAGACACCGCGCTTTTTTTTTTGAGTGGACTCCTTCGATGAAGTTTGCCAGCCGCCAACCAGAAGATACCATTGGCTGATGCTGGACGTAACCAAGTAAAGCAGCATACAGGCGAGGGATGAAAAAAGAAGGCTGCATAAGCTATAACCATTCATCTAGGTCTCACGTGACTAGCACCCAAATGCTTTCTGCAATCATCTCACATATTATTGATTGTTTGCTTTACATAATGAAAGAGGTAAGCAATGAAGATATCAAAATTGCTTATAAGAAAGACGCAAGCATGACCTATTGAGGGCTCTGTTAAAAAATTCTATGGATCGTCCCATGTAATTGATGTCAGATTTACATTCCAAGAAAGGAAGAAGTCTATAGGGCTTCTCTACTTATAACAGGTGGAGTTGGTGGGTTCATTTCCCCATCTCGACTTCTTTCCAGAGACTCCTCCCTCACAGCAGATAATGGCTTGTCTGGACTATAATATCCCTTTGGGACACCGCTCCGAGCAAGAGGTCTAGATGTTCCGACCTTGGAAGGAGAAGAGTTGATTCCCACGGAAGAAGTTGCATCTTCACGAGGCAAAGGCGACATCGGTGGTTGGACACGAATATCACCTCGCTTCCTGTAGAATTTATCTTCTACAACATCATAGGAGTTCCCAGTACGTGCTTCTTGAGCAAGAGAGCACCAGCAGCAGCACAGCCAGAGTGTGCAATCAGAAACTGAAGGTTTACCAAAGCAGAAGTTATAAGCAGGCAAGTTGAACCTCTTTCTCATTTGGATCCTCCAAAATCCCCCATATAGTAAACCAAATATGCATAGAACAATTCCAATACCTATCATAGCCTGTCTTACACTGTCATCGTCAATATTAACAGCAGCCAAGATAAAAATCCAGAAGGGAGCCATGCAGAATAGAACAAAAGTGGCAATATGGACATACATGTTTCCAAAGCCAAGTCTCTCCATGTTCCACCCAAACACACAGAAAGTACAGAAAAGTGAGAGATATGCTAGAGAAATATCATTCCAAATGTCCATTATTCCTCCACTCCACAGTGGCCTATCCTGAATTACTAATTGTTCATCTCTTGAAGCAAACGAATATTTTTTCGTAAATGATTTCGCTCTTAGCTGCTCTGGGTTAACCTGCGCTTCTTCATCTATCTCAGAATCGTAGTCCTTCCCAAGAGGGCTAAGAATGGTATATAGGCCAGCAATTGCAGGAGCACCAATTGCGAAAGATATGCATATTCCAACTCCTACAGCAGGTCGCTCAGATCTTTTGTAACCCCAGTTTAGACCACAAAGTGCATATTGGGCAAAACAGTTCACATGAAGAAGAACGACCACCACCATCATGTGTGCCCACTCATGGGGCTTATATGTCCCGTTCTTGCAGTAAATCTTTCTGAGTCTGGAGACATCCTTCGGTTTCCATCTGCACAGAAGAACAAGGTGATAAAACCTCTTGGGATGCTGATACAAGCACATGAGCGTAAATAGTGCATTGAGTATTTGGTTGTTTACTTCAAACCAAGCGTTTCTCTGAGATTTCTTTGGTAACACGCCATTCAACATTCCAGTCATGACTAGGAAGAGAATGGCCCCTGAAACAGCAACACAGGTAATCCACACAAAAAGGGCCATGTTCATTGGGTCTCTGATCCACTCTTGGCATTTCTTTTTGAGTGAATCCCAGTCAAGTTTTTGAGCTAAAATGCCACTAAATCGTTCTCTAAAGCCATGGGAACCAGAAGGCACAGACTGTGAAATTTGGTCTCTGGCAAAAGCAAGCCGCTTGAATTTCGCGGAGGCTGAGCCAAATTTAAGGAACTTTATCCTATTAGGAAGAACACTGGAGCTGGAATGAATTTTTTTTGAAGTATTCTCACCGCTCATAAGCGTCTTCTGAGATGTTGAGATTTCAATTGAAGCTAAAGCCTTCAACTTACTTTCATTAGATTGCTCGATCTCATCTTTAAGGCTCCCGTTATCAATTGAAACCATTCTAATGTGAAGTTTGAGCTTTCTCCGTCAGATCCAGAAGGTCCAAAACTATGTCAATCCTGAAAGGGAAAAGAGAACACCCACATCTAGTATTCTAATTCATAAAAGAAATCGCAAGAGTTCATCACAATGAGGATAAGAAGAACATTGACGCAGTACAACGGAAACAAGGAAGATGCCCGAGCAAGTTAGAAACTCAAACATAGACTTCATCAACAGATGATGAACCAGCAAACATTAAACAGAGTATTTTATCGAAGTTCACAATTCCAGGCTAGGGATTGGAAGCTAACTCCAAGCCCAGAATCTGATCATAGTATTCCCGATAAGCACATCTCATAGGTTAGTTTCAAGAAACCAAGTTGAAAGGAAAAACACCCACAATTTTCAATATCCCTACAACTACAATGAGACCGCCCATCAAAAGGAAAACCCAGAACCATAAATTGAAAATTTTCAAGGCACGGGATAAGAAAAAGATCTAACAAATTTATGAAGATGCATGAGTTCGCAAAAACTCAAAGGAAAAGAAGAAAGTTCTGATAGAAGAAGAATAATAAAGTCCGGACGTACCTATAAACCGACCCAATACTCAGCATACGGAGGAAGGCATTAATTCCAGAAGCTGTAATTGATCAGATTCAGATGACAATATCATCCCAGGTCTCAAAATTGAAGAATTGGTTTAGGAAAGTGAATCCAAACAGCTTCCCAGGTCCCAAGATAAAAAATTAGGAATAAGCCGAAAAAGAAAGAGTTCTCTTACAAGAAATAACAGAGTCAAACCGGACTGGCCGGTTGCTGTCCCAACGACAAATGAGACTGTTGGTGCCACTTGCCGAGAGGAAGGATCAAAGCATAGGATTTTTCTTCCAGGTGGGGCAACGGAAAGTATTAAAATAAAACGTTACAGTGATTATTCAACCGGAAGGACCTTTAACCTGGTCAGCTGTTGTTAATTTGCTTCAAAAGTTCTCCGGAATTTTTTTTTTTTTTGACCAGCAACTCCGGAATATTTGTTGTAGGTAGTAAAAGGCTTGAAAAAAATGAAGTCCGAAAGTAAACCTAACTCACACGAAATAAAATTTCCTCCTAAATCAGAGAAAGGAAACAATTGGTTAAAACGGAATGAATAAACTTAATCTGTTCATCACTGCAATGTTTCAAATGAGTGAACACATCTTGGCTGGAATTTTGGTTATTTCTCTTTAAAAATTTAGACTTTATTATTACCTCATTTAAAACTAGAGGTAGTATTCCTTCCGTTTTTAATATAAGACCTATTTAATTAATTTGATTAGATTAAAAAATTAGGTAAGTTAGTTAATTATAAAAAATATGACATATTTTTCTTAAAACACTATAATAATCTTTCTTGATATCCTTCCTCTCCCACTTACTTGATTATGGTTGAGAGAGTATCCATAAAAATAATTTTAAAAAATTGATAAATATAAAAAATAGATCTTATATTTAAAATTAAAATTAATTTAATAATTAAGTTTTATATTAAGTACGGAGAAGTATAATTTTAATACAAACTGATCCGTGATATCTGTCGTGGATAAACTGGGGGGAAAAGAAGAGAAGTGTGCGGTTGATTTGGGAGAGCTGTTAGGGAGAAAAGGATATAAAGTTATTCCAAGAGAAAATTCCTCATGGAAATACTTGCTTTGTAAGAATTGCAAAGCTCATGGTGCTGCGTGGGAGCATAGAAAGTGACAGAGATGAAGCAACGCAACAAGTGGAGAGTGAGCATATGAACTCAATTTGGCTGCGTCGGATATCACAAGAGTTGCTGGAAAACTCGCATACGAGTGGATGAATGGAAATCCAAATCCATGTACCGAGAGAGAATTGCCTCACGTGTCGGCAGAATTTCTA